TACAACAGTAAATACAAAAAGTACAGTAAATAATAAAAAAACTAATACAAAAAGTAACAGTAAATGGTAACAGTAAAAACTAAGTAACAGTAAATACAAAAACTAAAGTAACAGTAAATACTAAAACTAAAATAGTAACAGTAAATACTAATAAAACTAATGCAAAAACTAATAGGAACAGTAAATACAAAAAAAAAACTAATAGTAACAGTACAAATACAAAACTAATGGTGACAGTAAAACAAAAAAACTAATAGGAACAGAAAAATACAAAAACTAATAGTAACAGTAAATACAAAACTAAAATACTAAGTAACAGTAAATACAAAACTAATAGTAACAATAAATACAAAAACAAATAGGAACAGTAAATAGTAATAGTGACGGTAAATACAAAAACAAATAGTGACAGTAAATACAATAACAAATAGTGACAGTAAATACAAAAACGAATTTACTGTTAGTTCACCTGATGAAGACGCAAGCATACATTATGCAGAATAAAGAAGTTGACATCCATAAATCTTTCTTTTCTTAGGTCAGAAGACTTTGCATGCTGTCAGTTAGGTGCTTCAATCTGAGTGTGTGGGTTTGAATCCTGGGTGGGACTCAACCCCCAAAAGTATAAGAATCTGTACTACTCTGACCCACTCAGGCACTGTGGCTTCCTTTCCTGGGATTGTGTAATCCCAAATAGAACTTTTCTTTGCACTACTTGTCTGAAGCCTTGATGATTGTATTGGTTGTTGTGTATCTTTTACCTGTCGTTATGTCCCGTAACTCCCAATTCAGTGATTTACTCACTTCCCTACAATTGTTGCACAAAGCCAGCTGACCATTGAGAACCAAGTCAGGAAATGTGAGTAATAATTACATGACCATCATTCTTTACTGTAGGTCTCAGCACCACTCCTTTAAAGGGAGATAAATCAGTCATCCTGAACTTTCTCACCCTCCCGATCAGCCCTCCTCCTCCACTCCACCCCCTGTCAGGTGTTTATGAACTAAGTGTTATCTGAGCGTCAGGCTGTGTACAGGTGACACAGATTGTGAAGCTGATACTCTCATCTGTAGCCACAACCAGCATGATCTGTGTGGATACAGGTGAGTTACGCTCAATACCATATGGTTGTATGTCTCGTTCTCAGTCACTGTCACTCTTTAATGAAATGACTGCGGATTTGCAAAGTATACTTTAAAAATTTCCCATCACATTGTTCAGTGTTCATGTGCACTGTTCCTGACAATGGGCGAGAATGGAAAAGGCTGTTGTGATACTGTATGAGATCTAAACATGTCTGGCCTCCACTCCTACTGCCACTTCTAAGTCCCTCCCTGCCTCCACCCCCCCCTCTCACCCCCTCCATACACAACCCCTTCAACCCCAACTCAACCCTGACAATCAACTTAATTGGCAAATTTAGAAAGTCCTAGCTGTCCTCTTCAAAATGATGAAATTGATTTATTTTTAGTATTAATATTTTGATTGTTTGAACAGAAATACTGGTAATTGAACAAGACTTCCTGGACAGGTAATGTACAGCAAGTGCAACGGGCACTTCTACCTTTTGGATATACATGCGAACAGCCTCTCTAGTGTGTGACATAGTTTAGTGGCTGAAGCACCTGTTTGGTGGAGAATGATGTTGACATTTTACTTGTGTACCTTCGTGTAAACTGTTTCTTTTGAAGTTACGTCAGTTGTGAATCTGAGGATGGTACAGTGTGGGAAAGACTGAGTCAAAACTAAGTAAGATTCTTCTTGCTCCGGAATCACCCACTTGTTATCAATGCCTTTTTTTGCAATACTGTAATTAAATATAGTGCTTGTATTTACCTGTGTACCAGATAGTAGTGCAGGTATCCTGAACTTGGGACACGAGCAGCAATGTCAAGACACTGGAGGGACTTTTCTTTAGAAACAAAAATTACAATATTTTGCTCTTCTAAAGAAGCTAACTCCGAAAGGTACAGCGTTTTTTTTCGGTGTAGGTCTAATAATGACGTTAACTGTTTAGGGTGCATAGTTTTACATGATGTTCACCTCTTCCATTGTTATTATATACTACAAACAAAAAGTAAGGGAACACCCTAAAATTTGATAGTCGTATATAAACTGAAACGTTGTGAGGTCATTTATACTCTAAGGTAAATACAACTTTTTGTGTGCTTAATAGGCACTTTAAACGACATGTTGGAACATGCAGTGAAGCAACAACTGATTCAATATTCGTTGAGTTTGAGTGAAATGAAACATTGTTAAAAACAGCGAAAAACAAGGATGCTGAAACACACCAGCACCATGTTTGATTCAAACGCCCAAACACAACAGCCTAGTGCATGTGGTAGAAAGACTTCCCATGCAGCTTGTTGAAACTGGGCACAGGCAGTTGTGAATCAGTTCTGAAGGGCTTGGACCATAACATATCGGTCATCTGCCCTTGATGCTTTTCTGGGTATTCCAGAGCTAGGTCTGTCCTTTACTCTACCAGAGCCCTGGAACCTGTCCCTCAGTCTGTGAATGACAGAAGGAGACACCTGAAGACAGAGAGCAACACTTCTTATGGATTCACCATCCTGTAGCCATGCAATGGTCCTGCTTCTGTTGCGGGCACTTAACGGTTTGCGCTGTGGCATGGTGAAGAAAATGTGAGGCTTCATTTACTGTCTGTAGCTTCTTTTAAAGAAAACATAGCCACAAGCTGCATGGAAAGTCAGTCTTCCACATGCACTAGGCTGTTGTGTTTGGGCGTTTGAATCAAACATGGTGCTGGTGTGTTTCAGCACCCTTGTTTTTCGCTGTTTTTAACAATGTTTCATTTCACTCAAACTCAACGAATATTGAATCAGTTGCTTCACTGCATGTTCCAACATGTCGTTTAAAGTGCCCATTAAGCACACAGAAAGTTGCATTTACCTTAGAGTATAAATGACCTCACCACGTTTTGTATATATATACGACTATCAAATTTTAGGGTGTTCCCTTAGTTTTTTGCTTGTAGTATATATATCAAGCCATCAAGGGATGATGGGGTAGCCTAGTGGTTAAAGTATTCGCTCAGAACACCAAAGACCCGGGTTCGAATCCCCACATGGGTACAATGTGTGAAGCCTGGCGTTTCCGGTGTCCCCCACTGTGATATTGATAGAATATTGCTAAATGAGGCATAGAACTCAACTCAACTCACTCACTCACTCACTCAAGCCGTCAGAATAAGCAAAAGCAAACACAAATAATAGGTATCAATGTAAGCCTTTTTGTGTTTCTGTGATGTGCACCACCATTTATAATCTCATCTGACACATTGTTAGCTCAAATGGATAGGGTGTAAGCTAGCAGACCACATTTTCTAACAAAGATACAAACTTTTGACAGTTTTCTTCTGCCAATTGATCATCAAAGAGTGCATTCGACTGTCCCTTTGTCCCAGGTAACTAGTTCCCAAGGTTTGTAACACTGACCAGTCAGAGACGTAACGTGTACGCGAGACGGCCTATCGTCTCGTGTACGCGAGACAGGTGTGGTCTGCGGTACTAACTGAAGCGCTTGACCCTAATTAATTCAATCACCGTGGAACCAACTCGATTGGGTGCAAAAACGGTGCGGGGTGATTAAAGCGGCCCGTGAAATCACCAAGCGTGGTGGTTACTTGACAGTCGTGAATAAACAGGTTTCTCGGGAAGAAACACCACGCCCAGGGTCGGTTGTTTACATATGCAAATTACGTAACAATAATTTATCGCATTTGAAAAAGTGATTTAGTTTAGTGGATGTCATGGCTGACAGCATACACCAGAATAACTTGCATGGTCTTAATGTGTAAAACAAGAAAGGGAACTTTTTGAAGGAGTGTTTTTCTTATATTGCTGACACTGGAATGCCTTTTGCCAAGTTGATTTCTTACACATGCTATACAATTTGGTGAAACTATACTTTTTGTCATGTATGTTTTCCTGAAGTAATAAAAATTAACATTTTACATGTGACAGTACTTAGTCTTGTTAAAACAGTTTTAAATAACGTTTCACTAATGTTTCCCCAACTTGTGTTGTCTGCTACAAACCAAACATTTTGTGACACATTAAATGTGTTTTGGTCAATTTCCTTTACTTAAAATATAGCAGCCCAACAAAATTCATGAAAACAGCCAACATGTGCAGGGATTGGGATAGAGAACTTTGACAATGGGCCATTTTCAGGATTATTAGCCATTTTCTGAATTTAGAATGGGCCACTGCCCTTGTATCAATAGTGGGCCATTTTTTATTCTAATGTGCAAAATGGCCCATGGCCCCTGCCATTCCCAATCCCTGCATGTGGAAAACCTGAGATAACGTTACTTGTTTTGGTACATTTCTGTAGTATGTTATGTCACACTGACTCACTCACACAAACACACACTCTCACACACAGATATGTAATGGTTCATATTCTGGCCTAACATAAGAGTCCAGAGCTGACAGATTATGGTTGAACAACACCCTACAGGCTGTTCTCGTCATCACAATATACAAAGGCCATTAATTCTGACCTTTCACTGTGAAGACAGAACGTAAACAATACATGCTGATGTTTGTCGACAAGTAGGACAGATGAATCACAGCCATCCTCATGAAATCTTTCTTTTAGTGTCCGTCATGTATGTTGTATCTATGATTCTCATTATCAGTGTTGTCAGGTATAATATCCCTGTGTATGTATCAACAGGTTATATGTCACTTTGGTTTAGGACATTTTCACAATAAATCACTTCATGGATTTAGATTACAGTAAGGAAAATGGTTATAAGTGAAACTGTATCTTTGGGATCTTTATCAATGTATAATTATTGTCAGTGAACTCTTAACCGTATTCCTATTCTAGGAACATTTGTACACCCCACTAATAGATGAAGTTAGGGAAAACTAGAACAGCAGATTGATACGGTTCATGTACCCCAATGTTCTGACCTGGACGCTAGGATGCTGTGGGAAATAGGCTGACCTGAAAGTAGATGACAGATCGGTTGAATCAGGACTGTGTTGTGTTAGCGGCACGGTGTGTTATAGAAGACCTCCATAGGTGTGTGTACTGTATATCACCGACAACCATGCCTGTTGAAACTACACATTGGAACAGGGATACTTTGCTGACATTTACACAAATCCGAGGTACTTAGTATTTACATTCCGTCAGTTATTATCAACTGTTTCTACTCTGTCTAGTGTTTAGGTGATGTGGCAGGAATTGCTGCGGGTGGTGCGATATGTTTCGACAATGATTTTGGCTGTGAGAAAACGTTGCATTGTAATTTACATGAAATGGAAACGTGTTTCAATCAGTGTCAGAGTTTGAAGGAAGGCATGACAATTGGGTCTTGTCATAACCCTGATTTAATGTTAAATTGTTGATTTTAGGGTTCCTTTGTTAGGTTCAAATACTATAGCAGTATTAGTACATCTCAAAACCCAGTGAGATCTCTGAGTTATGAACAAATGTATGTATACTGTTAAACCTTGCTTTCTGTATCCACTGAAAGTGTTTACAGTGATGGATAATATGTATTGTTTGTATCCAGCTTTAACTGTAACAGTTTCCTCGGTCTTCATACTGAATGCATTTCATCTAACATTACTTGTCTTCTGGTTGATCATTGATAGCAAGGAATTAGATGCTTGGATTTATATGATGATGTTAACTAAAGTTCTGAGTGAAATGTATTAAATATTTCCACGTAAACTGACTGAAAACAGTGTCTATTGTTTTAAATGAGGTCACACATATGGCTGAAATATGTTTGGATTTCAAATTCTTGAAAAAAAATCTTTCTGTTTATAACTTTATATTTTCAGTCACTTGTACATGGTATTTGTATGGAGGATATATAACCAAATATGCTAACTTATGACAATGTCAGCAGGTTATCTATGTAGTAAGGGCCTGTGTTGAGTCATGGTGTCAGTTTAAAGCCTGACATCATTTTTTGCGGAAATGTAATGGATACCACATATTGTTGGAGCTGTTTTGTCCGAATCTGTCCAACAAAGAGCTGAGAGTGTGTCATAATTCAGCCACTGTTTGACAGGTAAAGGCAGGTTGACTCAATACAGCCCGACCTGTGAAACCATAGGCTATGTCATTTTTGTAATGGAGGAATAGTGGAAGCAGCAGCATTTTCATTTTGAGTGTCACTTAAATGAAGATAGGATACAATGTTTAACTGACACCAGAGGTTTTATTGTTCAAATGTTTATTGATAACCACTCAACACTTATTAAATGTGTTGCTTTTGCAGTAAGGGACCTTTCATAATCTATGGCTTGGGTAGGGTAGGTGTGTGTGATGATTTTAAGGGGGACTTAGGTCACCCATTTTGTTCTGGGGAGGTAGAGGGGTCATCAGTTTTGCACATAAGGTATTAAAAAATTATGCTTAAAAACTATGGGAAGAGGAGGGGGGATGTCATTGATTTTGTACATGACATGCAGAGGGGATGACTTACTTTGTACATTAATATCATTCAGATTGTACATGCTTCTCCATAAAAAACGTCATCATCCCCTAGTAATAAATTATGAAGTCCCTAAGAAACATGTATTTTCTAGGTCATCTGTTCCTTTGTTTGCCACCATGTTCTTACATAAACATGAGCTGTAAGTGTATGTAAATTATTCACTTAGTCTGATGATAGTGTTTGACAAGCTAAGACAGAGGGCCAGATAAGCTGCATATCCGGGTAAAATACGCATAGAAAATTTCCAATTACACATTGAAAAAATAATTCTTGCGTACCAATTACGCATTTAAAATGTTAGATACGCAAAAAGTTTAAAACAAATGCGTACAGAATATATTTATAAAAATCGTTTTGCGTAATGAAAAAGACATCGATTGCTATCAAGTTGTACTGTTAGTATAGGACAAGTGTTGTACTGTCAGTATAGGATGAGTGATTTTTATGAAATCATTTTCATTATATTTAAGTTGGTTTTGATTAGGTATGACATAAGGCAGAACATACCTGCTTAGTAAACTTACTCAATGACGTAATACTTAGGTGAGTAAAATGACTGAAATACGCACATATTTGAAAGCAGTGGGTAAAGGAAAATGAAATACCCACTCAACATTCATAATAGTATTAATACCCACTCCAAAACAATACAGTCTGTACAGTACCCACATGAGCTAAATCCTATCCTGAGCTCTGCTAAGATATGGCTGGTTGTTGAACCAATTTTATGTTTACAAGTGATTTTAGTTGTGTATGTTAATCTTGTGAGGCAAACTACATCTGTCTGTTTAACAGAAGATTTTAGATTGAGGCAGCGAGCGCACAGTTTGATAGTGTTATTGAGAGCCATTCAACCAACGCTTTGTGGTAACTGTCCCTGGTCCAGTGCAAGTGGTGGGAGATTGCTTTCTTCGCAGGATACGGTTTTATTCTGAATGTTTTTGTTATGTGCACATTGTCTATGTGTCTGACAAGACCAGTTTTACCACACTCAAACAGCCATTTAGGAAACAACACAATGCCCTATGTGTGACTGAAGGTACCGTCGTTTGTCTGTGTTTCATATATATTTAGGGTTGTTGATATAATTTATAATATTCAAACTATCTGAGTGTACTAGTAGCAGTCATCATGTCTAGGACTGTGATTTACATCATGAGCTTTGATCCATGTCGTAGTGAAGCCTTCCAGTCACACAACAGATTAGAAGATGATATATGAAACAGTTGTAAAATAAAATGTATTATCAGACATTCGTAATATCCTCGTGTTTGGGATTGTGTCCCAACCAGGAATCGAACCCACACTCCTAGAATGGATCAACAGATCCCCAGATGGAAGTCGGACAACTTGTAGTCTAGAAAATGTACTCTGTGTACCCCTCCGATAAGTGTAAACTGGCATATGTTACCTTTGACCACTTTGTAAAAGGAAGTGTGTTATGATACATAACCCATTCAGGAGCGGTGAGGTAACCTGATGGATAAAACGTCCACTCCTCACGCTAAAGACCTGGGTTCGATTCCCTACATGGGAATGTGTGAAGACTTTCTGGAGTCCCCCTGCCATTATATTCCTGGAATATTGCTAAAACTAACTCACTCACTCACTCACTCACTCACTCACTCACTCACTCACTCACTCACTCACTCACTCACTCACTCACTCACTCACTCACTCACTCACTCACTCACTCACTCACTCACTCACTCACTCACTCACTCACTCACAACCCATTCTATATTTAACTCTCCTTCACATCCAGCTGTTATCTGACAAACAGAACTATGGATAAGGAAGTGTTAGGGGTTAGATGGACCACGACAGAACATTACAATCAGTAGAGACCCTGAACTATGCAGACCTCTCTTTATACATATCATCAGTATTACTGTATCCATTTTTCTCCCACTTCATTTCCAGGAAGGAATGTTGGCATCTAGCTACCTGTACTTGTTGTAACAGGTGTTAAACTGGATCAAGGCTGGGGCTGTTTGTGGTTCATTGTATGTCATTGTATCCCAGTAGTCTTGCTCATGATGTTAGTCACAGGATTGTCAGGTCCAGGCTTGGTTATACTGCCATGGACAACCCTGTCTCTCTAAGATAGTGGCAGGTGGGTTGCAGCGTTAGACTGCTAAATATTGCAATACTGTCGACCATATTTGCTCTGTCAGTGTTGTGTACAGCTATAAACAGGCCTAACTTCCTTTTCTGCATACATTGTACCCTGTTGACGGGGGATAACACTATACTTTCACAAACTCTTCCTGGAGAGCTGGGCTAGGTTTGTGTGTTGTACTGTCCACAGACAGTGTCCTCATGTCGTGTGAGTGTTAGTTCATCCAGGGGATAGCTTCGACATGTCGTGTAAGTGTTGGTCTGGCCAGGATTACTGTCTACGAGTCATTTGAGTGTTGGTACATCCAGGGATAGAGTCTACATGTCATGTGAGTGTTGGTACATCCAGGGATAGAGTCTACATGTCATGTGAGTGTTGGTACATCCAGGGATAGAGTCTACATGTCATGTGAGTGTTGGTACATCCAGGGATAGAGTCTACATGTCATGTGAGTGTTGGTACATCCAGGGATAGAGTCTACATGTCTCCATGTGTCAAATGAGTGTTGGTACATCCAGGGATAGAGTCTACATGTCATGTGAGTGTTGGTACATCCAGGGATAGAGTCTACATGTCAAATGAGTGTTGGTACATCCAGGGATAGAGTCTACATGTCATGTGAGTGTTGGTACATCCAGGGATAGAGTCTACATGTCATGTGAGTGTTGGTACATCCAGGGATAGAGTCTACATTTCAACTGAGTGTTGTGGTGGTCTTTCCAGGGATTCATCTGCATTTTGCTTCGATCTGGATGAGATGGAGGAAATTTAAGCCATTTTCTCAATATTGTGCCTTTTGGAGGAATCTTATTTATTTGATATGAATGTGAGGTTTCATATGTGTAAAATTCAGCATGTTTTTATGGACATTTCATGACTTCACATGTCAGGATTCTAATTATGTCTACAAGTCTAGGTTCCTTGTCAAGACTCTTGACAAAAGATTCTGACAGGTCCATATATTCCAATACAGCAACCCACCATTTTTAGGAAAACTTTTATGTCCTTTGACTGTTACAAGGAAGAAAGATTTGAATGTAGTTTCAACATATGGGCTTTATATTGTTGACACGCTATCTACTAAACATTAGGATCAGTAGAGTGACTAACGCTGTGAGCTAAAGATCACTCCAGCATGAATGGGTTCATGTTGGATGTCTCTATGGTCAGTCAATATAGTGTTAACTGTTTGTAGTTGTACCACACAGTCATTTGTCAGCATCACCATGCATGGTTAAACATCTTGTCATGGTTCAGTTAATCAGTGGAAGTCATTTCCTGAATGATCAGTGACTATATACATGGAACAAGGGGGAGAGGTGGTCCTTCAGTAGCTTCCCTTGTTTCATATATACTTGTACATCAATGACTGTCAGAGTTTCTGAAGGACCACCTCTTGCTTGTTTCATATAAACTTGTACATCAATGACTGTCAGAGTTTTTGAAGGACCACCCCTTCCTTGTTTCATATAATCTTGTACATCAATGACTGTCAGAGTTTTTGAAGGACCACCCCTCCCCTTGTTTCATATATACTTGTACATCAATGACTGTGGGAGTTTCTGAAGGACCTCCCTTCCCCTTGTTTCATATATACTTGTACATCAATGACTGTCAGAGTTTCTGAAGGACCACCCCTCCCCTTGTTTCATATATACTTGTACATCAATGACTGTCAGAGTTTTTGAAGGACCACCCCTTCTTTGTTTCATATAATCTTGTACATCAATGACTGTCAGAGTTTCTGAAGGACCACCCCTCCCCTTGTTTCATATATACTTGTACATCAATGACTGTCAGAGTTTCTGAAGGACCACCTTTCCCCTTGATTCATATATACTTGTACATCAATGACTGTCAGAGTTTCTGAAGGACCACCCTTCCCCTTGTTTCATATATACTTGTACATCAATGACTGTCAGAGTTTCTGAAGGTTCACCCCTCCCCTTGTTTCATATATATATACTTGTACATCAATGACTGTCAGAGTTTCTAAAGGACCACCCCTCCCCTTGTTTCATATATACTTGTACATCAATGACTGTGGGAGTTTCTGAAGGACCTCCCTTCCGCTTGTTTCATATATACTTGTACATCAATGACTGTCAGAGTTTCTGAAGGACCACCCTTCCCCTTGATTCATATATACTTGTACATCAATGACTGTCAGAGTTTCTGAAGGTTCACCCCTCCCCTTGTTTCATATATATATACTTGTACATGAATGACTGTCAGAGTTTCTGAAGGACCACCCCTCCCCTTGTTTCATATATACTTGTACATCAATGACTGTCAGAGTTTCTGAAGGACCACCCTCCCCTTGTTTCATATATACTTGTACATCAATGACTGTCAGAGTTTCTGAAGGACCACCCCTCCCCTTGATTCATATATACTTGTACATCAATGACTGTCAGAGTTTCTGAAGGACCTCCCTTCCCCTTGTTTCATATATACTTGTACATCAATGACTGTCAGAGTTTCTGAAGGTTCACCCCTCCCCTTGTTTCATATATACTTGTACATCAATGACTGTCAGAGTTTCTGAAGGACCACCTTTCCCCTTGATTCATATATACTTGTACATCAATGACTGTCAGAGTTTCTGAAGGACCTCCCTTCCCCTTGTTTCATATATACTTGTACATCAATGACTGTCAGAGTTTCTGAAGGTTCACCCCTCCCCTTGTTTCATATATATATACTTGTACATCAATGACTGTCAGAGTTTCTAAAGGACCACCCCTCCCCTTGTTTCATATATACTTGTACATCAATGACTGTGGGAGTTTCTGAAGGACCTCCCTTCCGCTTGTTTCATATATACTTGTACATCAATGACTGTCAGAGTTTCTGAAGGACCACCCTTCCCCTTGATTCATATATACTTGTACATCAATGACTGTCAGAGTTTCTGAAGGACCACCCCTCCCCTTGTTTCATATATACTTGTACATCAATGACTGTCAGAGTTTCTGAAGGACCACCCTTCCCCTTGTTTCATATATACTTGTACATCAATGACTGTCAGAGTTTCTGAAGGACCACCTATCCCCCTTGTTTCATATATACTTGTACATCAGGGATTGTCAGAGTTTCTAAAGGACCACCCCTTCCCTTGTTTCATATATATATACTTGTACATCAATGACTGTCAGAGTTTCTAAAGGACCACCCCTCCCCTTGTTTCATATATACTTGTACATCAATGACTGCCAGAGCTCCTACTGCACTAACCGTCAAGGGAAAGTGTCACGTTGCTTAACTTTTCCTGTTGGTGTGTGTGACCTGAATTTAGTCATAATGTGATTTAAAGTCACTGTAACAGGAAATCTGTTCTATTTGTCTTACACATTTGCCACTTTTAAAATAGGTTCTGTGTTAGCATCACAAACACCTTCATCATCAGTGTAAAGATACTGTCTAGATACTGTTGGTACATTCCTCACACACCGGTGAACATTATCTCAGTGCAGGGTACTGAGCTTACTGGCCCTAGATGAAAACAAATCATTCTTTGTTTCTGAGGAATTTGTTCGAGGCCAAGAGCCTGAATCAAGCTTTTAAGCTACCCGACACCAAGAGTTGTTAAAGTATATTCAAAACTCTGCTGTTGTTATTGATATGAACTGAACATGGCCGACAGGTATGAATCTGTTCAATACAAGGGCCAAAGGTAATTGTATGCAGGTTAATAAATATAATGAATAATCATAACACAAACGATAATATCTACTTCCTTCCTGACCCCAACCCTCACGCCTCCAGGACTGTTCATTACGAGGCCACTGAAGCGTGATTTCTTTATGGACCCTTCAGGCACAGTCGGAACGTAAGAACCTTGGAAAGCATTAATCAATGGTGGGTTTGGAAGGGTTGAGTGATGGGGTGATATATTTCTTGCACCCTGCCTTAGGTGGTGTTGTCTGTCTGCTCAGGTGATCATAGCTAGCTTATTGAACAGATAATGTGTTGTTGGCAACATGTCTGTAATATAACTCACGATTTGCTAGTTATTGATGATGATGATGATGATCATCATCATCATCATCATCATCATCATCATCATCATCATCATCATCATGGTCATCATCATCGACCCGTGAAGGTCTGGGTTAGAATATTGCCCTTCAGTAACCCATGCTTGTCGTAAGAGGCGACTAACTAGATCGGGTGGTCAGGCTCGCTGACTTGGTTGACACATGTCATCGGTTCCCAATTGCGCAGATCGATGCTTATGATGTTAATCACTGGATTGTTTGGTCCAGACTCGATTTTTTACAGACCGCCGCCATATAGCTGAAATATTGCTGGGTGCGGCGTAAAACTCAACTCACTCACTCACTCATCATCATTATCATGGTGATTTCACTAGATTAGCTCTTAAATGCCAACTTTGTCCCAAATTTAAAATAGATCCTTTTCATAATACGGTGACATGTTGTGTTTTTGAGCTAGACTCCTTGCTAAGGTGTTTTAAAAACGGATGTAGAAAGTCTTAGAAATCAGTCCATCATGTCTGTCAGATATAATCTGGTGGTCTCTAAATTAAGCATGAATTTGGGTGGTGAAAAGAAGTATATTTGCCCCAATTTCCAATCTTTTCTGAGCAGCTTGATCTCAGATCTTACTTCCTTATTCCTGTAAAACTTGTGGCCTGTTTCGGTTCCTTATCATTGGGTGAATTTATTTTGAGTGAATGTTTTAATGTGTGATCTTGTGGTGCGTGGCACAATAACACATGCACAGTCAAACATGCACATGCAATCCCATTGTGAAGATGTAGAGGAAAACATCTTCTGGTTTGTGTCTTGTTCAGAGTTTTAAGATGGCTATGGGGTGGTGCCGGGTTAGCCTAGTGGTTAAAGCGTTTGCTTGTCATGCCGTAGACCTGCATTCGATTCCCCACATGGGCACTAATATTGCTAAAAACAACCTAAAACCCAACTGATGGACTCACTCACTAAGATGGCTATGCTGTTGTTAAGGGATGAGAATTTTTCGCGGATCCACAGAATTCCGGGAATTTCATAAGGCCAAGGGTCATTTTTGTGAATCGTCTAAATCCGTATAATTTGGCCTCGATTTGTTTTTCTCAAAACTTCATTCTCATGCCTGGTTGTTAGGAAACATGAAGGAATTCTTGGTCATCAGTGCCCTGTGCTGGTCATAAACAAGAGACGAGTGGCGATTCAGGTTCAGAATAAACCGCAGTTGGTAGATTTACTTAGACATTACCACTAAAGGTATTTTCTGCGCATGATCGGAAGGAAGCTTACGGTTAGGCAGAGTTCCAGATAAGATTTAGCTCATGTGGGTACTGTACCCACTGTATTTTTTTGGAGTGGGTATTATGAATGTTGAGTGGGTATTTCATTTTCCTTTACCCACTGCTTTCAAATATGTGCGTATTTCAGTCATTTTACTCACCTAAGTATTATGTCATTAAGTAAGTTTACAAAGCAGGTATGTCCTGCCTTATGTCATACCTAATCAAAACCAACTTAAATATAATGGAAATGATTTCATAAAAAAATCACTCATCCTATACTGACAGTACAACTTGATAGCAATCGATGTCTTTTTCATTACGCAAGTGATTTTTATAAATATATTCTGTACGCATTTGTTTTAAACTTTTTGCGTATCTAACATTTTAAATGCGTAATTGGTACGCAACAATTATTTTTCAATGTGTAATTGGAAATTTTCTATGCGTATTTTACCCGGATACGCAGCTTATCTGGGCCTCTGGTTAGGGTTAGGGTTAGAGTTGGCAGGGTTAGGGTAAAGGTTAGGGTTAGGGTTAGAGTTAGCAGGGTTAGGGTAAAGGTTAGGGTTAGACTCCTATGTACAACAACCGGAAGTAGCTAAAACAATGGTACCGGTATAAGTAAAGTGCCCCAGCAACCTTATCCTTGTCATAAGAGGCCATCATGCTGGGAGTCTGGCACTGACTTGTCATCTCAACCCAGTATCAATCACTGGTTCGCCTGGTCCAGACAGATCATTTCTTATTATACAGTCTTGATGTGGAAGGTAACTGATGGAGAAGACAAATAGGGACAGATAAGAGCAAGGCATTGGTGCCAGAATGGTAAATAAGATATTTTAATCAGTTATTAGATGGATGCCATAAATCTGATTACTGTGAGTCCATCTGAATGTTGTACATAGTGTGCTTATGTCTTGTGTTATATTTCAGTGAACTCTGAGGCCAACGCCAGACGTATAGCATGTGTAGAACAGTGCTTTGGGGCAGCGGGGCAGGTATGCTAAAGGAAATCTGTAATTAGTGTACATTTATGTTTTTTGTGTGTGCTTGCGTGCTTGCGTGCGAGAGAGAGAGAGGAGATCGTGAAGAAATTTATGGATCACTTACCTTTGCCTGAGTAAAAGGATTTACATGTTTATGAATAGGGATTAGCGACCAAACATTAGAAATTCAGGTACAGTCAAATCCCGATGAGTCGAATCACTGGGGACCAAGTAATAAATTCGATTTATCGATGTATTCGAGACATAGGTATGTCTATGAGGGTAGAAAAAAAGATAATCCAGTCCTAATTCCTCCGCCTAAGCATTTGTTTACCTAACGATTTCCCTATCACTAATAGGGACACCTTATCAGTTCCAGTCTGATTAGCACAGACAGTGATTTCCGTAAAATCACTTATCTGCCTTTTGAACTCACCCGTCAATGGCGGAAAGGTGTGAGCCGAGCTGGTTTGTTAATTGGATCAGTTTGCTACACCAATCAACTTCTCATTGACTGACTTCGGCTTATGTATCCAAGATTGCTGTTGTTTGAATCTCATGGGACCAAATTTCCTTCTCGAGTCATCGTGTGTATTTATGAGACGAATTCGTGTAACCGGTATTCAAATGATGACAAATATAACAGGGAATGGTCGGGACCGACTTGTACTTCGAGTTATGCATAATATTCGAGACACCGGCATTCGACTCATCAGGATTTGACTGTATATTCAAAATACTATTTTGTTCATAAAAATACTTGAAACTATATCCATCTGACCTAAGATATTTCCCAAACAATAATATTTCTCACTGTGTGTCTGCAAAATTGGATTCATTCCAGAGTGAAATGTATGCCTTGAAGCAGTGTAATTACTGTTTTATTCCATCTCAAAAACCCTCACATTCATCTGACGCTAATATTATTTCGTGATGGTAAAATTGTTCATTCAGAACTGATCTTGTATATGTGACAGTTCAAGTGTTCATCTGTGTCAAATGTTGTTTTTCCGAGGTAAATTTGTTATTCTGACTCTGATATTCTTTTCTCACAGTAAACTTGTTGATCCAACTTAATGTTTTTTTGTCCTGGGACTTAAGTTGTTCATTGGAGACTGATGTTGTTTTCAGCCGCTAGCCGTCCCAGGTCGGGTGCTGGTCGGAGAGGGTGTGCTCACCAAGATGTGTCGCAGGAAGCCCAAGTCAAGACAGTTCTTCCTCTTCAACGATGTCCTTGTTTATGGAAATATACTCATTCATAAGAAAAAGGTGACAGCTTTGACCAACTATTCATTTCCATTCAGCAGATGCATTAACCATCTTTGCTAGGCAAAGTATGATATTACCAAAGCATGCAGATATCACAACTTCAGTAACCAATAACAAAGGCATGCAGTTATTGCAAAGTTACACTAATAACAAGGTTGTACTTTGTAATATTTGGTTGCACCAGTGCAAGTAACAAAGCACTAAATCAAGCCCTTTTTACCTAAACACGGAGATACAGTTTGAGAGTTATACTGTAAAGTAACTCTTTCATAATGATAACAATCAGTGAATGATTAATGTGAAAGTTCTGGTTAACTATATGAATATTCAGAGCAGTACCCATTGTACACCCCACTCAGAGATGTTTCACAGTTTCCTCATGTGTTTCAGTACAACAAGCAGCACATCATCCCGCTGGAGGACATCAAGCTGGACAACGTGGAAGATGAAGGAGGTAGGAGTCATAGCAACCTGTTGCCATGGTTACAGGTCCTGAGTCATACCCCAACAATGTGGAGCATTGCTCACTGTATCGATCACTGGATAGTCTGGTCCAGATCTGATTACTTCCAGGCTGCCATCTTACTGATGAATGAGGGTTTACATAAGAAAACACAACAGGACTTTCACTCTGCATTCAGACTCAGTATGGTGGGGTAGCCTAGTGGTTAAAGCGTTTGCTCGTCACGCCGAAGACCCGGGTTCAATTCCCCACATGGGCACAATGTGTGAAGCCCATTTCTGGTGTTCCTTGCCGTAATATTGCTGGAATATTGCTAAAAGCGTTGTAAAACTAAACTAACTCACTCACTCACTCACTCACTCACTCACTCACTCACTCACTCACTCACTCTCTCTCTCTCTCTCTCTCTCTCTCACTCACTGCACAATTTTTTTAGTTTCACCATGTGGAGGACATCTAATCTTGCTTGAAACTGATTAGAGATGGTGTACTTTGTTGTTGCAGAGCTGCACAATGGGTGGAACGTGATCAGTCCACAGAAGTCGTTCACGGTGTACGCTGCAACAGTCACGGAGAAGAAGGAATGGATGGCCCACATTAGGAAGTGTGTCAACGATCTGCTTGTAAAACGTGAGTTCTTGTTTATTTACCTGAGCAGGAATTTCATCATGGCTGTTTGACATCATAATAGTCTGTTGCTGTAATCAGAAAACCTAACAGCAAACATTAAGTGATGTTTTGTTATTGATAAATGTGTCTATCCATAGTTAAAGTGTTAAAGTAAAATTCATTTAGGTTGTCCATATATGTAAAACTGTTAACACTCTCAATAGTATGTCTCCGAAATGGAGTTGACAGAGTAGTTGAAGAGTCTGCCTAGCAAAATAATATACACACCACTGTGATTTCTTTTTTTCATTGGCACAGTTTACAAATAACTTTCTTAGAAAAGGTTTACGGTTCTTGATCGGAACTAACAGACATGTGATCAGTATTTGTTGGTGCACAGTACAACATATGTTTTCTACCTACCAGGTGGTATTACCCAGACTTCCAAGGAAGACTCCCCAGTCTGGGTGCCAGACTCAGAAGCCAGGACCTGCATGCACTGCCGCAAGTCAGAATTCTCTATTGTTAACAGAAGGGTAGGTGACTGCACAATGAAAGTTTATCCACTAAAGTGAGTGAGTGAATTGAGATTTACGCTGCACTCAGCAATATTCCAGCTATATGGCGACGGTCTGTAAATAATCGAGTCTGGACCAGACAATCCAGTGATCAACAGCATGAGCATCGATCTGCACAATTGGGAACTAATGACATGTGTCAACCAAGTCAGAGAGCCTGACCACCCAACCCCATTAGTTGCCTCTTACGACAAGCATGGGTTACTGAAGGCCAGTATTGTAACCCAGACCTTCACAGGTCTATCCACTAAAGCAAATGTAATCAGTGTCTTTGGGGGAGGAGAAAACAATATTTAAACAATACGGGCAAATTTTCCCCACTTTTTCAAAGAGAAACATATAGGTTTGAAGAAGTGCCCAAAATATTTCCATTCTGAGGGAGAAATCCCATGCCTCCATTGAGAGTTTTATGTGTTAGATCCTCCCCTTACTGTGGAGATGATGGATCTGTGGATGTTTGTGTTAACAGTCCAAGGAACTGTGTTTTTTAGTCTCCTTTCAAATACAGGTTCTGCTCCGTATAATTTTATACTATTCTGGAAGACATCTAAATTGTAGTTTCCTGTGCATTTCTCATTGATTATGTCTTCATAGTTCACATGGTGCATGCAGTTTGAAGACATGCAGGCAGCTGTGTTGTTTTTGACAGACGAAAGAAATCAGAGTCACATCTGTTGATGAATCCAGGTCATGTGAAGGTCGTCTGTTCTGTGTTTCAGCATCACTGTCGGAAATGCGGCATCTTGGTGTGTAATGCCTGCTCCAACAAGCGACTTATGATGCCCCAGCAGTCGTCGAAGCCTCTGCGAGTGTGCCTCACGTGCTACCACAAGTTGTCCAACTCTGCAGAAGGCAGAAACAGCTCAGTGGCCGGTGAGTCAATCAAGTCATCTCACACAATATTTTATTGCTGTTGTAAAAGAAATAGTCTCAACCAAACAGAGACTTTGACATAGCAATTGGACACACTTGTCTTGTGAAGATGCCACAGAGATGATATGTATTTCCTCTTGTTGAGTATTTGTTACTGTTGGTCATTTCCAGTGCCGGACCAGGCTCGCCTCAACGATTCTTCGGGAGAGGAATCATCCGATGATGACGATGAGTCTGGGTCCCTGTCCAACCAGGTGAGATAAGACCTCGTGTTTTGTACCAACCCTGAAATACTTTGTCCAACCAGGTGAGATAAGACCTCGTGTTTTGTACCAACCCTGAAATACTTTGTCCAACCAGGTGAGATAAGACCTCGTGTTTTGTACCAACCCTGAAATACTTTGTCCAACCAGGTGAGATAAGACCTCGTGTTTTGTACCAACCCTGAAATACTTTGTCCAACCAGGTGAGATAAGACCTCGTGTTTTGTACCAACCCTGAAATACTTTGTCCAACCAGGTGAGATAAGACCTCGTGTTTTGTACCAACCCTGAAATACTTTGTCCAACCAGGTGAGATAAGACCTTGTGTTTTGTACAAACCCTGAAATACTTTGGCAAATCTAGAATTCTTCTGAGAATGAAACTTGCTTTGCTCATTCCTATTTTATTTTAGAAGACAATTTAACCCAAAACTGATGTTAAATATTATATCAGTGTTATAATGTTACTGATAGTCCAGAGATTCTAGTTTGACTAATGCCTTGGGATATGTCCGTTAGCAAGACAGTGTTACCTTATCGAACTGTTAACCAATATTTCCTTCAGGAAAAATCTTAATGGATTACAGGAATCATATTTCATAAGCCCAGTGATGCAGTACAGCAGTCCGTGAGTGGGTGTTGCCTAAACTGCTTTAGGGTAACAGAATGTTTTCCAGTTCATTCACAGGATCTGGTGGTCAGGCTCGCTGACTTGGTTGACACATGTCTTTGTATCCCAATTGCATAGATCAATTCTCATGCTGTTGATCACTGGATTGTCTGGTCCAGACTTATTTACAGACCGCCGTCATATAGCTGGAATATTGCTGAGTTCAGCGTAAAACTAAACTCCCTCACTCACTCCAGTTCATTCATTTTGACTCATCAACCCCTTTCATATGAATTATTGCCCTGCTTATTTGAAATTTGTCTCTTTTCTGTATTTCAGAATCAGTTTCAAACATATGGAGGCGAATAGTCCCAGCAACAGCATGAAAAGGACAAATATATTTTTGTGACTCAACAATCAAGTGCAGGTTTAGCCAGATGTGTTTCTTATACACCAAGCAGCAGCTGTAGATTGAATACTATTTTCTTGCCTACTTGTCACAACTAGGTTTTTGTCAGCAACATGTAGTGGATAGGAATTAGTTATCTGACTTTCAAGCTGCTAGTTTGATTGCTGTGGAGATATGTATGCTTCAGCGTTAGGATGTGAATTATTGAATCAACAAATGATTGATAGTTTGAAGGTATGTGGTAGTGTACTGCTGAACAGTGAAAAACACACAGTTGTTGCTGACAATGGACACCGTGATTTGCCAGGAGTTAACAGATTTGAAGTTCAAGAGTTCAAGAAGCCTGGAATATGTTGATGACTTTGATATTCCAACAGTATTTCTGATTTTGCATATTTACCTTTGCATCAGCAGTTAGGGATCTGTTTTTGTCATGACAGATTTGAAAGTACAAGGATCACCTTTATAGCATTTGGGAAAAAGTAAATTTGTATCCCTACAAAATTGCTGTGAGAAATAAGTGTTATTATTAACTAACATCTTTTGAACTAGTACTAGTTCAGGTGAAATTGACTTAGTCTCACATGACAAATGTGAAATAGTCAATATGACGTGAAGTATTTCAGTCAGCTGCAGGTGGTAACCTGCCTTTAGTTGCACAGGACATACTGAGTCAGCAAGAATGTAACCATGGCGTATTGATGAAATAGTGTGTACGGAACCTGACAAGGAAGTAACTTATTTATCGTTAAATGGCTTTGCTATATAAGTGTACAGTATATTATATGTTTGAACACTAAAGGCTCCTTCTCTTGGAGATCTTTATACTTAAAGTTTTGCCAATGGACTGTTTTTGATGGTACCTACCCTTGCTGTTTACAGAAGGAGTTGTCTGCCCTTGCTGTGTACATAAAACATAAAAGTTAACTGCCTTTGCTGTGAAAAGAAATCTGATGAGAGTTACCTTCCTTTTCTTTGTACAGAAATGTTCTTAGATTTACCTCCCCTTCTTGCTGTGTAACGTAAGAATAAAGTTGCTGTTCATTTCTATATACAAGCATTTAATCAAGTTTATTTCCGCTTATCATGACAAAAAAATGAAATAATGTAAGTTGGAAATGTATTGGGTAGGAACGAGAAACAAAACTCAGGATTTTGGTCATTTTAGACATGCTGAATCTAGTGTGTTAGTTCATGCTGAGGCTGTGAGTAAACTTGACAACATAAGTAACATGTATAGTACACTCTTGCCAATACGTTGCCGGAATCGGAACAGCGTAAAACCTGTCTCTCACTCTCTAATTGCTGCAAGACTATGAAAGAATACTGTTTAGTCTGGAAAGTCTTGTGCATCATATGCCCATGTGATCGAATAAACACAAACGTATGATAGGTTGATTCCCAGGGTACCTGCACCTTGTCCGTTGATCAGCTCGTGGGGTCAGAAAGTCAGTCAGCTTGTTCTGTGTCTGAAAACATCTCTTTCCTTTACACAAGTAAAGTCGGCCATCTGAAATGTTCCTGGCTGAATATATGCTGGAATATTGTTTTTGAATCATGAAAGATTTGGCTGCATACCACTGTGACCTTCTGTGTTCTTGCTTGGCGCTTTAGTAGCAGATATATACGAATTATAACGTAGATATTTTCCATGTTATTTTCAAGGGTTTTATCTGTACATACCATATCAAAGTAATTAATCATATGATGACATCATTTGTACAATATTCATGTAGGAATCCATATCACGTACAAGCAACGACCAAGTGGAATTATTCCTAAGTATTAAAGTTGAAACAAAATATTTAATTTTCTTTTTATACAAGTCACATTCGTCAGCAGATAGTTTGGGAATCATTTTTAGTGCAAGAGATAACTCTATTCTGTACAGTATTTTAGAAGAAAGATGGGGTATAGAAGTCAGTATAGATAAATATTATAACAGTATAAAAATTTAATAAGGCCCGATAAACAAAAATATTCTTTTCTCTTTCCAAAACTGACTGTAAGGAAGAGGATGTATTTTTTCAGATGCATTTCATTATTAGGTGATTATCTGTCAATGTAAATTTGATTCTTATGTTCCAAAATATAAAATATTTTAAAAACTTTAGAAGAATGCAGTTTTAGGGTTGAATGGGTCTTGAAAAACATACAACCTATTTTTGCAGGCCTCATAATGAAGCTGTCTGTATTCTTACATCCACTTTGCCCCATTTAGTGACGATGATGGAGAATAATGACAGAATGTAGTTATTTATCTCATGATTGCTCATGTAGTCGCCACATGAAATTCATTGCTTAATCTGTGGTCATTGTGCTTGCAAGATTTATTGAACAATTTGTATAACCTTAATGCATCCAGTCAATACTGGGTGCATTGTGCAGCAAATGTTTATCTGGTAGTGCCTTATCCTCCCACAGCAGCGTCAGGTACATTCAAATGGCATCTGTTGGGCTCCAAAGAGGTCAGCAATTGATCTTCAAATTAGTCAGTTTGATTGTATTGCAATGGGAGGGGTTGTGTCCCTTGATACTATCTGGATCCGCTGGACATTCACTCAGGTTCAGCAGAATGCTGAATATCTACCACCTGCATGAGTTTCACATGCCTTGAATTAACCTGAAGTGATGTCCAGAGATGTGTTGAGTGGCAGTCATTACATGGCTGATCGAAGACGATGTGCATCCCCCCTCTGGAGCGGCAACAATCCGATCACATATTTCACACATTCACTCTTTATTACCTGCATGCAACTTCAGTATTGCTGAAACTGTTGTAAAACCATCCACACTCACTCACTCTCTAAGCCTTCATGCCGTGTACATAGATAAGAATATCTATATTATGCCACAATAACTTGACTAGTACATTTTCTTCCAAATTCATCCATTGACCCCTTCAATGTTACAGTTTTTGAAAGTATCCAATCACTTTTTTCAGACCCACATTTTCCAGGACATTCAGGGAACATGTAAGGCAGTTGTATTTTCATTATTTTCTGGATCAAATTTAAATTTAAAAATTCCATGTCCCCAAAATGAATGGTCCTTCCCAAACTGAAAGATGTTATTTGTTATATATCCTTTGTCCTGTAATGACAACCAGGAAGCTGTTACCTGTCATTAATATTTGACTAGGAAGAAAATCTCATTATCAACTTGTTGTGGCCTAACTGTAGGGGCTATGATCTCATACAACCCGGGGCTCCATGTCCTGGGGTGGTAGATAGTTCACTGGTTGGTCGTATGGCATTATTCTTGTATTTCCTTATAAGGATGTCTGTTGATTATGTATCGTTTCATACAGGAAGGAGGTAGCCAGCCGCATTGTGAACTGTGGACATTGTGTCATTGTAGCCCCTGCTCACTTCGCACAATGAATCACAAAACACAAATGTATGATATCATCTATAAAACAATCATGATCAAATGATATCAAGTTTCTCATGTAGTGTAGAATTGTGTCAGTGAAGTTGTTTTGTATTGGTTTTATTCTGTCTTTTGTATTTTGATACTTGACTACAACATTTGTACATGTTATGTATGTCTCTGGCAACATCACACAAACATTGCTGCAAGGTTTCCACTGGGGTGTTTCGCTTTTTGACCAGGTAAATATACATCGTAGTGACTAAGTATCCCTGCAGGTAGAACAAGTTTAGTTTCAGTCTAGTATTCCCTGGGGAAATGCATTTCAAAACATGTCACCAGACATCTAAAGATGCTAAATAATATCAAGTGAATATTTCATTCTCAAACTAACTGAAAATACCTAATCTGTACTTTTCATCACTGAACATTGTTGCTTGTTCAAGCAAATATTTCATTACTTTGCCTGAAGTTGCAATGTTTGTTGAAGTGTCAGCATTCATCAGAAGCTATGCGTGGATGATCCCGATGATATGTTGGAAATAGCTTGCTCTACCCCATGTAGAGTAATAGAGTGTAGTTTTGCCCTGAACTTTCCCAGTTAAAGCATGGGGAGTTCCAATAAGTATTGTCAGCACCTTTGATCTTAGAATTGAAATCAGAGAGTTGCAGTCCCATGTGAACTATAGCCATGGCAGCCATATTGAAATTGTATTTTGGGCACCAAGCCTGCAGTCATTATGTGTGTGTATCAGATGTGTGATTGGATCATGTCTGTAACAGTACATGCTAACACGATAAACTCACTTGAGGAAATTAGGGAGTGGCTCTAATTTATGTATTGGGCATATAGTTGATGACATGACACTTGTTGAAATTACAATTTCTTGTTTCTCATAACTGCCCACCCCTTTGATTGCACCTTATCCCAAATATATTTTCAGTTTTAAGAAACAAGTTTCTTTACTTAGAAATAGTTATGCCACTGGACTTGAGGTTTTTGCAAACCCAGTGACCTTACTTTTAAAAAGTATGTTGAGATGTCATTTTAACTGACATTAACATTGTTAGCCAAACTGTACAGGTTACTGGTGTTTATTTCAGATGTGTTATGTATCTATATCAAATACATTGATGCAACTTTGTACTAATTATTGAAGGGAATGAATTTTTCAAGTTTTTTTCAAATGTGATTACATCCGATGAATCTACAAGTTCACACTTACCTTTATCTGCCCCCATTTAATATATTCCACGAGCCCTCAGGTCCGACAAACCTACCTTAGAGAGAGACCCTATTACATCTGAAAAACTTGCCTTTTTGTCTTCGTCAACATGCAGGAGACATCTGCAGCATGAGTGCATCCAATATTATCATGGGTCACCCTTGATTGTGGATATGTTGTGCAACCTTTTTTAGCTGCTAAGGCCAGACCAATTTCGTTTCTTGTTTTACATATTCTTGTCCTCAGAAAACCTATTAAAAACATCACCTGTCAAAACAAAAACTGACATGAGTTTTTCAAAGGCATTGTTTTTCAAGTTCACACTCGCTGAGGTGCTTGAAGCAATGATTTCTAACACAAATATTGTTAGATAATTCAGTTTAAAGTCTTTGAGAACAGATACCAGTGTTTTAGTGTCCAACAAACTGCCTTGTGTAGTCGAGGTCTTGCTCCCGTATATGTTAACATTGGGATTATATTTTTAGAGGGGGGAAGTTTTATTTTATTTTTTAATTTTTTTGCATTATTGAAAAAATACGGATCCGTAAAACAAAAAATAACATTTGTATGGCCTAATCTTCAATATCCAGAAATTCATGTGACATTACCTTCTGATGCAGCTGTATCTTCCCCACGACTTATGCAGAATACGATGTTTTTCCTCATCAACCAGTATGCACACTCAGGCAAGCCTGGTCACGCCTTTATCAGGTTCTTGTCATGACAATACCTTTACAGGAAGTGGTTAACTGTCACAGTGGACTAATTTTGCATAGATAGAAAAGGAGTGGATAGACCTGCTTGTTGAAATGTGTGATCTATTTATCATTTAGTCAACATTCCATGGTTTTGTTTGGTAGATTAGTATTTATTATCCTGTTGTGGAGTGAATATTTTGATATTTGAAATTCCTCCGACCCTGTCAACGAGGAGAGTGACAAGGCACCTCCGGTATTTCTTCTGAGGGCAGGTTCTGTAGACAGGAGGAAATGTGTGCCTTACCAATTCTATATAGTGTTTGAGTCAGCTATTTGTAGAACAACTGAATCCAGTGTCAAATTTATCACTGCGTGTTATATACTTGCCCTAAAAATGTAGTTAGGAAACTTTAAGTTATGGTTTACCAGTCTTTTCGTGGGGTTTAAGTTGTTTCTCTTAATTAGTCCTAGGCCAAATGTTAGAAAAGACCCTATCTTTTAGGATCTTTTAGCAGCAGTAAAAGCGTTATCCAGTAATTGGTTTGACAACTCCCACCCTCCAGAGATTCTTGTCAATGTGGAACTAGACACAGAATGTATCAGGTTGCTGAAAACACACAAGGTTTACCCTGCTGTTGAAACAGTGTCCACATGTTCATAGACCAACTGCATGAGTATTAACCGCATGGTTTAATGGAGGGTGACAAGCACTGATGTTCAACATGATCAGGATATGCAGTATGGGTGATAACGCCTGGTGTATCATGTTACCTGATAATGATGTTATCTCTACATTTGGCCTAGGAGTATAATTAGATTAATTTGTTTATAGTTCAATGACACACATTCACGATTTTCTGTTAATCCGCAAAATACTGCTACTGGTAATCAATTGGTTTTATATGGAGTCGCATGTGAGTGTGTGAAACTACTTCGTTTACTATTACCATTACCAACTAGACTAAGGAAACCGGAAATGCAACATTTTGTTACTTTCCCCACTAAAAATGCAGGGGCTACAGTCATCTCAGTTCCGCTGTGTCGAGTTTCATCCTTTGAGCAGAGACCAGTGACTGAGAGTCCTGATTTGACCTGTTTATGCTTCTTGGTCTAACGGCACCTGTGCTTGTGGCAGACGTCATAAACTGACATCACTGGGCTTTCCTTCCCCATCAAGTTGACATGTCATGATGGTATGAAATACCGTTGAAAGCAGCAAAGATCCAATATCACTCACTATTAAAGCAAAGGTCATGTAATATACAATGTATGCATATGCTAATCTTAATGTTTAGTCAACAATATTCCCATAATTTTCTTGATAAGTGTTCAATCTGGAATTATCTTGTTTGTGTGTGATTACCAAGCCTAAGAAAAGAGTTTATTAGTTGTTTGGTTTGAAAATAGTTGCCCTTTTTATTTGATGACTCACTTAAAACTCCGAGAAAGGATTTCTACTGAAAAGTAACAGAATGCATGCTTTGTCATGTGTATTCCAGGTTGTGAAGTGATGTGTTTTGTCAGAATGCACCTCACTGAATTCTGAGAAAAATTTCAAATTTTGTCCTGTACAAATTTGAGTTTAATTTGTGAAGTTGTTCTGAAAGCCAATATTGATTCAGTCCATGGGTCAGGTGATCATAGAGCTAAACTATCACAATTCCCATACTTGGGTTTTGACAGTCAAAATGCTGGGGATCGTTTTTGAAACTCCGGCACTGGTTGGTATTCCAATAATAGAAACAAGTAATCCTATTGTATTGACATCTCTTGTGCAGAGAATGCAATGTAATAAGTATTACCATGAGTCCTCTTTAACAAAGTAAATAGAAGTAGATAGATTGTGTGGTGTTGGGTGGTGGATCACCTTGTGGTTTGGAATAGGAATGGCATAGATCTTATAAAGTTAAAATTAACAAATCCCATCACTGTTTTGGATGTGTGTGGTGGTGTATTATTACTCTCGGTCCGGCTTGAAGTGAAGGTTAGAACAGATGAAAGTAGGATATATTCTATGGAATTTTATGGAAAAATCTGATTCTGAAATTAAGACACAAGAATTGTCACCTGTGGAGCAGGTGATTTGTATTGTGTCAATTACACCACAGATTATTGTAAACTATAAATTAATATCAGTTGAGGTGATTGTTCTGTTTAATTGGCTGCTCATTTTGCAGGAAGCAATATCATCTCGGAGGCTCAAAGCAGGCTTTGTCACAACTACTGCTAATGTTTGTCTGTTATTTGTATTAACAGTTTAATGGAAAAACTACCCTATCAATTTTAAGAAAATTATGTAAATAAAAGTCTATTTTATAAACTGTTTTATATATTCATTTGAACACAGTAGTTGATCTTAGTACTGACAATTCTACCTATCATTGTACATATGTCTTGAACCATTTCAAATAAAACACTTTATCACTGCCCTGTGTGTACTGTGTTGGTATATTGGAGTGTGTCGATATTAATCTCTGCTGGATAAACTTCCTTTTTGCCTGCATATGTAAGTATACTCTCAAAAACGAAGTCTACATACATAAAGAACACTGGTGAGTGAGTGAGTTTACACCGCAATCAGCAATATTCCAGCTATATGGCGGCGGTCTGTAAATAATCGAGTCTGGACCAGACAATCAAGTGATCAACAGCATGAGCATCGATCTGCGCAATTGGGAACGGATGACGTGTCAACCAAGTCAGCGAGCCTGACCACCCGATCCCGTTAGTTGCCTCTTACGACAAGCATAGTCGCCTTTTGTGGCAAGCATGGGTTGCTGAAGACCTATTCTACCCCGGATCTTCATGGGTCTAAAGAACACTGGTGTTACGTACTGCAGTGTCAGGCTGTCGGGAATACTTCACCCTGATGAGGGTGCTGGGGTAGCCCAGTGGTTTAAGCATTCATTCATCATGCAGAAAACCCGGGTTAGATTCAGGGGACAACGTGTGAAGCCCATTTTTGGTGTTCCCACCGGGATATTGCTGGAATATTGCTAAAAGTGGCGTAAAACTCACTCTCCCTGAATGGACTTCTACATTCTACGGATTTGGATCCGACTTGGCTAAGGAACACAACTCTGTACAGCAAACTGTCCTCTGGCAGAGAGTGTATGAACAGGGACAAACATACAACAAAGGTTAAATTTTCATTACAATATTTAATTATGTGTCAAGTTGAGTTGAATATTGTGATACAAGCATTTCATTATGTGGACTGAGAGAATCACCACATTTTTCACTCTTATTAATATGAACAGTTGCAGCACTCTGTTTCATGACTCACAAACTTAGAAATGATTCCCCCAAACACATCCTGTCATTATGACTCCTATTTTTCTGTAAAACCCTGTTTAACATGACACAGAGCAATATTCCAGCTACATGGACTGGAGCCAGACAATCCAGTGACACATATTATGAACAACACTGTCTGGGTATGATGACACAGACATCACAGAGCATGACTACCTGATCCTTTGGGTCAGCACGAAGACAATTTCTAATGTGCAAACTCAACAGGGCCTTTTCAGATGACATCTTGGAACAAAAGAGGTCCAGAATATCAATTTGTACTAAACACTTACTAACTGAAATTTTTTTGAGTGGCATTTTAGAAGTTAAAAGGGGAATTATCACTTATTCATGACATATAATATACATTGCTGGTTAATATAGAACAAACTTTATGGATAACAACTTATGGAATAAAAAGAAGTTGTTATCCATAAAGTTTGTTCTATATTAACTGAAACTTGAAGATGACGATATATCAGTAAAATAATGATCTTTATCAAAGACAAACAATAAATAACAGTCTCATGCAAGCGCCCACATGCTATTTCACTTTAACTATAATAGGTCAGGGCAGTTTTCCCCGAAAAGTCGGAGGAGAAAAAGTGTGCTTTATTATCACGTTATTTTATACATGGTGGTAGAGCCAACTGTATTTCTTATATACATGACAGTAAATCTCGGCTTAACAGTATACTACTTGTAGAAGGTAAAGAACACCTGATATTTTCACATGATTATAGTTAATCTGTCAATAAATCTCGAAGTCAAAGATCTGATCTGATCATATAACTTTGGATAAAGATACTTAGATCAGACCTAATGTAACAAATCCTGGGGGCAATAAGCATCAAAATATGAACCAGTTTACATGAAACTGTTGAATACTATTGTGAATGATAAGTAATTTGATCATTTCGTCCTCCCAAATATATCCTGACTATTCCTCTCAAATGGTGAGTAGTTCTTTCCAGGGTGCCGTTGTCCAAAGCAATCTTAGCGCTAAGGTGATCGTGAATCCCATACTTTAACATAGAATTCACGGTAGATAAGGTGCACCCTGGTCTTGAGACCATATGTTAAAATTAGAGATGGTGAATGATGGGAGACAATCTTCATCACCGCTCAGCTCCAATTTAGCAAACAAAGATTCAAATCAATGTCATTGCCTAATAGCGAACATGAAAATTCAATGGAATATATGTATCAATTCTTAACCTAAACTTTTCATATTCCGAGATGAGGTCCTGCATTCACATCTTCCCGACAGTCTGACAACTCTCCTGACCATTCCATGGAAATCAATGACTAAGCTCACACATTTGAGTGGCTCCGCTTACTGGGACAAGTTGATCGCAGTTTCAATCTCATGATTCTAGTCAGGTGACTGGCAAGTCTAGCTCGGCTTGATACGTTTGTTTGTGACGTCAGACATTGCTGAGGGGCGTTTGAGACCTGAGGAAACATTGTCTGAGACATCTTTTCCTTTCTCTATCACACTGTTGGAGTTCTCGGGTTCTTTCAAGATGTCCTCCGATAAGACAGGCTGGAATAACAACACAAAATACGTAGTTATGGTTTCTGAAACAACAGATGTAGCATACACATATTTCTACAAAGAAAATAAAGAGACACCAATAGGCTTGACTTTTTTATTTTATTTTCCATTCATCTTTGCAAGTGAATATTTGACATTGTTGGGATCAGCATTCTAACTGTATCACAGTGTCCTATATACAGGGGAGGCTGGACCAGACAAACCAGTGACTAAAAGCATCAGCAATGTTCCTCACCCTCTGATACGATGACGACTGACTGACTGAGTCTTTAGCAATATTCCAGCAATATCATGGCAGGGAACACCAGAAATGGGCTTCACAAATTGTACCAATGTGGGGAATCGCACCCTGGCATTCGGCGTGACGAGCGAACGCTTTAACCACTAGGCTACCCCACTGCCCCTGATACAATGACGGATAACAAGCCATACATAAAAGACTCAAGACCAAAGTACCAATGTCATCACCTCGTACTACAAGCATCAGATCCTGGGGACCTGTTCTCACCTGGATGAGGAAGGGGAGAATATAACCTTACATTCATCAACGATACATTCACCCCTCAACACAGCATAATTTTGCTAAATGTTTCTGTTCACAGAAAGTAATGAACGGATCTGACCTACCTTTGTTTTCTGCATGGCATGTTTTTCTGTCCATTCCCTGGCCCTGGCATTGTACAGCGCTCTGTTATATTTGAACTCGTTAGACTGAAAGGAAATAACATAAATACTGTTCATCTCAATTCTCTATCAAATCATTACTCATTACACACATAGCTATTCTCATTACACAAAAAGTTTTGAGAACAGATTCCAACCAACCAAATAAGAACAAAATTAGTGACACCACCACCACCCTCACACACCAAAAACTCTCCCTTCTCTCTCTCCTAACCACATTCGTTTTAAGTAAATACAAGGATAAAGGAGTATGAGAGGAGTTAAATGCAACTTTTCTTTACACACACAAGTTGAATAACTGACTGACTGACTGAGTTTTGGTTTTACGCCGCTTTTAGCAATATTCCAGCAACATCACGGCGGGGGACACCAGAAATGGGCTTCACACATTGTACCCATGTGGGGATTCGAACCCGGGTCTTCGGCGTGACGAGCCAACGCTTTAACCACTAGGCTATCTCACTGCCCCAGTTGAATAACTGAAACTCTGTGATAATATGAGGCATCATTTCTACATTCACTGACTGTGAATACAACAAACCAATCGAATAAACTCGCTATCCAGTAGGCATGTAATTGATGTCAACCAGCAGGAGCTAGGAACTGGGAACAGTCTACATGGTTTAGTTTCCTTGGTCCAGAAAGTTATTTGATGATTCTAACTGCCTAAGTTTAAATGGGTCTGTGTTTTCACGGTTCAAGTCAGTCTGAAGGGCAAGAGTGTAAGACATTACACATTTGCGCTGCTCCCATGCTGGGGCCGAGGTTCTGGCTACAATGTGGACTTACAATATCAGTCATGAGAGGGTCTTCAGGATTTGGCTCAGCCATTAGCAGCTGCAATGACGTCAACACGGTGCTTACATTCAAAATAGGTTTCCATGACCCCCTGAAACAGTTTGTTCAACATTCATAAACACCACATATTTTACCATATATACACTTGTACACCAGTAAATGCAATGGCAGAGATGAAAAACTGAATAAAATATTCAAGTATTCACATTATTCTTTTGAACATATTTACAGGAAATGGCAGTTTGAAGTAAAACTCATTGTCATTTTTACCTTAGGGGGCATTTTGAGTGTGTCCAGGCAAATTCGTCCACCGTTGTCAATATTGGGATGATATATGGGAGTGACATAACGCACCTTGGGGGGTTCAAATGGATACCTGTGAAACACAACACTGTATCTGACTGCATCTCTTCCCTACAGAGTTATATGTATCAAAATCAATTAAAATGAGAGTTGGACTACACTTACTTATACGATAATTCAGTAAAGGTTGATGACATCTTGTTAAACCCAGTAACTATGTTTGAAAGTAAATCGCACGGATTGTACCTGCAGACCCTATTTCCTACATACCAAGGCCAGAAAAACAAATAATATGTTTCTGATAACATCCATATAAAATATAGGTTGGAAAGTTAGGGATTCTTTCTTCTTATACAATTCATAGAATGTTTGTGTGCAGTTATATTAATTATAATAGCATATTTGTACTGCGCGCATATGTCCATGCCTATGCATGCTCAAAGCACACAGTCACAATCTGATTCATATTACCCTGGATAACCCAAGTACTAGCAGGTTAATAGGCACATGACTTATCCCACCAGGTACCCATTTTCTACTAGGTGCCAATTTTGAACAAAGTCCTCTGTAAGGTGAGACCACATGTATCACATATGCTTCGTTGTGGGGCAGGACTAAAATCCTAGAAACTCTCAGGAGTCAAGCTACCAAACATTGTCACCCACCCAAGGACTCCCACGCTCAACGTTGCTGAACTTCAACTGATTTGTGATCTGAGCTCTATGCACAAGACCATTGAGATCATGACAAAACTTGTTATGTTTTACCCAAGACACCAGTTGTCAGCGTATTGCGGTAAGCCTGTATTACTGTTAAATCCCACATGGTGGGCTGACAGGTGTTCTGCTAGACAAGGTAGGCTGGTATCATTTGACAAGAAATCTATAGCATCCTATGAATATGCATTATCATTGAGAATAGACTCTGCTCGTTTTTCATAAACTGCTTTGTTAAACTGCTTCATGATAAACAACACAATACTACCTTTCTGGAATCTGGATTTCCAATTTGAATATTCCACCTTCATACGGGGTGCCTTCGCCACCAACTATCTCTGGAAATAAATTACAGTGAGTCAAAATCTTGTTTTTCATTGTTTTTCTCAAATTCATGTACACATGATGCAGATAAGATTAACAGTTCTATTCTGAAACTTGACATATTGTCTGTATGTTATGATAAGCAATAATATTAAGTGAAATGTTGATCTGACCATCCTATTGTATGTTCTCTGAGAGTTTTCATCACTGACTTGTAAGTTAAATATTGCTGAGGGGCGAGTCAATAAACAGGTATTTCCAAGTTTGGAAAGATCGTGAGAATATCTTTCAGTTAATAATATCAGTTATTAATGTCAAATAAAACCACAGCAGTTAACAAGGTAAGAAATAATTCATAGGCCATGGATGTTTTGTTATCACAATGCAAACCTAATGGTTATTACTGACATGTATCATCTCTTATTACTATGGAAAGATTTCCAATCACTACAGCGACTTACATTGATTAAATTACATAATAATTTGACAAGTAACAGCGACAGTATTTTCTCTATTTTTCCCCATAATGAAACACAAATATGTAACAATTAATATTATGGAGTCATACAGCAGACAGTCTGATGCAGACCATAAGGTAAGGGTTAGGGTGTATAATTATAGAATCTGTTTGCCACCTGGGTTAGGTTTTGGCGAACATATTCCATAGTATAGGTGTACCAGCTTACGGCTAGCGTTGGGGGCAAACATACTGTATAGGGGCACCAGATTAGGTTCGGGGCGAACTTTTGAACTTGAAGGGAGGATGTGGTATCCCTATTTGCAACTAACGTGCTTCTAGATGATCTATTTTATCATCTTTTGGCCAGCATGATATTCCGTGAGGTGGTGATTCCGACATCATCTGAATTTCTCGCTTCATGCGCACATTTCTTTGCATTGTGGTGGTTGTTTACACTCTTGCTGTTCTCGGAATATTCGCACTTCCCGCCGAATGCCGAAAACTGGCACGACTTTGCTTCATGCAGCGATTAAAAGGATTCGGATGTCACTATTGCGTTAGGCCCATCTGGTAGCACGCACAGTCTCTAAGCTTATAACTAATCACGTAAAAAACAAACAGACAAACCATAACCTGAAGGAAACATGCATTGTTGTGAATCCTGTACTAAATAATAACTACTAATATAATTCCTAATCGACAGGCCAAGGTGATATTGCGATTGTAATCCCCTGCACTATTTACGACATGTATCGTAAGTGACAGCCGCTTGGCAAAAACAAACAAAACGACGACATATTGATAACGCTTTTATTCAACAAATAGGGTAAAACAGCTACTGTCAGTTTGTGGATTGTTGCACGTTTCAAGTTTTAATCAGTCATCTTTTAACTAGTCTAATAAAACTCGGGCGAATATTTCTGCGAAGGCGCGTTTCGACGTTGCACAACTTGATTTTGACGTTCCTGGACATGGATGTGTTTACCTGGATTCTATAAAGTGTTGACATGGACCAAGGCAATATGGCAGAGGCAGAAAACAGAATAGTGAAATCCATACATTCTGACACATCGGTTAGAGTTGAGTTCATAAACGAAACCCAGAGACCTGTTGATTTGTTTTGGATTGACTTCCAAGGCAAGTTGGTGAGGTACAAACTCGGACTGAAGCCGAGCAAGAACTATCACATAAATACCTATGAAACGCACCCATGGATAGCCAGAGACACCCGCACAGGCTCATCTCTTCTCATCAAGAAAGATTTCATTTACTATCCTAAAGCAAATGATGAAGATGATGAGTTCCAGCAAATATTCATCTCATTACCAGGTATAATTCTAATATACTTATCGAGAGTACAGTTAATTGGGGCAACCTTGCTTAAAGGTTAAAGGTCGCATGCAGCTATAAAAACAAACTTAATTAAAACACAATTATTACTTATTCATGACATATATATGCATTGCTGATTATGAAAAAACAAATAAACAGAATTATAAGCGTACTAATTCTACAATCGCAAATCAAAAGTGAAATATTTTGTACTTGGGTTTACTTCCCTCGAAATGAAGCACCCATGATACCGAACCCAGTCAGAGTGGTTGGGCGTGCACTTAAGTGTAATGAAGTCTTTCATTGGCTGGTTCATTTGCCGATACGCTCATGGCTCTTTGTGTGTGTATGGAGATGTTGGGTTTTGAAAATACATGCTCATTCCTTGTGTATAACATTTTGCAATCAACAGACAACATATGTCATGTGTACAAGTATCACACCTGCCTGAGAAAGTGACTCCGTAAGAAGAACGTGTGGTGAAATAGTCAAATAAAATTATATATACAGTTAAATTGGTAATCTACTGTCATAACGTATAAAAGCTCGCTTCTAAAATATCAACAAAAGTCAAAACATTAGAAAAATAGCTCACATCAAAGCCTTCTCCAAGTACTCACCGCCAGTGAAGGTTTTCCGTCTTGAAATGTTAGTGCTTTGAATTATGAACAATGAATCTATATGTACTGCCATTAAATGCAAAGACGTGCTTGGCAATTACCATTTTATTATTGGTATGATATTATGTTATATATGTCAATATAAAATGAAAAACATTTGTAAACTTTTTTTTTGTTCGGCCCATATGATTAAGAATAAGGTCCTTTTGACATTTTATCACGGCCCATTTGACTTTCACCAAGGCCCGGCCCATTTGACTTTCACCACGGCCCATTTGACTTTTTCCATCGGCCCATTTGACTTGGCACTTCTCAGCCCTTTTGTCCTTCGGCCCATTTGACTAGATCCCGTGCATATATATGCCTGTTGCAATGGTATTGCTGAGGTGGCACAAAACAATATACTCTCACAAAAGCTAGAAACATATAAGCACTCGGTCAACAAGAAAGGTGTATCACCATGGTTTCGCCCCTTGACTTCACCTCGGCACCAAGGGATGTTAACCCCTGGCTGGAGTGCCCACCAGCCTGAGGTGCTGCAGTGTTTTCGCATGAGTTACTTCCCTTGGGCATGCCTGAAACATTATCCTCATCTGTTAGAATCTCAGGTTTGACTGTGTCCCTTGATGTATCTAACCTGAGCTCATGTTTTTTCACAAACAGTTAAGACTTCATCAGATATAACTTGTAATACTCTGCAAAGCAGATCTGAATCATTGTTACTCACATGGCAGATGGAACTTGTACATGACATGAGGTCTTCACTAGTGTACATGTTCTATGCAGAGTCACCCCTGGCGATGGTTCCCAAATTACACATACCTCCAATAGAGTTATAGAAACCCAGAATTTTGGCATGTACCTGTACTACCTTTTATCTATTTGGAGTATACCAGATCTTTTGAAGTAGGGAATACCAAACATTGAAATTTAATGAAAAGAAAGCTTTTGTTATTTCATGATGTGTATATTGTTACATAAGTCTTTGCTTGATTTCAGTGTTCAGACTTATTGACAGATGTGTAGACTTCTTGCGTTCACATGGCATCAGACATCAAGCGGACAATTTAAGCATTCCAACTTTACTCGTACAGGATCTCAAGAAGAATCCTTTTCTCCCATGTCAGGAATATCAGCCTTGAAGATTCATGCTAGACCACTAGCCTGAGACTACTCAATTGCACCAAGACAAGTTCAATTCCAGTGATGGTAGTCCTCATTGACTGGAAGCATTTGAGGGTCTGAACAAGGTCTCTGTTGTTCAAATCTGGTTCCAATGGAAGTGAATAACAAGTGATACACTGGTACAAACAGTGTACAAATGTGTTTCATTCATGCACGGCCAGCTACTCTGAGGAATAGTGAGACAATAGTCATCTGGACAACCCTTATGAAGATATACTGAGTCAAAAAAGAAACTTCACAAAATGTAATTTGAAAAATAATGAATAATCTTTCTCTGATGATACATCTATGTATCCGAAATGGGATCCCTATCTTTCGACTCTAGAAAAACGTTAGCAAAACCCACTCAAACCCAACCATTCCTCGTGCAAATGACGTTAGTGCCAAATCAGGTTTTGCACGTGCAGTCGATCACGTGATCTTTGCATCGAAGTTTTCGTCATATGCACGTATTTGCATTGGCCTGAAGAATTGAAAAAACACTTTTAAACCACAGTTCTAACGGTACTTGAAATGCCACGATTGTCAAATGTGCAACGTGAACGTGCCGTTGGCATGTTGCAAGCGGGAAGATCAGTTATTGACGCCGCAAAAGCAATGGGATGCAGCCGTCGTACTGTGTATGACTTGGCGAGGTCGTCTACAACAAACTGGCACCACTTCTGATCGCCCAAAGGTCGGTCGCCCACGTGTGACGCCACGAGCAGAAGACCATCAAATCGTCCTACATCACCTACGTGACAGATTTCTGCCGGCTACACGAACCAGGGCTGAGATGTTTAGAGGTCGACTGTCCTCACAGACCATTCGAAATCAGTTGCGGGCTGCCAATCTCCATTCTCGACGTCCATATCGTGGGCCAATATTGACGCCGTTTTCGTTAACGCCAACGTCTGCTGTGGGCCCAACGTCACCTCCGATGGACCCAGAGAGACTGGAATCGAGTCGTCTTTAGCGATGAATCCAGGTTTACCCTCAGGTTCGCATTGACGGCAGGCATAGAGTCTGGAGACGACGTCGTGAACGGTATGCCCAATGTTGTGTACAGGAAGTCGACAGATTCGGGGCGGTAGTTGCATGGTGTGGGGTGCTTTCTGTGGGAACAACCGCTTCCCGATTTCTGGTCATCCGTGGAAACCTCACAGCTGCTGCTTACCGCGACCAGGTGCTCACCCTGAACTCGTTCCTTTCATGGCGGCTCATGGCCCAGGTCTACAGTTCCAGCATGATAATGCTCGGCTGCATACCGCGATGTTGACACGAAATTTCCTTCAAAACGCTGGAATCAACGTCATGGACTGGCCATCGAGGTCCCCTGACCTTAATCCAATAGAGCACGCGTTTGGGATGCACTTGGGAGAAGGCTTCGTGGTCTTAGGAACCAACCTCAGTATTTGCAGGAACTTGGCGCTGCCTTGCAAGAGCAATGGCGCAGAATCCCCAACCACGTGTTCACAAGCATCAGGCAGTCGATGAGGAGACGGTGTTTGGCAGTGGTGAATGCGCGGGGCGGCCATACACGATATTAAACTGAGAAATTTCGCATTTTTATTCTTGTGACTTGACATTCTGTATACCCATGTTTTGGAACGGCAGTGTAGCCTAATGGAACTGATTATGGCACTGTCAGTGTATCCAGTACATCACACAGATCTCAGCAATGAAATAATACCAATTTAACCATCTTACCATCTCTTGTTCTTTTATAGTGCCCTGATGAAAGAATGTGCAGTTTCTTTTTTGACTCAGTAAACAAAGATCAGAGAGCTGGGGCCCCAGCATCCTCGATAATCTCCAGGGTATATGTTACGATCACTCTCAACTATACCCTGGATGCATCCATGGATTGGCCAGATGAGTTTATTACCTCCCTTGGCTGGCTTTTTATCCAATCAGGTGTCTACGGTGGGAAGTTGAGCGAACCAATCACAACTCACTTTCGCTTCTTAAATTATGTAACTGATTAAACTTGGCAACACAATTGATGCAGATGTAGAAGGAGTTCTTTTATATATTTTTTGAAAGTTTCAGATCTGTCAATTTGTCTGTATTATTTCCCAAAAATCTGAGTGGTACTGCCAACAAACCTTCGCGACTGCGACTGCTATCTTTGTTGATACTGGCAAGCTCAGATGTAACGGCGGCTTAGCTGATTGGCTGCTGTGAGAATGCGGAGCCAGCAAAGGGCGGTAATATAATTATCGGGCCAAGCCGTGGATGCATCCAGGGTATAGTGGAGAGTGGTCGTAACGTATAACCTGGAGATTATCAAGGATGGGGCCCCAGCTCTCAGGCCCCGAAATAAAATGTTTCTTTCAAATTTTTAACCATGATCTTTTTGTATATTTGCACCTAATGAAGAAAAGCAAAGCAACTTCCTGTTTTAGATGGACTGAAATGGGAAACACAATATTTTTTTGCTTTTGCAAATATGAGGATGTCAGTGAGGTGTGAATGGGAGGCCGACTTGCTTTGCAGAGTTGTGTCCCTTGGACACACCAGAAACCTATAACTGTTAGTGTGTTGTGTCAAGGTTTGTCAGCACCATTTCCATGTTTGTGGATTTTATCAAATGGTAATCAGGTTTATATCAGATTATGTCATGTCTAAATCCACAGGACAATATGATTTTAACAAACTTTTTCAAAGTGAGCCATTATAACACATGAACTGACCCGTGAAGATCCAGGTTAGAATTGATCTTCAGTAACCCATGCTTGTCATAAAAGGCGACTAATGGGATCGAGGGGTCAGGCTCACTGACTTAGTTGACACATGTCATGTCATTGTATCCCAGTTACGTATATCGATGCTCATGCTGTTGATCACTGGTCCAAGTTTACAGATTGCCGCAATATAGCTTGAATATTGCTGAGCGCAGTGTAAAACAACAATCAATAACACATGAACAAGGCTATGGCAGTACGTTACAGAATTATGTGAATTTAAGTTTAACCAATAATCCACATATTTGCATACCGTTAAGATATTACCGTAGATAAGCCGAATTTTGAGGACAAATAATCGTTAAAATATTAGAACATGTATGGTGTGTTTCATCATGTTGGTTACACATTTTGGTTATGTAAGACAGAAGCAACAAAACCCTTTAATTATTCATAAGAAATCCCTGATAATAGCAGAATCTGTTGTATGATTCCAATCATGTCATGGGCATTGGTTCATGAATCACTACAACCAGGTGCTCGTGTGAGGTATCCTGCCTCCAGCAGCCGCACAGGTCACAAGAACATGCAAAAGTAAGTCAGTTGTTCACCAAAACACATCATGTGACCAAATGATACAAGTAAAAAAATATAATACAACATTATTTTTGTCAGTGATATGTTAAATATGGAAATGGCCAAGTAATTAGATAAGATTTTGATGTGAAAATGTAAACTAGATAAACACATAGCAAGGGTGGTTGGAAGGATCTGAGCTTATCTGCTATGGATGTATAGTAAACATGATATAGTTGTAATAGATAATGATATCATTCTGCTGAGGAGGACATTTTACATCAGCAAGAAGAAGCTTTTGAAACCATTAAGTTCAGACAGTACAGCATTGTTTTAGCAAACGTGTTTGTACCTTGTAGAAGATAATGTTTGAAAATAATCAACAACCCAGGCCATCAACACAGTCCCCCATAGTAATCCCCAATATACCCCATGTTACACCAACCAACCAACCAACACCATACTTTGGCTCAGACCTTTTTTCAGCAATCCATCCTATATCCATAATCAGGGCTCTGTGTTGCCTACCGACTTCAGTATGTTTTCAAAATAAACAAATGATTAATCAGTTATTCTTTTTGGACCCCCGGAATTGAAAAACGTTGTGCACCATGAATTGTTGAACTGAAATACTCTGATGAATGAGAGATCATTAACAGAGACTACAAGAATTCTTTCTGTTTTTCAGCTATTTTTACTACAGGAGAATGTTCAAAACCAGGTATACGTGTTTTCAGGTTTTCCCTTAACCATGTTTTCTTAAAGAACAATGGTGCCGAGGCATTTAGAACTACTTTAAGAAGTCGCGATCTACTCGGACCAGCCATTCAACCATTCACGATCACCCCACCAGCCCTCACCCCATGACAATTTTTGCTGTAAGCAAGCTAACATTGGTGAACTGTCTTTGGAGATCTGTGTCTCTGTGTTGAACTGTTTAATTATAGTCTTAACATTTTAAGGCTCTGATACTTTTTTCAAATAAATATAGTCTGTGATACGCTAGTTACTGCACTGTCCATTGTTGACAGGTTTTTATATGTTGTTATTATATAACTTGGTCTAGTCTGGTTGACAAACTGGAAATGCAACTATAACTTTCAACTCTCTCAAATGGATATCAGTAATAATTTGAAAATACGTGGTTAATATTCTCAAACGACTTTTTGTCAATAAAGTTTGCTATACACTTTGGGTCTGTGATTATTTTTGTGGTGAATTGTTTTTGAAAGTGTACACTAGTTTAACTGACTGGTTCATTTGGACATATTATCAGAATACTGAAGTTATGATTTCTTTAGGTATGACATTTACTATTGTTAAAACAATAGTATGGAATCTTACTGTTATTGAAATATTTCAGAAAATATGTTCAGTATTTCTTAGGATGGGTAGGCATCTGTTATCTTGATGACATGACTCACTTTGCAGATATTTTATTACCCACGTGGTCAACGTATGAGTAGTTGCATACTAATCTCGTACGTCACACGAGTGTCGTATCCCGTTGACCTGTGTCGTAATGACTTGACCTGAGATTCTAACAATTTGATTGGATAACCGATTACCTCTCAATTAGGTCACATTCTGACGTAACTATTTTTTTCTTCATGACAAACACGTGAATTCATTCATTCTACAACTTAAATGCATTGTGGGAATGTAAACATTGCGAACGTTGCCGTGTCGCTGTTTAATTGTCGAACTGAGACATTATATCCGTCGAAAAACATAAACGCAATGTTTCCACCAGTGATGTTAGCCCGAATGAACATGATATGCAAACCAAGAAACGGGCTGCTACAGAGTAGTTTACTGTAGGAGGCTGTACGAGGCGATGACAACTGACATGCATCGTGACGTCAGTTACCAAGGCAGTGACGTCATGCAAATATTGTACTACAGTACAAAACTCTTCCGCAACCTCTTATGAAACCGGTTTGGGTTTGAAACCATAAAAAAAAAAAAAAATACGCTAATTTGTCAATTTAATGCATGTAAGACGTGGGTAATAAATAAAATACCACACTCGGTCTCATTGCGTACGAATTATACAAAACGAGTGACCTTCCTATGTTATCTGACGCTTGTAGGTGATGTGACTGATGTGTGGATATTGTATGTTCTAGTATTGTTATGGTGGTGAATGTGACGAGTGTTAGAAATGTGAAGATCTTCACAATGTTGAACTACAATCAACACCCATCTCCAGGGTTTATTTCCCTCACTAAGGTTTCACTGATGAGGATATTTTGATAAGAACCTTCTGACAGAACACACCATTGATGGACTTGGCAAAGAATTTCAGTTTCATTCCTGGATACTCTGTTCCAATGTTAACACCAACCACAGTGTTAGGATGGGTATTGATACTGAGAATATCCCAGTCATGAGGACATTCATGCTTCAACCAGCTCACCTGGGCAACTTCTGCTGTTACCTGATATCAAATCAAGCAATTTCAAAATGATGAACATGATGAAACTATAGTTTATGATAAGGAACCGAAACATGAAGCTATGAGAATTTTCCATACAGAAGTTCTGACGAGGTCATCCTGGCCATTCAAAGCACCTGCTTGGAGACTGGATTATGGATGGAGCAAGTTTACAAAAAATATAAGCAACAAAACTTTCTCCATATCCATATCAAATCTTGCCAAATTACCTTGTTTCGACTTGCCCAATTCGGGCATAAATTCCGATTCATATGCATAAAGAAACAGATAAGTAACTCTTCCACTTTCAAAGACATTAAACAGGTTTCTCTTGTCATTTGTCCAATTCATTTGACATATGCTTCAATAGCATCCATAATATTACGGGTGTAATACCCATTGGTAACAGGTGCTCATAGATAGCAGGCCCATAGATGAATAACTGACAACAGTTGTTACTGTCAACAATACAGAAGTCACCTGTGATTATCCGACCAAGAGGTTCACAGCAGTGTGAGACTGGAGATCAAGGGAGATCACTCTTCATGTAACATCTGTCCAGAGCTAAACAAGTGAGCTTGACATCAATGACAGCTGTATTTCTGTTTCACCCTCAGCCCTCTACTGGGATTCAATCTGGCTTGTTCAGTTTTACCTAGTGACTGCTCCATTTTCACCCTCTCACAGAGTGACTGGTAGTGTCATCTGGCAGCTTTGAAGTTTACCTTTCATGGAACGACTGCCTGAACTTCACCAGTTACTTGAACCTTTCTCCGAGTGACTGCCATAACAGCAGTCATCAGGTCCACATTTTACCCACTCTTTCATACATCAGTTCCAGTAACCAAGGCCCATTTGCACAAAGTAATCTTAGTGCTAAGACAACCTTTAGTCTGTGTTAGTGTATGTGAGTTACGATCATTGTGGCACTAGGATTAACGGTACTTTGTGCATGTGGGCCAAGGATTACATCAACAAGATTAACTTGATGATTCCACAATACATGTCTGCTTGGGACTAGGAGCTCCTACAGACATGCAATTTTGTTGAATGGGATTCGCCATGGTCGTTGTACAGGAAGTCATTAACATACCAGGAATTAAGGCAGTGGTTCCAAAACATGCTGTTTGTGTAAACTGATTCAGTCTTAAGAAAAAACACAAAGAAACATATTATTTTATTATTATTTATTTCTTGATGTTTTTAAGTAAAATTCAGTAACATCCCTCTGGGAGGGTGATTATAAAACAGTTGACAACTCAGGATGCTGGAACTAAACTTGCGGACATTTCGCTGGACTATGACATGCAAGATACAAGGTTTTCTTTCCACGAAAATACTGTGATGTTGCTCACGAGTCGACCTTTGATATTCAGGGAGTAGGGGATGTTTGAATGGAGACTAGAATATCAAATACTATATCCCAAACAACAACTGATATATGAAAGTCAGACTTGAACAATATCTTATAGAGCTGAATGATTCTAGCAAGGTGGGTTTAATGATTACTGCATTGTCTAGAGACAGGTATGCATGTGTGGGTGCTTGTAATGGTGCCAGTTTTATTACATTAGCCTGCTGAGATACATGCTTCAGGTTTACATGAATACCCCACTTGGACACATTATAACAACAATGAGTGGACCAGATCATGTACAATTCCCTCGAAGCCGAACGCAGTCATATTAATAACAAGCACCAATACTTCAGATGTCCACTCCACCACAGCAGGGAACATCAATCCCCTGAAGTGTACATCACATCAGTGACAAATTACTGTGTATGTTGATGGGATGTTGAACAATGTGAATAAATGATGAATTCTCACTTAGCAGATGACAGATGTTAAAATGAAGAACAAAACACTTCCTTCTGAAGTCATGGTTATTGCTTATGTTCAAGTAATGTGTTTTCAGGAATATGTTCTTCATTACATGACAAAATCAGTACAGCCCTAACAGCTTCAGATATTAATCACACCTAGTGCTTAAACTTGCATGCAAAAAAGTCATTTAGTGAGGACCTAATCAATTTGTCTGGAGATATACCAGTAGACAAATTCAGTTCTATGAAAACCCCATGGCAGTGTATATGTCATAATCAAGTTCAAGTAAGAGATACTGCGACTGAGTTTGGTTTTACGCCGCTTTTAGCAATATTCCAGCAATATCACGGCGGGGAACACCCGAAATGGTCTTCACACATTGTACCCATGTGGGGAATCGAACCCAGGCATTCAGCGTGACGAGTGAACGCTTTAACCACTAGGCTACCCCACCGCCCCCAAGTAAGAGATAAGACAGAATCATAGTATTTAATACTACTGGGCTATGATTTGTTATTCAGGATCCTACCCATTTCCTGAGTATTTAAGAAAGTCGTAATATCTATGCATTTAGATGCAGATTTGAACCCATGATGAGTGAGCATACCGACCACTGGGCCACTCAGTTCATGACACTGTACATCAGTGAGCACACCCACCACTGGGCCACTCATATCATGACACTGTACATCAGTGAGCACACCCACCACTGGGCCACTCATATCATGACACTGTACATCAGTGAGCACACCCACCACTGGGCCACTCATATCATGACATTGTACATCAGTGAGCACACCCACCACTGGGCCACTCAGTTCATGACACTGTACATCACTGTGAGCACACCCACCACTGGGCCACTCAGTTCATGACACTGTACATCAGTCAGTGAGCACACCCACTCACTGGGCCACTGGCCACTCATATCATGACACTGTACATCAGTGAGCACACCCACCACTGGGCCACTCATATCATGACACTGTACATCAGTTCATGACACTGTACATCAGTGAGCACACCCACCACTGGGCCACTCAGTTCATGACACTGTACATCAGTGAGCACACCCACCACTGGGCCACTCATATCATGACACTGTACATCAGTGAGCACACCCACCACTGGGCCACTCATATCATGACACTGTACATCAGTGAGCACACCCACCACTGGGCCACTCATATCATGACATTGTACATCAGTGAGCACACCCACCACTGGGCCACTCAGTTCATGACACTGTACATCAGTGAGCACACCCACCACTGGGCCACTCAGTTCATGACACTGTACATCAGTGAGCACACCCACCACTGGGCCACTCATATCATGACACTGTACATCAGTGAGCACACCCACCACTGGGCCACTCAGTTCATGACACTGTACATCAGTGAGCACACCCACCACTGGGCCACTCAGTTCATGACACTGTACATCAGTGAGCACACCCACCACTGGGCCACTCATATCATGACACTGTACATCAGTGAGCACACCCACCACTGGGCCACTCATATCATGACACTGTACATCAGTGAGCACACCCACCACTGGGCCACTCATATCATGACACTGTACATCAGTGAGCACACCCACCACTGGGCCACTCATATCATGACACTGTACATCAGTGAGCACACCCACCACTGGGCCACTCATATCATGACACTGTACATCATGAGCACACCCACCAGTCAGTGAGCACACCCACCACTGGGCCACTCATATCATGACACTGTACATCAGTGAGCACACCCACCACTGGGCCACTCATATCATGACACTGTACATCAGTGAGCACACCCACCACTGGTCCACTCATATCATGACACTGTACATCAGTGAGTTTGTTTTGATGCTCTCTGAACAATAATTTAGGTACCTCATAGTTTTGATGCTCTCTGAACAATAATTTAGGTACCTCATAGCGTGCCCACTTGATGTGGTGAGAAAATACACAAGCAGACTTAACATTTCCTGGAAACAATCGCTGCAAATTCGGTGCCAACAGACCATGGATCAATTCAGGCAAATGTGGAATTTAGCCCCTCAGAAAATACTGGCACAACTATATGACACGCTGGAGGTCAATGATCTGTGGAATTAGTATGTAGGGACCCTGAATGAAATAATACTGATGAGAATTGTGGGGGTCTTACGATCCTTCAAAAATTCAGCAAAAGCGTTTAAGTCTAGGTCCTCCATAATCATAAACCACAGGGAACAATACATTAAATGTACCAGCCCATAACTTCATGGCAAATTCATAACATATCACCCCAAATCTTTAAGTTGCACTTTTCATTAAGTTGGAGCATAGATGTCCACTCCATGTCCACTTGCGATAGGACGACTTTCAGGAAATGTTTGGCTGAATAAAAACTTCACTTCACTTCATGCATCAGCTAGAGAACCATGTATGACAGTAGTGTTTCTGTGGCCATGTTGGCTAATCTGTACAGAGACAAACACACAACTTAATGAGCTACATCTAGGACACTGTACATCCTTTGTACAAAGCCTTCAACAGTCCTAATGAGCTACATCTAGGACACTGTACATCCTTTGTACAAAGCCTTCAACAGTCCTAATGAGCTACATCTAAGACACTGTACATCCTTTGTACAAAGCCTTCAACAGTCCTAATGAGCTACATCTAGGACACTGTACATCCTTTGTACAAAGCCTTCAACAGTCCTAATGAGCTACATCTAGGACACTGTACATCCTTTGTACAAAGCTTTCAGCAGTCCTAATGAGCTACATCTAGGACACTGTACATCCTTTGTACAAAGCCTTCAACAGTCCTAATGAGCTACATCTAGGACACTGTACATCCTTTGTACAAAGCTTTCAGCAGTCTGTAATAAATACACAGGCACACTTCAAACCTACTCAGCTAGCACACAACATGGACGGCTGTTAGAAAAGTGATTGCAAAAAAATCATGGCTGAAAACTGGCAAATGAATTGGGTAATCACCACACAATGTTCAAAATGACTTTCACATTCTGGTTTCTAAGAATGGAGACAATGGTCTTGGCTGTGAATATATTTCAGGAGTACTGGTAAAAGAATTTTTGGATCTCAATTTATTTATTTGTTAAACATGACGTTTTGGAGTTAATTCCTACACTTCTGGTAGGAAACACCATGTTTAATGAATAAAGAAGTTGAAACCAAAAACATCTTTGACTCATGTTCACTTCTAAATGCCCTTCAGAGAAATCTAAATTCAGATACAACCTGCATTTAAGTCAGCATGGAAGCACAAGTGATGGAAAATATATCAGACAACAACATGAAGACAATATGATGTAAATCATATTCGATGCACTTATCTTGATACAAAGCACCAAATTCCTTTTTGATTAGGTGCACATAATGCAAAATCAAAATATAATTACAACAAATTTGGAAATTTTAATATAACCAAACCAAACCTAACCTAACTTTCTCATTATTCAACAGGCCTTTTTGGGAAACATGAACTTGCTAGTGGCTGTTTTAGTTCCACTTTAAACAGAATACCAGCAATCAGACCTTTCATCAAAGATTATTCTGTGATCCTTCACCTCCTTTCATAGCTAAGGGAAGCAACTCTGCACATACTGTTATAGTGCCAGAATCCCATTGTTTAGCCCAGGTATGAATACCTTTTCCACAAACTCTGTAACTATCAGTCATACTGTATTGTGGAACTTTAGACTAAACCTTCCATTCTGTAACTATCAGTCATACTGTATTGTTGAACTTTAGACTAAACCTTCCATTCTGTAACTATCAGTCATACTGTATTGTTGAACTTTAGACTAAACCTTCCATTCTGTAACTCAGTCATACTGTATTGTTGAACTTTAGACTAAACCTTCCATTCTGTAACTCAGTCATACTGTATTGTTGAACTTTAGACTAAACCTTCCATTCTGTAACTATCAGTCATACTGTATTGTTTGACTTTAGACTAACTATCAAACTTCCACTTTTTGACTAAACTTCCATTCTGTAACTACTGTCATACTGTATTGTTGAACTTTAGACTAAACCTTCCATTCTGTAACTATCAGTCATACTGTATTGTGGAACTTTAGACTAAACCTTCCATTCTGTAACTATCAGTCATACTGTATTGTTGAACTTTAGACTAAAACCTTCCATTCTGTAACTATCAGTCATACTGTATTGTTGAACTTTAGACTAAACCTTCCATTCTGTAACTATCAGTCATACTGTATTGTTGAACTTTAGACTAAAACTTCCATTCTGTAACTGTCATTCATCCATTCTGTAACTATCAGTCATACTGTATTGTTGAACTTTAGACTGTATTGTTGAACTTTAGACTAAACCTTCCATTCTGTAACTATCAGTCATACTGTATTGTTGAACTTTAGACTAAACCTTCCATTCTGTATCACTATCATTCTGTAACTATCAGTCAGACTATACTGTATTGTTGAACTTTAGACTAAACCTTCCATTCTGTAACTATCAGTCATACTGTATTGTTGAACTTTAGACTAAACCTTCCATTCTGTAACTATCAGTCATACTGTATTGTGGAACTTTAGACTAAACCTTCCATTCTGTAACTATCAGTCATACTTTAGACTAAACCTTCCATTCTGTATCAGTCATACTGTATTGTGGAACTTTAGACTAAACCTTCCATTCTGTAACTATCAGTCATACTATATTGTATTGTTGAACTTTAGACTAAACCTTCCATTCTGTAACTATCAGTCATACTGTATTGTTGAACTTTAGACTAAACCTTCCATTCTGTAACTATCAGTCATACTGTATTGTTGAACTTTAGACTAAACCTTCCATTCTGTAACTATCAGTCATACTGTATTGTTGAACTTTAGACTAAACCTTCCATTCTGTAACTATCAGTCATACTGTATTGTTGAACTTTAGACTAAACCTTCCATTCTTTAGACTAAACCTGTAACTATCAGTCATACTGTATTGACTAAACCTTCCATTCTGATCAGTCATACTGTAGACTTTAGACTAAACCTTCCTTCTGTAACATTACTGTGAACTTTAGACTAAACCTTCCATTCTGTAACATCAGTCATACTGTATTGTTGAACTTTAGACTAAACCTTCCATTCTGTAAACTCATCAGAACTTTCATACTGTAACTATCAGTCATTGTGTGAACTTTTCAGACTAGACTAAACCTTCCAACTTTTAGACTAAACCTTCCATTCTGTAACTATCAGTCATCATACTGTATGAACTTTAGACTAAACCTTCCATTCTGTAACTATCAGTCATACTGTAGAACTTTAGACTAAAACCTTCCATTCTGTAACTATCAGTCATCTGTAACTAAACCTTCCATTCTGTAACTATCAGTCATACTGTATTGTTGAACTTTAGACTAAACCTTCCATTCTGTAACTATCAGTCATACTGTATTGTGTGAACTTTAGACTAAACCTTCCATTCTGTAACTATCAGTCATACTGTATTGTTGATTGTTTTAGACTAAACCTTCCATTCTGTAACTATCAGTCATACTGTATTGTTGAACTTTAGACTAAACCTTCCATTCTGTAACTATCAGTCATACTGTATTGTTGAACTAGACTAAGACCTTCCATTCTGTAACTATCAGTCATACTGTATTGTTGAACTTTAGACTAAACCTTCCATTCTGTAACTATCAGTCATACTGTATTGTTGAACTTTAGACTAAACCTTCCATTCTGTAACTATCAGTCATACTGTATTGTTGAACTTTAGACTAAACCTTCCATTCTGTAACTATCAGTCATACTGTATTGTTGAACTTTAGACTAAACCTTCCATTCTGTAACTATCAGTCATACTGTATTGTTGAACTTTAGACTAAACCTTCCATTCTGTAACTATCAGTCATACTGTATTGTTGAACTTTAGACTAAACCTTCCATTCTGTAACTATCAGTCATACTGTATTGTTGAACTTTAGACTAAACCTTCCATTCTGTAACTATCAGTCATACTGTATTGTGGAACTTTAGACTAAACCTTCCATTCTGTAACTATCAGTCATACTGTATTGTTGAACTTTAGACTACTTCCATTCTGTAACTATCAGTCATACTGTATTGTTGAACTTTAGACTAAACCTTCCATTCTGTAACTATCAGTCATACTGTATTGTTGAACTTTAGACTAAAACTTCCATTCTGTAACTATTCCATTCTGAACTTTAGACTAAACCTTCCATTCTGTAACTATCAGTCATACTGTATTGTTGAACTTTAGACTAAAACTTCCATTCTGTGAACATTCTTTCAGTCACATGTTCAACATGGCTTTATTAAGAGAGAGTAATGTAAGTAAATGTTTATCCAAACTGACGAGTCAGGGTGTACTCCATGTCAAAGGTAAGGAATCATGCACTTTATTTAAGTCCAGGGATTCAACATTTTCTTTAACAGTCACTTGCCATAGGGCAAGTGACTTTAAGAAAGTAACTTGTCCTGACTAATTTTCCACTTGCCCTGATTTTATGAAATAATCATGATGATGAAATTATGAGAGAATAAATCAACATGGTATTTGATGTTAATGTTTACTGGACTATTTATCATGTTTAACGAAAAGTGATTAATAGCAAAGAAAGATAACCCTACTTTATTATCATTGCAAAATTTAATAGCTACATTTTGAGCAGATATGAAATGAAATCCAAGTTTATTTTCAGCTTGAAACCATAAGTGGAAATCATCTAGTAGCCCACAGCCAAGTAAGATACCAACCATTATTTGATTGCCCGAAATGAAAACTGACTTGTCCCAGGCATCGGGAATTTTGAACCCCTGAAGTCATAAACACTTTTTAATCAGGACTAACATCTAGCAAATGTTACCACTGATGTAAGATTCAAGAAAAGAAAGAAAAACATCAACTTCAGCTTTTTTAACATTCCAGCAAATCATGGCATGGGGACGCAGAAATGGGCTTAAACAAGAAAAAGGTCTTCGGGCGGAAGAAAACATTCACCTCATGAAGGAGTAAGGAGATATTCTGAAATGTTGTTTTCCTCATAATAAAGAAGTTGACATGCATAAAAGTCTCTTCTTTAAGCATGGTATCCCAGGTAACAGTTCCAATCTTTTAACCCAAATCTCCATAAATATATCTATGTACATTCAGAAATGTACATTCAGAAACAATCTTATAAAACCATATGTTCTGCATCAGTCACCAGGCCACAACACTGCACACAATGAAATGGTAGATAGCTTTTCAAGCTGACGAGGCAGCATGTTTATAAATAATGCTGATGAACAACAGGACTTATTGTGGGACTGTCTGAATGTATTGCTAAAACAACCGTAACAAAACACACATTTACAACTTTCTTCATCGAATGATGCCCTATATAAAAGTCTGTAAAAACATCAGCCAACAGTGGTTTTTCGTTGCAAGGACAACTGCTGCCATTTGCACCAAGTCTTGAGCACAATCCCATGAAACATTATAGCCTGCACACACACTCACACAAGCACATCAAGCACATCCTCTCACTACTGGCGGCTCCTTATAGTCCATCCGATAGAATGCTAGTGTGCTCCGAGACGAAATATATCAAAGTTCACTTCTTGTCGCAGCACTCCTGTTAGCACAAACTCTGCATTGTAGACGGCTGTAACACAAGTAGAGTGAGTGAGTGAGTGAGTGCTGTTTGTCATCATGCTGGAGACACCAAGGCTTTTGAGTTCTAATTACTTAGCTTGCGGATCCCCTAATGGTATAAACGTGGTACATTTTCAGTAACGAAAAACAAATCTATATATTGTAATCAAAACTGGTCACTACTAGAAAGGATGAATCCATTTTTATGATATGAAAATGAAAACTTGTTTCGTAATTACTGTTTCCGAAGAATCACAATATACTTTCAGCTCATTAAATAAAATGTTCAAACATTGGATCACTTATCCTACATTTTGCGAAAAAATTCTGAAACATTGAACATTGGAAGACAAGATTTCATTCATTCTGCACAGAGAATGAATTTACTCTACTAAGGTTGAGTTGAAGAAGGGGAAAGAAAACAAATGCTTTCGCCACTGTCCTTTTGAAGCAGATAAACAAGTCCTCTGTCTTAGAGCACAGGACTCAAGTTCAACAGATGTCAGTGTCAATGTGTCAGTGTAGTTAATATCTATACATTCAAGGTCTACCAACAAACTCATTCTCCACGTACATATACGTGCATGGTTGGACAAGATTACCAGTATGACTGTGTATTGCATGTGACTTCAATTACACTGGATCTGAGTCTTTGGCTGTGGTCTAAGACATTGACTACAGATTTGAATAAATAACTTACGAATTTTCTTGGCCAGCAAGTCCCGACATAAATGAATATCATTGACACACGTAATTACAATAAACTTTGGTCTCCCCTGAAAAACAATGAAAGTGTTTTTTAATACACCATGAGGCACTTCAGTAATTATCACAGTAATATATCCTTCATTCTATTATATTGCTGGTTGCTATGCCATTTAGATGACAGTTATCTGCAGGTTGAATTTATATCAACATAGAAACCTATAGAACTGATCCAGAATTTAAATCTCAAATGCTACCAGCCAGTGAAGATTACTATCTTTGGGTTGGAGGACTGGCATAATGTTTATGTTTGTTATACTCCTGACAGAATACAGTCCAACCTTGTCGTCCATTTGAGCTGCTATGGTTTTAGCTGATGGACGTCGTTTGACTGTTGTACCCCCAGCACTTTCCACGATGTTCCGGACATCACAGACAGGGGGCGCCACTCCAGGCGTGATGTGAAATGTTAGACCCTGTGGAAGTAGTAAGTAGTAACTGAAGATTCCGAAATACTGAAGCACAAATAAGCTTCACAAACTGGCGAAAACAAACAGCTGCCATCTTACTGCAATCTCAAGTCAGTATGAGAGATGTTACCACAGTAACACTTAAAGATATAAAAACAACAGTGCAATAAGATAAGGCAATCTCATTCAAATTAAATCTAGTTCATGCTACAACTACACAAACATCTGAGGTTAAATGGCTAATGAAATGACTAACAGAATTGGAAATTTTACTATAAATTGTATATTTATATACTTATCCTATCTCATGGTATGCACCTCTCTTCTTCTACAACCATGTGTGGAAACGTGCTGTAGGCTAAGTTGAATCAAAACTTCCTGGCCTCTGACTACCTGACCTCTGCCCCCACTCCCATAGCAGTACCTGTCAATCATCTCAATAAGCATGCAGATCGCTCAGATGATCACGTGACGTTCTGTGCCTGTCATTCTCGTCTTGGAGCGTCCAGTAATCTGTGATGTGGGGCAGGTCGGGTGGGTATCCATTGCGAGAAATAGGATAAGTATATAAATATACAATTTATAGTAAAATTTCCAAATTTTTAAACTTATCCTATCTCACGGTATGCATTATCCCACGGTTGGCTGGTGGGCCGCAGATTACCCTGTGTCAACTCTACAACCGTGAGGTCACATAACACAAGGAGGCCAGGAGAAAGCACCAACTCCCGATATGCTAACTCTGAACTTGTGATGGGTTGCTTCAGATAACCCCTTAGCTTACACAGCACAAAAACTCAAGGCAGTGGGCGGTCCCGAATTAATGTGGTTTTCAGCCGCAACTTGACAAGCAAAAGGACGCAGTCTGGCAAGTAGACCCTGCCTCCCCGCAATTTATATAAGTGACCAAAGTGAATTAAAGTCGAAGACCTTAATCTGGACAGTCCCTGCTTCGAAACTACCCCCCACAGACACACGCTGGAAGGCGGTGAAAGAGGGAATAGCCTGGTTACTCAACTGGTTTAACGTTCAGTACCAATCCCCCTAACTTACCAAAGGAAGAAAGGACTTAGGAGCGGAACGATTCGAAAACCACGCAGGTAATCGAAAATCAACACTTCACTGACGTAATTCCTCAGAGAGTCGAGGTCAGTAAGCGGAGTGTCGACCACCTCTGCATGTAGCACAAGACTGGCCTCTTAGTCTATTGAGTCATCTCTATGACAGTGCAGACACGCCCTAGTTCCCTAGGTGAGGTGTTCTAAGCCCAAGATAAAAAAGGTACAAAGATAAAGATGACATCGATATCTTTTATTAATGTACAGAAAGCAAAACCGACACGCGGAAGGACTGCTTTTCATCTGCGAGCATGGGTCGATGACAGCTGCTGAGCTAGGACCAGAGGACCAAAAACTGGTGCAGGCCCTCCACATCTGTGACCGACAGATCCCGAAGATAGTGTGAGGTGAAAACGGTATCCAACTTACAAAAACATCCATCCATGATTGCCTGTAGGGAACAGTTCCTATGAAGCGCCATGGTGGAAGCAAGAGCCCGAGTTTCATGAGGATTCGCTGTCGAAGTTGGAGGAAGGTCGGCATAGGCATAGGCACGCAGGATAGTGGATCTCAACCAAAACGCCAGAGTGGTGTGCGAGACTTCCGAGGTGGAGGCAGCGGACAACGGGATAAAGAGTCTCTTGCGCAACCTGCGTCGGTCCTTAGAAGCAGCCAGGTAGATCCGCAATGCCCGAACTGGGCACAGGGAAAGATCTTCCGTGTCATCAGGACCCAAGATAGTGGACAGCGGTGGAATCACGAACATGTTGGTTCTTGGCGACGAAGTCCCACCGCAAATCAAGAAAGACTTTAGCATGTCTTGACCTCTCAAAACACACCCAGGAGGCGTCGAGGGCGTGTAATTCGGAAATGCAGGCAGCAGTGGCCAAAGCCAAGAGAAAGAAGTGACCTGCTCAAAGTCTTTTCCCTCCAAAAGGTTCATAATCCGCTGACGTAAGATGATTAAGCACAATGTAAAGATCCCAAACTGGTGGTCGGAACTTCCGGGATTGGTCAGCAAGTTTCCTGGGTTGAGACAACACAAGGGGAACTAATCGCCGGATCTTGTAGAAACGGTCCCTCGGCACAGCCTGTTGAGCTCTGTGTCAAACACCGCCCCCGATAAACTGCAGGCGGCTTGAAGGGACTAGCTCTGATTTCTCCATGTTGACAAGCCAGCCGAACTGGTGAAGCAGCTGCATCGTTAACCCCATGTGAGGTAGGAGGAGTGCACGATCGGTCTGAGCCTGGATACAGTCGTCGATGTAAGTTTCGAACAGTATCCCCTTGCGACGGAGGAAGCTGGTGATGGGCTTTGTCACCCCTGTAAATAGCCACGGAGCCAAAGAAATTCCAAACGGGAGCACCTGCCACTGATAGTGGGTGCCCTCGAAGACGAAACGAAGAAACTTGCGATGGTCTGGGAAGATCGGGATGTGAAGGTACGCATCCTGAAGGTCTAGGCTGACCATGTAATCCCCTGGTTTGATGATCGTCTTGAGTAGAGCAACCGACACCATACGGAAATCAGGCGGTGGTTGGAGGAACATCTTGTTGAAGACCTTCATGTTAAAGATGAGTCTCAATTTGTCGGAATCCTTCTTCAGAACCAGAAAGATTGGAGTCGAGCCCAGAGATTTGATCGCAAGTTTCTGAAGAAGCGTAGCTATGGTGGATCGCAGCGCAGTCGTTTGACGAGCGGGATACGTCCTGTGCTCCGGAAATAATGTGAGATGAGGGTTGCCGATGACCGGAAGTTGAAACCCCTTGGACAGAGTGGAGAGAATGTAAGGGTCGTCCAAGATGGTCCAATTGAGGGCATAAATCCCAAGTCTTCCGCCTACTGGGGAAGCCTTGATAGGTACGACTGGAGGCAGAAGGACCCAATCGTGCTCTGATGTCTGCAAGTCACTGCTACTGGGTCCTCTAAGTGGAGGACTGATCGGAACTGGAAGATGGTTGAGAAGCAGTGAACGACCGGCGCTGACGGTTGGAACGCCCTCTGGTTGAACCTCTTCCTCGAAAAGAAGTAGGAGGTCCCGAACGAAGATCTGGGTTGGTCGAGGGGAAGGGAGCTAAGATCCTCCGAATGGCACCATCCAGGTTCGATAATTCACGGTCCTCAACCAGAAAGGGGGAATAATCTCTCTGTTTAGATCCCAAAAGCGCGATGTCATCATCCACAGAAGGCAAGACAATCAACGTAGAAAACCCATGAACATGGGAACCTGTCAAGTTAAACAGAGTGCCGCAAACCCATCCTTAACCTTCCTTAAGTTGTCAAATGCCTCATCAAGAGAAGCCGCAAGTTGAGTAATGCAGGGACGAGGTGGAAAGGTGATAGAGCCGAAATCACCCGGTTTCATATCAAAGCTAGTCAACAAGAACTGCTACGAGGTAGTCGAAAGTTATCAGCAATCCAGACCAGTAACTGAGGTGTGTCGACTGCATCAATGCTGACATCTGAAGCCTAAGTGGCATCTGGAGGGTAGGAGAGGGCGTAACCGATAGAGGACTTCATTCACGGAATGAAGTGGAACGGTCGGAGGGCCAGCTGGCTGAACAGTCAAGGATGGAGCTGGGACTTGCTGACAAAGCCGAGGCCACAGCATGAACGATGGCATCAAAATCAAGAGGTCGAGATGCAGAACCCTCAGACGACGGATCCCAAGGGACCGGGTAAATTAGGCCTGGCCGAGGTGATAGACGTAGTCCCCGAAGTAGGAGGCAAAGTTGAACTAAGAGAAAGCGGCACACTGGAAGACTGGAAGCAAGCGACACTCTGACAGGAAGCTCTGAACCAGGACCCAGCGACGCATTGGAAGTAAACGGTGCTCCGGCAGTAAGCGCCGAACCAGGAGCAAGCGGCGCATAGGAGGCAAGTGGCGCTCCAACAGTAAGTGCCGAACCAGGAGCAAGCGGCACATTGAAAGCAAGCGGCACTCTGACAGTACAAATATTCCAGCAATATCACGGCGGGGGACACCAGAAATGCGACAAGAAAGGGAATGACAGGCACAGAACGTCACGTGATCATCTGAGCGATCTGCACGCTTATTGAGATGTTTGACAGGTACTGCTATCGGAGTGGGGGCATAGGTCAGGTGGTCAGAGGCCGGGAAGTTTTGATTCAACTTAGCCTACAGCACGTTTCCACACATGGTCATAGAAGAAGAGAGGTGCATAGCGTTAGATAGGATAAGTATAAAGAAATCAACTTTAGCCAATCAGAGTGAGTGAGTGAGTTTAGCCGCACTCAGCAATATTCCAGCTATATGGCAGCGGTTTGTAATTAATTGAGGTTGGACCAGACATTCCAGCGATCAACAGCATGAGCATCGATCTACGCAACTGGGATACGATGACATGTGTCAACCAAGTCAGCGAGCCTGACCACCCAATCCAGTTAGTCGCCTCTTACAACAAACTTGAGTTACTGAAGATCAATTCTAACTTGGATCTTCACGGGTCTTACTCTTAGCCAATCAGGAAGCAGTTGTCATGAGTTATATGGCTCCTTCCATTCCATACTATTCTTTGAATAATATCTAAAACCTAAACAAAACTGCCTGGAATGTCCTAGATGGCCAAAATTGTTTGGCAGTAATTCTCATGGGCTGATTCTCTTGAAATGATCGGTAGACAGATGATTCTGAAGGATAACTCATGCAGAAGTCTCAGCTTACATTTCTAGGGTTGCATGATTAGGAAACACATTTCTGATCTAAATCAACTGTGATTGGTTTAAAAGGTTGTGATGTCCCCAGATATATGTTCAGCAATAGTGAAAACTAATAACTGATCTAATTAAACTGAATAACAAGCAGCATCTCTTGAATACATGGACCGCCTCTGTGGTGTAGTGGTTAAATCCTCCGCCCGGAGAGCGGAAGGTCGCGGGTTCGATCCCCCACCGCGTCAAACCAAAAGACGTTAAAATATGGTACTTGTTGGTCCCTGCCTGGCGCTTGGCATTAATGGGTACAACAAGGACTGGTCAGGTCGGAGTCAGTATAATGTGTCTGAGTGGGGTATTCATGCTTCACTGCGGCATGGCATCTCAGTGAGCTAGCACTACAAAACCAGCTTCAGTCTGGGCTAGTACAAGCAGCCGCACATCCACATACACACACATGCACGTCGTCATTTGAGCGAAATATTCTCAAGCACGACGTTAAATCCAATTTCACCTCATCTCTTGAATACATGATGAGAAACACTTCCACGTGAGGCTGAAAGCACGAGCAATGAGGAATGTATTTTCACCTGAAATATCCACCAGCGTACAGTATCGACGAAGGATAACAGAGCGTGAAGTGGCTTGGGGAATGACATTTCAAGATGGTATCACTCACCTGAAACAATGGTTTTGACTTGGCCCTCTGTAATGACTCGGACAGTTTGCAGCCAATCTCTGTCTCTCCCTTCAAGTCATTCAGATGATACTTAGACTCATCTAAGACAAACAGAAATCACTTATCATACTGTGTCAGGTTCATTAGAGACCCTGATACCTTAAACTGATCACAACAAGAATGACTATAAACTCTTAAACTGATCACAAGAATGAGTATAAACTTAAACTGATCACAACAAGAGTGAGTATAAACTTAAACTGATCACAACAAGAATGAGTATAAACATAAACTGATCACAACAAGAATGAGTATAAACTATAACTGATCACAAGGAGTATAAACTTGATCATAACAAGAATGAGTATAAACTTATAACTGATCACAAGAACTGAGTATAAACACACAAACAACAAGAATGGGAACTGATCACAACTGATCAAGAATGAGTATAAACTAAACTGATCACAACAAAGTGAGAATGAGTATAAACTTAAACTGATCACAACAAGAATGAGTATAAACTTAAACTGATCACAACAAGATGATAACTTAAAGAATGAGTATAAACTATAATCACAACAAGAGAATGAGTATAAACTATAACTGATCACAACAAGAATGAGTATAAACTTAAACTGATCACAACAAGAATGAGTATAAAACTAAACTGATCACAACAAGAGTGAGTATAAATAAACTATAACTGATCACAACAAGAATGAGTATAAACTTAAACTGATCACAACAAGAATGAGTATAAACTTAAACTGATACAAAAGTGAATGAACTTATTATAACTGATCACAACAAGAATGAGTATAAAACTTAAACTGATCACAACAAGAATGAGTATAAACTTAAACTGATCACAACAAGAATGAGTATAAACTTAAACTGATCACAACAAGAGTGAGTATAAACTTAAACTGATCACAACAAGAGTGAGTATAAACTATAACTGATCACAACAAGAATGAGTATAAACTTAAACTGATCACAACAAGAATGAGTATAAACTTAAACTTCACAACAAGAATGAGTATAAAACTGATCACAAAAGTATAAACTTAAATGAATGGGTATAAACTTAAACTGATCACAAGAATGAGTAGTATAAACTTAAACTGATCACAACAAGAATGAGTATAAACTTCAACTGATCACAACAAGAATGAGTATAAACAACTGATCACAAAAGAATGAGTATAAACTTAAACTGATCACAACAAGAGTGAGTATAAACTTAAACTGATCACAACAAGAATGAGTATAAACTTAAACTGATCACAACAAGAGTGAGTATAAACTTAAACTGATCACAACAAGAATGAGTATAAACTTAAACTGATCACAACAAGAATGAGTATAAACTTAAACTGATCACAACAAGAGTGAGTATAAACTTAAACTGATCACAACAAGAATGAGTACAAACTGAGTTAATTCGAACTAAATATTTCTAAATTTTACAACTCAAGAGTGAAATGTTTTCTACAGTGATGCATTTCTGTGTGAAAGCAGGTGGGATGTAATACACATAAAGATGAATGATGTGGCATGGCCAAGACCTGTTTATTAAGTTCCCATTGAGTTGTGCCCATTCAGAAGCAGACCTGGGTACTTCAAGATGCCACTCACCGAGAAACTTGCTCTGGATGAGACTCTCCTCCAGCCACTCCTTGGTCAGGATGAACTTACAGACATTGATGGCCACGAAGAACTTCATGGTCCGTGAGAAGATCTGCGACACCAGGTGGCTACAGTCCCGAGGGTTGTCCACCAACACTCCGCCTAAGTCATTCACAATCTAAAAACACACAGGCATTCAGATATCATATCAAATGTTCAGGTTTCATAACGCTACCCAACTAAGACATGCCACAGCTTAACATGGATACCCAACTCGAGACAAGCTGCAGTCATACTAGAGAGTAAATGTTGTTCAATGCCTCAATCATCAATAGCCCATCACTATATCACCCTTTAGGTAATGACACCAGACAAACCAGTGGTTGATATATGAACAAGACAATCACCCAATCACAAGTTACAAATCATTATTAACTCAGTTCAACAAAAATGACAAAGATCTAATCACATATAATATGAAGCCAATGGATTGCAAATCAATCAAGGTACTGTTTCTCATCATGTTTCACAGGTATACAGTCATGTTGACCCTTATGAACCAGTTATTGTTTGTGAGGTCAGTAGCACTAGTCATCTGTTTACCTGCTGTAGTCTCTTCACAATGCCTTTAGGATAACCTGTGAACATGACCCTGGGCTGTGTGGAGTTGCCATTACTCTCTAGCCTGAAACAAGATGGTCACCAATAATGCAATCAAATATACTTGCCAATCTTACAGAACTGAATCTTAATGCAATTCAGAAATGGTGTCAAGGACAAACGCATCACTAGCTCCACAAAAATGTTTGTAACATGCTTGAATATTATAGACTGATGGTGAATGAATAATTTCTCTGTTTAGACTGGGTGCAGGGCTATTTGAAAACCACTTACCTTGGTTTCTTAGCGAGAGGTTCGTCCTTCTCTGACTCAGACAGTTTATGTTTGACTCCGGGGTTCTCTTGTCCAGGGGCCGGCTGAGGTCGTAACTTGGCAGCAGGAATAAATTTCTATTTGCCAAACATGAAAAATAAAATAAAAATAATACTTCAAATCTAAATATACTCATAAATGAAGCAAACTGCTCATAACTTTTATGAATGAATGTAAGTTGGAAGTTAGAATGAGGACAATATCAGTATCTTGCAGGTCATGATGACCTTTGTAACAAATCATCATTGGCCACATCAAGTGAGCTGGATCACGAATAGAAACTCAGTTACTACTGAAAGTCTGAAACCCATGAACACTACCATGGCTCTGAGAAAGGTAGAAACTGGGCAAATCTTGGGTTTGAACCCACGACACTCAGATTCTCACTTGATATCTTTGTTGTTTATCGTCGCATTGAACCTTTTCCCAGCTATATCATGGTGGTCTGTAAATAATCATGTCTGGGCCATACAAGTCAGTTACAGACCTCAAGACCATTGATCTATACAAGTGGGATATGATGACAAGCAAGAACCAAGTAAGAGAGCCAGACCAACCAATCCCGATCACCCTATGACAGCCATCATAGCAAACATCTTGCTCACCTTCCAAGCTTCTTTACTGACTTTCAGGTGAGTCTTCCAGCCACCTGCATCAATAACAGAATCTTTTCTGTCAAACAAACCTTATAAATGATAATCCAGTTAAATGTTAGATGACAAATATAATATACTGCAACACAACATGTGTAACAGTTATGTAAATTCTCACAAATCATCATTTGTAACTACAACAATATTCAGTCTTTAAATCAGAAAGTGTTTGCCACTAACATGGCAATGTCCCCCCGTTGCTAAGAAGAATGAAATATAACATATTTACTAGGGTTTTTTGTCACCAAATCTGAAGATATTGGGTACAACAGTGCATGAGATATTGTGTTAACAAGAGTTTGAAAAGTGGTCAAAGTTTGATGGTGACCTGGAAAATAAGGTCACGGTCACCCAAATCAACTGATGTCTGTGTAATCCCCCAATGTAGGCTGTCACCAATTTGAAGACATTGGGTACACCAGTTCATGAGATATCACGCTAACAAGAATCAGGATGTACGTACGGACGGATGAACGTATGAACAGTGCTGAATACATAGTCCCACGTTCAGCGTTGTGGCGGGGGACAAACAAAATATTACAGAGTTGTGCTGATAAAACTAGAAACTTCATCAGACCAAACCAGTATCCACGCCCACCATCACAGGTTCTGGCACATCCAAGGGACACAACTTGGCATAGCTGATTGGTTCACATTAGTTTGAGGTATGCAATAGATACTGTCGTCAGTTGTTTAATTTTAGACAGCCAAAGAGGCAAGCTTCAGACCAAATAAGGTAGCCAATCATAGATTTAAGGCCCCCAAAAGTTCCTTTCTTAGCAGGCTGTAATGACTGTCCAAATAGCTGGATCAATTTAATTAACAGAACCACAACACAGAAGTAAATCCTACAGCTCACCCATGAAGCCCTGGACTTTGACAATGTCCATGCTGAACTCGTTAGGCTGACCCAGCTGGAGGTACTTGACGTGTACCGGCAGACGCAGAGCATCGAGATTCCCGATCACCAGGTCCGTCAACCAGTGCACATTCACAACAGGTATTCTCCAGTCTTTGGCCTTGTCATACTTCAAACCTTCGGGTCTGGAAACAGACGGATGTGTTTCTTACACAAACATTATTGTTGGATTCTACAACATCGTCAGTGTTTCAACTGACATTCCAAACAAAGTGCCCCTCACAGAGTATTTCAACAAGATTTACATTGTATTTGCAGTGATGGAAAATTAAGAATTAAAACCACTTCTCTTGGTATTGTGAACAGTTGCACACAAATAAAGACTGAAACCCTGGTAACCCCATATTTTACTTCTGTAGAAATTAGAGCTGTGACGATATATCGTAGTATCGATAATCGTGATACTTTATCTGACGATAAATATATCGATATGTCTTTTCGTATCGTGATATGTATCATTGACCTTAAAATTGTTAATTTTCACTAGATATTGATGGTTATGTCAAAATTTCTTGCTATTAAAATACGATTTTTTAAGGAAAATAACTAAAGAAAGCATATCGTGATATGCATCGTATCGTGAAATTTCTGTATCGCCACACCTCTAGTAGAAATGTCCTCAATAACAACCTCCTGGATTGCCACCCACAAATCATAGGTACAACAACAGAAATTACCTTTGAACAATAACGACAATCCCACCAGTAATTGTCAAGGAGTTTGGGTTTGGGTTGCCCTGTATTGTTCAGAAGATGGGGTGGGGTTGGGGTGGGGGCTGGGATCCAAATAATGAGATTTTCCCTGTATTGTCCACTGTCTCTATGTACTCAGCGGTTGATGTTATTAACATGCTGATATCTACAGATTTACACACACAACTTACTTTTTACATATGAGGACAGAGTTGGAGTGTGTCATGTAGCCTGTATATTTGGCACCAATTGCGTTGATCATCTGCTTTATCCTCTGCCGTTCCTCGCCATCGTAGTTCGTCATGCAGATGATCTATGAGAGGTGGAAAATCATTAACACTCGCATCATGGAACATGAGGCAGAAGCTGAATCATTCAGTGAATGAAGTCTAATACATTTATTTGGGTTGGTCTCCTCAACATTCAGGATATGTCTCTATGCATGACAATGCATGCATATTGCATACATTCAGGATCTGTCTCTATGCATGACAATGCATGCGTAGTGCACACAGCATCACAACTTTACATCATGAGTGAGTGAATGAGTTTATGGTTTTACAACGCTTTTAGCAATATTCCAGCAATATCACGGCGGGGGACACCAGAAATGGGCTTCACACATTGTACCCATGTGGGGAATTGAACCCGGGTCTTCGGCGTGATGAGCGAACGCTTTAACCACAAGGCTACCCCACCGCCCCCTTTACATCATGACATGAGTACTGCAGCAAAGTGTATCACGCAGCAATACACCAGTCTACTAAACGGGACTTGCTTGACTGCAGTTTGTTATTTTGTTTGTTGTTAAACATCGCACTCAGCAATATTCAGGGGATAGATGGCTACTGCCCGTACCTGGTTGCTGCAGGGCTTCTGGTCACGGTACACCTGGGGGAGATGGAGGCCCTGCCACGGAGGGAGGAGCTTCTTCTGCAGGAGACAGTCGTTCAGCCAGAACGCCGTCACCACACGTTTCTGGTCCTTCAGAGCCTTTGAGCAGGGGAGATAATCCAACATTATTTTAATACTCATTCCTTCACATTTCATATAGTGTCTCCATCAGAAAATATCTTCTCACACAAAATGACAGAATAATGTCTGGAAGATCAGCCTTTGAAATATACTGTAAGTTGCTAGTTGCTAGTAGTAAATAGTGCTGAGGAAAAGTAAAAAGCCAACAATGGTAGTTCTTAAAGACTAGTAATCCACATTTGTGGAGATGAACTGTTTCTGTTGTTGCTGATGTCAAACTGATCAATGAACTATGAGGAAGTGTTTACCAGCTGAAAGACATCACTGAACTGTGTGGCGCAGAGAAGGTGGGTGATACGACTGGAGTAGGACGAGTCCACCTGGCCGCCATACTGCTCGATCACCTGACAAACATACGCACCTTAATGAATCTCCAGACATGAGACCATATAGAGATAACAGAACAAGAATAATGATGATCGATGTGTACAGTGAGTCGTGCATTACATCATGGGATCACTGCATCGCCTTTAACCACAGAGTGAGCAGCAGCATCCTGTACTGACAGTAAGTAACTGTTTGGATTGGTAGGGTAGAAAAACAGGATTACGTATCTAAATCTATTCAGACTCTTCACATGAATAAAGAATATGAATATTTCTTTTGATGTGGTCAGTCTCTGAAGCTTGCATTTCATCCCTTATCCCCAGATTTTCTCAACACCAAATTCGCCATGACTTTACACTGGCCTTCTGATAGTCGTGATCATCCTACCTGCTTCCACGTGTTTATTTCCTCCTGTCCCAGGATAGCCTGGTAGTCGGTGACGTAGAACACGCACCCCAGCAGGCACATGTCCGGGGGAACTGCAATATCATCAATTTTGACATGTGCACAGAAAAACAAAAAATTGAACCAAGGTATTTTCCAAAAATGTTCATGTGATTTTCTGACTAAAATTGATATTTCATACTTATCCTGACTCATGCTAAATGCTTGTCTCCTTCTTCTTGCTAATGATAGTGGAACACTTGAAATCCCTTGAAGTTCCCTTCTAAAAGGCGGACGTAAAATCATCACTCACCCACGAGTTATCTCCCTTGCCTCCTTTGGCGCCCAAATGGTCACATGACCAGCCATGTTTTGTCACTCTCTCCTTCTTCGCCCTTGGGGACGGTTGTGAGAGCACCTGGGTCCCTATACGGCACATATCCTTTTCTCTTTTGGACCTTTACATCAAAATTATTGCTGTATACAGCTTTTAGGATTGTATTCTACTATATGGTTTGATGATTCTGTTCTTTCAACTTCGTCTGATGAGTCTGGGGGGGGACCACAACTTGTCAGATTTCTTCTTTTAGATATACTAATATTCTATTAGTTATCTATTGCAACTCCATCTCTTGATGCGCGCATCAAGTGGAGATGCGACCCTTCTTCATGTACGAGTATGTCCTATACAAGTATAGGGTCTATCACTCATGCTAGCCTGTCCTAGACGTGTGCATGGACTTTGTCATGTGACCAAAAGGGCGCCAAAGGAGGCAAGGGAGAAAACTCGCGGGTGAGTGATGATGTTAGGTCCACTTTTTAGAAGGGAACATCAAGGGATTTCAAGTGTTCCATTATCATTTGCAAGAAGGAGACAAGCATTTAGCATGAGTCAGGATAACGAAAAATAATAAACTTTCTTTCATGACATCATATCAGCATGTGTTAAAGTGTCTACATTTGTAATGATAAATGTATGAAAAAGACTCGCACAAGGTGTCAATAACCCATTGTTATTTAAAGGAGAATACAACGAAAACAAAACTTTTGATATATTGTAAAGGATATTCTAAAACTCACATTCCGTGATTAAAATTGAACAAAAAGTTCGTAAAATAGCAATAAAAACACAAAAACGTACTTGTATTTCCGCCTATTACGGAAACACCCGACAGTTAATGAGCAGAGGGGGTATCATGTGACATGACGTCATATGTGCCTGTTGCAGATGGCTGCCTCTTTGATTTTACCTCACAACTTAACAGTGTCCATGGATTCTGAAGCAGTAAAACATGTTCCTGATGTCATTTCTGAAATGGATGTTAGACCGTATCAGTACGATCTGATTTTACAACTGGCAAGACAGTCTTCCACTGAAGATGAAGAAGAAGAATCAAGCGAAATGGAGGCACCTTATAGGACAGGTCCCTAGTCCCCAGCTAAGCGTGCAGCACGTTCCCCTGTCTACCCACGTGACTACCTCAGAGTGATCATTCTCTTCTTGGAGCCAATGACAGTTATACGTAACCGTCGTAATCTGAGTAGAAGGGAGGCTGGGTGGGCATCCATCTCGTGAGATAGGATAAGTATATAAATATGCAATTTATATTAAAATTTTTAAACTTATCCTATCTCACGATTTGCACTTATCCCACGGTTGGACGGCGGGTAACAGATTACCCTAAGTCAAAAGGCACAGACAGTATACTGTAAACGTATTATATTTCGCGCAGGTTTTATTTTCGCGCTTTTCGCACAAAACATTTTAGCTAGCGAAAATCTATACACCGTGAATAAACCTGTCATTCATTCAGTCTAGCCATTACGCCCTGAGTTGTTACCATAACACATCACGTTTGAAGACAGAAATCAACGGGAATCTTAAAATGACCACTGATCATACTTAACTGTCGCTGTAATGGATTTCCCAAAACATAATTAAATAATGAGCCAAATCCCATTGCCGAATTAGCGAAAACAGCAATGTGTGTTGTGGCCGCCATGGAAATTGGTCACATGACAGATGGTTTGATACAAAACAGATTACCGTGAAACGACTCGAAAAGAAATAATACAGCAGTATTGTAATTTATTCATTAAGATTTTATTCACCAGTACATCATGAAGCGAATAGTCACTAACACTCAATCATCTCATTCACAACAACCCGGCTGGTTTGAAATCACAAAGAGCTTCATATACAGTATAAGTTAATTCGACAAATCGTCAGAATTCGGAACATAAGACTGATGTGTTTTTCATCTCTTCCGGGAGTAAACGGATTACTGTGTACTGTTATATCGCACAGATAGGGATTTCCTGTGAGTAAGCAATAAACGCCGCCTGACAGGTTAAGCCACTCTGTTTGTTTTCACTGCTATTAGTGGCGGCCAAAGAGTCGGCTGGCAGTTCCGGCAATTACTGATTGCGCGAATAATTGACCGCGTGATGTAGTCTAAACTGTCAATTCCGCGAAAATTGCACTACGCGAAAATAAGTACATTTACAGTATACTGTGTAGGCTAATGACAACCGTAGATAGCAATGAACAAGGGAGGCCGGATCTGACTAGCATAGTACCTCTACTAGTGATGGGTTCTCCTGAACCCCTTGGCTTACTTGGCATCATCGCTCCCACGGAGAGGGTGCTCCTGAGCAATGTGGTGTTCGGCCGCAGGATCCGACTAGCATAGTACCTATACTAGTGATGGGTTCTCCTCATCCCCTTGGCTTACTAGGCATCATCGCTCCCATGGAGTGGGTGCTCCTGAGCAATGTGGTGTTCAGCAGCAACCCTCGCATACGCAAGAAAACGCAACTAGGCAAGTCACCTTGCTTCGCCACGATTTATCAGACTACCCCGTAATTACGACTCAGTAATCAGGCCCGCGACCTCCGTTTTGAGACAGCCCCCAAGACCCCATCATCTAAGAATGGAAAAGGAAACTGAATCGGAAAACTCACAAATTTAACATTCAGTACCAAAACAACACCACATGACTTCCACTACTAACCACAGTTAGGTCACAACGGTGTGCTAAGGTACTTAGGAGCTTGAACGCTACGAAATCCATAAGGAAATCGGGAAGGACTCACTACACTGATGTGATTGCTCCGTGGAGTAGAGGTCAGCAGGCGAGATTGCCAAATACTTTTACATCCGTATGGAGCAACGACAAGGTAGGCCCATAACTACCAAGGTCACTACGTGCGATGGTAAGTTCGAACCCATTGACTTACTAAGCACAATTGCTCCCAGGGACCGGGACTACCAAGCAATGTGGTGTTCAGTCACTACCTTCACGAAAGTGAAAGGACTGACTGACTGACTGAGTTTAGTTTTACGCCGCTTTTAGCAATTTTCCAGCAATATCACGGCGGAGGACACCAGAAATGGGCTTAACACATTGTGCCCATGTGGGGAATCGAACCCGGGGCTTCGGCGTGACGAGCCAACGCTTTAACCACTAGGCTACCCCACCGCCCCGAAAGTGAAAGGACGCAGCTTAGCGAGTGTAATCAGTCGCATTACCACGATTTCCAAGGTACCCCCGGAATAAAAGTCTAATTACTAGTATCGGGCCAGCCCCTGCTTCGAAAAAAACACCATAGACACCGTCCCGAGGAGGGTGAAAGGGTAATTGAATCGGAAAACTCACAATTTTAACGTTCAGTACCACAACATCATCTTATGACTTCCACTACTTACATAGTAAGATCACATAGATGTGTATAGGTACTTAGGAGCATGAACACTACGAAGTGTAACACTTCGGGAATGACTCACTTCACTAATGTAATTACTCCACAGAGCAGACGACAGTGACTCTCCAGAGTCTCAAATTAAATTGAGAGGAGAAATCGAAGTCTCAGGAGAATCGAAGACACAAATCAGAAATAAAATTCAGAAGTTTATTCAGATTGTCCACAAAGCAGAAACGATCGCAACTGGTGATCATCGGCGCTGAAGCTGATGGTTGTCCCGAGTGGCGAACAGGTCTACCTCTGGTCATGATAACAGGTAGATCTTCGATTGGAATATCAGAGGCAGTTGTCTCCACTCCGTGAGTGACGGGCTTTTGAGACTTGACAGGGCATCGGCAATGACATTCCTCATCCTGGGAATGTGTCGGGCTCTGGCCACTGTGTTGAGTGAACCGATCAGATGATAAATTCGAAACATCAACTGAAGCAGAGCTGCTGATCCTGTCGATCCCCCGATGGTTTATGTACAAAATTACCATCGAAATGTCTGATTGAATCAGTATATGAGTGAACCGTAGTTCAACTGCCCAATGCCGAACAGCGAGAATGACAGTGCTGAATTCCAATTCGTTGATATGAAGGGCCCTTTCTCCTGATGACCATTTTTTCTGCTAGGCCACTTGATGGAGAAGGTGAGCGCCCCAGCTTGAAAGATGCGTCGACGAACAGGTGTTGAGTCGGTATGAAGGGCACCATAGAGACTCCAACGCAAACATTCCACTTGTTGAGCCACCAACGAAAGACTGAATGTAGTTGTGCGGGAAGAAGAATCAACTTCCTGGGGTTGTCGTCCCGGATGTATGGGCACAGAAACATCTAAAGAGGGCGAAGCTGCAGCTGGCCCCTGAAAGTCAGCGCTTGTGCCGACGTCAACCATCCTAATAACTTCTGCCACTGGCGAAAAGTTGTGGGTTGGACCAGCACTAGTGGTGCGTTGCACTGAATCTTGTCCCACCTCTCCTGGGGCGCAAACATCATGACCTGTCGTGTTGAAAAGGAAATCACCGGGTCGGTGTTACCTCCGATTTCTCCGAATTCAGCAGCCATCCTAATTGCGCAAGCAACTTGATGTTGAACTGCCTGTGGAGAGGAAGGACTGGATCCTGCTGGGCTTGAACACAGTCGTCGATATAGTTCTCGAATGTCATGCCTCGACAATGCATGTAGCTTGTTAGCGGATTGGGTATCTGAGCAAAAAGCCACGGGGCCGTACATATGCCAACAGCAGGACTTTCCATTGGTATCAATGACGCCCCTTGAAAGTAAATCGAAGATACTTTCGATTGTCTGGATGTATCGGGATGTGAAGGTAGGCGTCTCGCAGGTAGAGGGAAAGGACAGGTCTAACAACTCTTGCCTCTGACAAAGAGATATCTCCTGAGATAAGAACGTTGAATAAGTCAAGCTACTATGTCAGTTCTAACGGAGTGCTGAATGTAGATTGTCAGTCAATCTACAGGAATGTTCACATTGTAAACGAATTGAAGAAATTCGTACGATCGGCGACCTCAGGAACGTTTCGGTTGGCCGAACAAAATGATGGTTCGCCAGGTGGAGTGATAGAGGTAGATCGGTGCCTGGTGACAGTCCACCCATAACTGCAGTGACATCTGAACACAGTGCTTGAGCTAGTGTAGAAAACCGAGTAACCCCAGCAAAAGTCACCCGTTCATGGGTGTTTCTGTCTGTCACCCTCGATAAGCAGTCTCTCTCGACTGGCTGTCGAAATCCCGACACAATCACTCTTTCTGGGAATGGCACCGTTCATTGTTACTAGCATTTAAAGGCTGGACTTGATATCTGATTCGTGGGACCAAGACAAGTCTGCAAGGGCACTTCATAGTCACTCTGATCAAACAGTAGTCCGCGATTTGCAAACGTTACACATGAGTGACAAAAAAACGGACAACACGGTCTTCGTTAACGGGCGAGTGGCAACCCATAAATTCCGGGCTGAGCTATGCTGGCTATTTGACAAAACATCACTGCTGGTACCATGCGCAAAAACTTGACCCATCTGTTATCTGTCCCGAAACTTGCTTATCATGTAAAACAAAAGGAGCTGAAGATGACGAACCATCTGCAATAAATGCACCCAGTGATACACAAACACGCTGTTACGAGTAGTCTGTAGTAATAAGACTCAGTGAAGCGTGGTAAAGTATTCCTGGCTAGCAAGCTTATCTAGTAATGCCCTATCGGGTGGTTGTAGAACTAATATCTACACTGAAGGGTAGATTCGTTGAACCGAATCATTCATCAAAGGTGACTATCGGATGGTAGATTAAGTCTGGAATGAGATGAGCCCCGGTCACGGAGGACTCTTGAGAGCTGGGATCGTCAGACCGTCAAGTGCCGAGCGTGCTATGTCTAGATGACTGCGCTACTGACATCACATGTAAATCGATTTGGCATGGTGAAGCACATAGCTACTACCTCTGTTCAACCAGCCGCAAAAGGGGTACAAGGTGGGATAAGTTATGTGACTAAAAACATTAAGCGCCTCACAAGCCGTAAGGTAAACCAGATAAACAAATCAAATTTTCGTGCTTAGAGCTTGCCACTTCGTAATGAGGAATTCAGCGCCTCACAGATGCCCTGAAAACTAGGATCGTGTTGAAAACTAGCAGAGTTCGACAAATTTAGATGTTCTATTGATTACATTCAACATGAAGGATCGGGACTTGTCAAAACTGGTTTTCCACATCCTCAACGAGGTTAGTTATCTTGCATCTAGATAGGGACAATATCTTGCTCTAGGTAGCTGTAGGTGGTCGGCGAACCATGCGATCATGTGTGTCGAATCAACCAAAACAATTCCTGCATCTTATAGGCGACTGGCATACCCGGACCATGAAAACAAAGACGAGGTTCGATGTGGGTTAAGTGTCTTGGGAGGCATCCCAAACACATTTGTATAGGCTCTGATAGGCTGGTAAGATGTGCCGTGTTGGAAATAACACGAGTGGTGAATCACCCAATTCGTGAATAAGCTCAATTGCAGGCAAGGCCCGAGGAACGGATTATTGACGAATGCTGAAAGTTCGATTAATGCTGACAATTCATTGATCTTGAATGGCCAGGTGAACTAGTTCGGCGATAAGAAGCAGTTCGGCCTGGTGAAACGGTACGAGTCGGGCTGGTAAATCGGTTCAGGGATGTGATCTGAATAAGTCCATGATCTAGATCGGCATTGTGAGCTGGATCGTGACTGTGATCTGGATCGGTTCGGTAATCCGAAACCTTTTAAATGATCTCAGCTGATGGAGAGATCTAGAACGATCAGATGAACCGGTGAGGCGAGGTGAAATGTTCCGGCCGAGGTGAATTGGTTCAACAAGGTGAATCGTTTTGGTGAAGATAGCCGTTTCTGTGCTGTGAATCGAATCGATGATGTGAACCGTTTTGGCGATAAGAAACAGTCTTAATATTATGGCGAATATGTCTTAATTCACATACGCCGTGGCGAAACGGTTCGGTCTGGTGAACCGATTTGGTGTGGTGAATCGGTTTGGCGATTTGACGATGTAGATCAGCTGTGTGAGTCAGCTGGCAACACTGAGCGGTTTGATGAGGCAGAACGATGAGTAGACATCTGATGATTTGCCAATAAAATCATCACCGTCCGACATGGGAATCTCCGGACAACGAGCAGTTAATACTGGTCGTTGAAAGCGGGGGTTTGTCGGGTGATCAACTGTTGAAGTGTAACGAGCTCTGTCTGCCAGCCAATGGGAGCAAGCATGTCTCTATGCTCTACTTAGGGTCAACTACCCATGATATATTTCTCATGTTAACTTGTAAGGACAGCTGAGAACTCTCACAATACGTCCACACAGTGGTGCGACAAGAAGAAGAATGATCACTCTGAGGTAGTCACGTGGGTAGACAGGGGAATGTGCTGCCCTCTTAGCTGGGGACTAGGGACCTGTCCTATATGGAGAGCAGCCTGGGGAACACGGGCTTATGGACAAGAGAGGCCTACAGGAAAAGTTCTCATTCGTTCAACTCAGCGCCGAAGCAGGAGAGAGAAGTACAAATCGTGAGATAGGATAAGTTTAAAAAAAATAGAAAATTAAATGTGATTACATTTCATTTTGTGTCAAATGGGTGACTGTAGGGTGTCTCGGATTTAAAAACAAAATAATTATGTTTCAGACGACAGAAAATAAAAATTATTTGCTTAAAAAATTACACTGGATTTATTTTGTTGAAAAAAATTAGGATCCTAGTTCTCATTAATAACGTATCAAGTCTCGATACAAGATCCCAGCCTGGTCGTGCAGACATAATATTCGCGACACAGATAAGTTATTCCCCGAAAACTGGTGAAATTATAAAATACTAGTCAGGACAACGTATGTTTCCCCATTGTTTGGTTATGGAAATAGTTATGGTACTTTCGGTCATAGCCTTAGAATGACATCTTGTCAGCCAATGAGAATACAGAACGACTTTACACTGACAAATAGCGAGCCTGATGTCGACATGCGTAATTGGACAAAATGGAAAACAATGAAAGCAACAAGTACTTCATGATTTGCCGTTGTATTCGGCAATGTTTCAGGTAGACTGCATCATTTAGGGCTCCAAACCGAAAAGAACGTTAAAGCGAAACATTTTCAAGCTCATGTGAAATCTCTTACTGATTTTGGTAATATATATCTCATGTGTACCAGTCGAACTAACCCCGCTACAAAATGCCCCAGCAAATTTGGTCATTCATTCTAATTTGTTCAAATTTATTTATAAAGATTGAATATATGCCGTAAATGCATAGTTTTTGTCAACTTATTATGATATTATGTTCTTCATATAAAAGTTATTAGGAAGTAGTATTTCTGATAAATGTTTCATTAGTAAACTCATAACTATGTATACACTTATATATGAAAAAACAAAATATCAAAGTTTACAAAACTATGCATTTATGGCCTATATTTATTCATTTTAAATAAATTGGGGCATTTTGACTACCCCGCTGAGGCAATCTGACCAAATTTGCAGGGTCATTTTGTAGCGGGGGCAATTCGACTGGCAATCGGACTTGATATAATTTATGTTAAAAATACCACTGACAGTAAGTTGTTACAGGGAATGATGGAGTATAAATGAATTTCGTGGGTACTTTTTCCTTCTTCAGCCTAGCTTGGGGATTTCCATACCCCATGCGTGCATGTCTCTTTCATATGTGTCCGACTCGGAATGGTCGGCGCATTTCTCCTGCCGAAATCTGTCCTTTCACTTGGAAAATGTAAGAAATGGTGGTTCTTTCCCATGTTCGATAATGCCTTGCATCCCCAGGCAATGCAATACACCATCGTACCATTTAAAAAACGACAGAAACAACACAATTTGTACTACTGTAGCACTTGGTCTTTGGCAATATGGTGGACTCCAGGCACATTTGAAGTCACGAGCGGAAAGGTCACGTGGGTTCCAGCGAAATATGCATAATGGCCGAAGCTGAGATTTACAGAAACTGTTTTCGCGATTAAAACATAACTATACATAATTTTTAATTGAAAATTTGGGAATATGTTTCTGATGACTTTATCTTTCACCCAGCAAATTATTGCAATTCACTCGTATTCTCCTTTAAACAATTGTGTATCATACATCAGTGTCATGTTGGAGGAATGGCAAGAGATGCAGGTGTTGAGATTCCCATTTTTCTACAACCCACAAGCATGGGTGTTGTGCTGTCAAACCAAGGAGAGGGAATGTCAAGGGCCACAACTCTGAACCCCGGGCCACTCTCCATCTGATACAATGTTTCATACAGGTGTAACTCACTGTTGTCCGCAGGGTCGTGGCCCCAGAACTGTGGCAGCACCTGCAGCGTGTGGGGAGGGATGGGGTACGGAGGTGGAGGACGGACATGGCGGGGCATGTTGAACATCTGGTGAATCTGAAACGTTTTGGTTGGTGTGATGTCAGTGATATAAATACTATCAAGGTCTCATAATCTATGTTCATTATCCTGATTCCTGAGTTTCACTACATATATTTGATATGTATTATATGTACCAATAAGCATTTTAAAGTCGACTTGATCCTGCCATTTGTTCACAATATTGTCTCCTTGATAAATTATATAAAACTGTTCAAAAGTGAGTTAGTTTACTTTTACGCCCACTTTTAGCAACATTCCAGCAATATCGCAGCAATGGACACCAGAAATGGGTTCATACATTGTACCCATGTCGGGAATCCAACACACGTCTGTGGCGTGGCAAGCGGATGCTTTAACCACTAGGCTACCCTAATATGCTCACAAAAAAAACACCCGAAACAGGCTAGTACCAAACAATCTAAAAACTGTCACAATGTTATTGGCACTTTTACAACTACCTGATGCAGTTAAAATACCAGCCAGATTTCTTAAATAAATAGTCTGTTACATAAATTTTTAGTCTAAAATGTGCTGTAGACATGCAGGAGATATTGAGCGTCTTGAAACAGAGTGTAGCTGCCTCACCTTGTTCATCCCTGGTCGGAGTCCATGCTGTGCCTGTTCAGCGTTGTTGGTGATGTTCCTCAGTGTTCTGTTGCCCATGCCGGGGTCTTGAAGAGGGTTGAATGTCATCATCTGAGGGTTGATGAGTGGAGGGGTCTGCCCTGGGGCCATCTGGGGGGTGAGGGGATGCTGCCCTGGGGGTAGAGATGGGTGTGGGTGGGGAAACAGGGGACTAGGGGGTGCTGGGCGGGCCTCAGGGCTGTCTCCCACCCTAGACTGCTGCAATCTGCTGTTCACCATCCGAGCTAATGCTTCCTTCGCACTTGAGCTACTTGGTGTTCCTGGGCGACTTCCATTTCGGGGCATTTCCTCAGAGGAAGATTTGAGCCTGAGCCCAGCAGCAATTTGTTGTGCAAGTTGTTGGCCTGGTCCGGGACTAATGGCCAGGTTCCTGGTTGGAGTTAGGATTTCTGTTTCAGGTGTCTTTGGTTTGGGTGGGGACTCAGGTTTGGGATATTCTATCAGTCTCGGGTGGTAAATGCTTTCATCTACTTTCTTCTTCTCCTGAATGCTGTCCGTGATCCAGTCGGGACACACAATCTTTATCTTCTCAGCTCTCTTCATAGCCTCGGTGTACTTTTTCTGAAACACAAATTGTGCACTGATAATCCAACGCCTTAATTTGTTGCTATCATGTGCAGTTTACATAAATATAATTTTCGGACTAAAATTGATATTTCATACTTATCCTGACTCATGCTAAATGCTTGTCTCCTTCTTCTTGAGAATGATAGTGGAACACTTGAAATCCCTTGAAGTTCCCTTCTAAAAAGCGGACGTAAAATCATCACTCACCCACGAGTAGTCTCCCTTGCCTCGCTTTGTATCACATGACCTGCCATGTTTTGTCACTCTCTCCGTATGTATGCCCGACACCCAGATTTACAGGGAGATCCAGAGTGCAATAAGAGGGGAGGTTGGGAGGGCTGACCTCATGCGTCAGGATACGTATAAAATATCAATTTTAGTCAGAAAATTACATATTTTTCCTTATCCTGACTCATGCTAAATGCTTGCAGAATACGTCGTAATCGGAGGTGGGTCAGGCCACTTCCTGGATTCACTGGCTGTTGATTTACGTCCTGTATTACCCCCCATGGGATCTTATGACGGCACTGCTGATGATTCTGTTCCTTCAACTTCCTCTGATGAGTCGGGGGCTGCGGGTGGGGGGCACAACTTGTCAGATTTCTTCCGAAACTTTTGATATTTTCGTGTGGATTTTAGATATACCAATGTTCCATTAGTTATCTATTGCAACTCCATCTCTTGATGCTTCTCCATAAAAATCATCACCCCACCCCCACCCCACCCCAAGCCATAAATTATGAGCGGTCCTTAATTCCTCCAAAATGTCACATATGAAACCATTCAAACCCACAAAACGTAACGCATTTGGTAGAATGTTTGGCACTTTTGGAGCCACTTATAAAGATACTCCCATTTGTAAAATGTTGTATGAAACCAACAGAAATAAATGTATATTTGGCACGTTTAGAGCACATTTTTTGCTTTGAAATCAAGAACAGATAATGCAAAGGGAGCTAACTCTGGATGACCCAATATATTGCAGAATCTGAACCATATCGCAATAATCTTATCGCGAGATACTGTACCGGTATATACCGGTAATATTGCACAACCCTAGTGTTGAACCTTTTAAGTGTCTCGTCTGTCGCAAATGACACAGGTATTCCGCCACTTGAGGATGGGTTGCCTTTACCGCTGTAAAGCCTTTCCTCGTTGCATACTGTTCAAATCTCTGCCACTTGTCGATGTACAAGTTGCGAGTTGATCTGCGTAGAGCTAGTGTCACTGCTCTCACTGCTCTGGCGGAGTACCCTCTAGTCTTCAGGCAAGCTTTGATACGCTCCACGTGTGTAGCTGGAACAATGCCGGATTCCTGTGAGCTTGCTTGGTGTGTGGATGGACGAGCAGGTTCGACCACTCTGGTAGTTTCAGGGTTGGACTTCCGAGTTCTTGTATGAGGACGGGAAACCATACCCTCGCTGGCCAATAGGGCGCGACCAAAATCAGTGGCAGCGTTGTCGTCTGCTTGATTTTCTGTATTACTTGTGGTAATAGTGCTGGAGATGGAAACGAATAAGCGTTAGGTCCTTCCCATGAGATGCTTAAAGCGTCTGTTGCCCATGCCTGAGTATCCGGAATCAGTGAGACGAATGTTGGTAGTTGCTTGTTGAACTTTGTTGCAAACAGGTCTATCAGTGGAGATCCTATTGTCTGTATGACGAACCGGAACGCTTCTGGGTGTAACATCCATTCCGTAGGGGATGGTTGTAGTGGACGAGATAGGGCATCTGCTATGACATTCTTTGCTCCTGGAATGTGGCATGCCTTCATATAGATGTTCAGGTCGTCGACGATGCTGAACAGGAGAAAGCTGAGTTGTAGCAGACTTGTTGATCCTTGTTTGTTGATGTAGAACGCTACTGTGGAGTTGTCCGTGTGGACCTTGAGCTTTGTGTTCTTTAGTACGCTGGACCAGTGATGTTAAGTGTTGATCACTGCTTTCATCTCCAACAGGTTGATGTGTAGATTCTGCTCCTGACTCGACCACTTCCCTGCTGCCACTTCATTGTCGAGGTGGGCACCCCATCCTTGTAGCAATGCATCCACGTAGAGATGAGTGTTGCAAACCAGCTCTGACAAAAAGGTTCCTCCGCAAACATTCGACTTCTGAGTGCACCATAGGAGGTATGATTTCAGGCTGTCCGGTAGTATCAGCGGATCCAAACTGTCGAGATGGGCGTTCACAAATATTTGCAGTGGGCGCAGTTGTAATCTCCCTCTGCGAGTCATGTCTTGAGCTGAGGTGAGTAGACCGAGCATGCTTTGCCAAAGACGTAGTGTCAATGGAAAGAGCATTGCTTGAGATATCATAAGTTGTATCTTGACCCAACGATCCTCTGGGACGACTATATGATTCACCCGCGTGATGAGTCGTATTCCTAGAAATTGAAGATCCTGTTTCGGCTCCAGTTCCGACTTGAGGAGATTTACGCGCCATCCTAACTGAGTAAGGCCCGATGGTGAAGTCTAGTTGCAGTCTGAGTTGACTGGGATCTTGATGAACTTGAATTCTGTCGTCCAGGTAAAAAGCACTGCGCAGACGATGTAGATATGTGACGATGGGCTTGGTCACTCGAGTAAACAACCAGGGGGCCAACGATATTCCAAACAGTAGAACCTTCCACTGGAAGTGATGACTGTTGAAAAGGAATCTTAGGTATTTCCTTGAGTCTGGATGTATCGGGATGTGTAGGTACACATCTTGTAGATCTATGCTGGCGAGGTAGTCTGATGGACGAACGAGATGTCAGAGCTGAGGAAAATGTATGTCCTTGAATTTTGCTGGTCTGCGGAGATACTCCCGGTTGAACTTCCTCATGTTGTAGATGAGCCGAAACTTCTCCTTGGAATTCTTCTTGGTACCAGGAAAATTGGGGAGTAAAAACCAGGCATGATGAGATCTTGATTTATCTCTTCTAATACATCTTACTCTTCTACTGCATCTCGAGTAGAGTCTTTGTTGCGTCGTCCAGTTTCTCTGTCTGGTTGGCTGCGTGGTTGAAGGCCATCGGGTTGCTTGCAAGCGGTGGGGTGGCTTCCAACTGTATCTTGTACCGTCTGCTTAGTATCTGGGATAAGTAGTCGTCCTGTAGTATTCCCCAATTTTCCCAGTACCGTTGAAGACGTCCCCACCCACTGTTGAAGGTTGTACAGGAACGGCTGGGGGTGGAAGACTCCAGTCGTTCAAAACCTGTCCTTCAGCGTTAGGTTCCCCTGGCACCCCTGGGTGCTCGGCCTCTTCTGGGGTTACTTCTGGGGGCTCCAGTTGGGCGACGAAAAGAACCTCTTCCTCCCTCTTGAGTTGGAATACTTCTTTTCTCTGGCTCTCTGGACTCCTGCAAACTTGGATTTGTTGGAGCGGCGCTGGGACGTCTGGCGAATTACATTTGCCAAGGTATCTATGGACTTTATCATCATGACCTCCCTTGATTCATGTGTAACCTCTTTGGCGACTTCTTCAATTCCTCCTCCGAAGATGGATGATGCTGACAAAGGGGCTCTGTATAAGGACTTGGTGAACCGCTCACTCCAGGTGCACGATGACAATAATCCTTGCCTCCTCAGGAGAGTCAGGCCTGCTGATGTGGATGCTAGATGCTCCGACATAAACTGGTGGTCCTTTTTCTGAGTCAGTAGAGCAGAATATATCATCCGGTCGTCTTCGGCGGTGGAGTTCTTAAACTTCGAGATGAGTGCTTCGTTGATAGCCCTAGACCTAGAAGACTCAGAAGAAGGTACGTCTAGTAGTCTTATCCAGTTGCGCTAAGGGGAATTTCCTGGCGTTGAACGTCGGGATATGCTGATTCTGGAACTTGGTAGCCTTATCAAAGGCTGAGCTGAGGCTGTCCGGTACTTGGGACATCGGGTCGATAGGTGGAAAGGTGAGTGTGTCGAAATCATCGTTGGACATCTTGTATGTAAACGCTTTGTCTGTGTGCTTGGAAGGTGATGCTAGGTCCAGGCCATTAGCAATCCATGAGGTTACTTCCGTATCGGAGAATATGACTTCACCTTCTTCCTCTGATTTAGACATCTCCCGCTCTGATGATCCACGACAACATCAGTCTCTGTATGAAGTTCTGTATGACGAACTGCTTGCAGGTGAACAATCCCGATGTGATCGTATATCCTTCCTGGAGTCTTGAGATCTCTCTCTAGGCCTTCGTGAAGGTTGATTCTTAGACGTAGTTTCCCCTCTGTAAGATGTGGAGTGCCTGCATGCAGGTTCCCGATGTGCGTCTGAATCTGATGGTGATGACGACCCATATCTACGACGTCTGTAGGGTTCGGAGAACGCTTTGATCTGCTTCTGCGTGGAGAATTCTTAACGGCTCTTTCAGGGACGTCTTAGGCTGAGCTGACGTTAGTAGCGTTGTCCAGGCTCCTAACTTCAGATGGGGAAGATCGTCGGGTGCATGAGCCTTCACGCAGGCTTCCCTCTTCTTCCAAGTGCGTGGGAGAGACTGCTGAATCTTCACGCAGGCTAGTAGTCATCGTAGTGGTCTTCGAAGCAGCTTTCTCCTGTGCGAAGCAACGTTCCATCATAGACATCATCTGGTCTGAAAACTGTTGCATAAACAGCCCCGGGTTGAAGTTCTGCGACGTATGTTGAGACTGCTGCAGGGTTGATGATGCTTCTGATAACGATGAGGCGTCTTCTAAGGTACACTGCACTTGTGAAGAGTTGACGCTGCTGCTATCTCTGGTACCCGATGTCTGCGTTGATGGAAGGTCTTCTGTCAATGTCTGCGCTGATAAAGTTGCCGATGTAGCTGTAGAAGCAGGCTTCGTCTTCTTGCTGACGACTGTGACTTCAGGTATGAGGATGGGGGGATCATCATACACGTCTGCTTCTTCCGGAGGTACAATCTCGGGCAGAGAAGGATCTCGTCTTCTGCGTAGAGCTGTGAAGAGACTTCGACGAAGTCTTAGGGGTAGTAGCCTTCTTCTTCTGCGTTGAAAACGATCTAGTCTTCTTCGTCTGCGAAGAGGTCAGCTCCGTTGATGACGATCTCTTATTGGCTCCAGAGTTCATCACTGGAACAGCACCCTGACCCTGTAAATCGCTCGGCAATACACTAGAATTATGAACATCGGCAGCAGTAGTTAACACACGGTTATCAGCGCAAAAAGTGGTTAAATTCAGACAATGAAAGAACATGAAGTAGTGCAATCAGGACATAATACATGTGGGTCAGCCGCAGACAGCCGGTACCTACAACGAATACAAGTTTTCATCAAATATAAACACGATGAAAAAACATGTCAACAACGAATAATTTAGATCAAATTTCAAACCATATAGTAGAATACAATCCTAAAAGCTGTATACAGCAATAATTTTGATGTAAAGGTCCAAAAGAGAAAAGGATATGTGCCGTATAGGGACCCAGGTGCTCTCACAACCGTCCTCAAGGGCGAAGAAGGAGAGAGTGACAAACATGGCAGGTCATGTGATACAAAAGGGCACCAAAGGGAGGCAAGGGAGACTACTGGTGGGTGAGTGATGATTTTACGTCCACTTTTTAGAAGGGAACTTCAAGGGATTTCAAGTGTTCCACTATCATTCGCAAGAAGATGGAGACAAGCATTTAGCATGAGTCAGGATAAGGAAAAATTCTTAACTTACATTCTGGGAATATGTATACAGAACATATATCCACATATACACTGATCTCAAATAAAGAGGTGATCTGGAGTTCTGTTATGTAGCAATGAGATGCTGCTATAATATTGAACTTTGAGTCCTAAGTATATGTAACTTTGAACATTTTATTCAGTTGTGGCTTAATTAAACCACTGATAAGTATTTGAACTGAACTATGCACAAACTCTCTCCATTATGTCTACACTCAAACAGTTTATAACATTATGTGAGGAATGCATCTGTGAGTGTCTTCAATCTGAGAAAGGAATGACTTCTTCACATGGATCTTACCCCTTCGGTGGTGAATGTGACGAGATGGGTGACATGTTTATCCAGCCGCGTCTGGCATCTGCCTCCATGATATGTCACCATGCTCCATAAAGACTTTCGGTCTTCTTCATCTAACTGAAACACCCAGTGACACAAGCTCAGTTTAACTTGCAAGACACAAGTGAAAATGTGTTGCCACGATACATGGTCTTTTCTGGATGTATCTTAACAAGATGAAAAATTCTTTACACTTTCCAAACAAATATTAAGCTGAAAAAAACACCCAAAAAAATGTCAACAGAAGAACCAGACCCATCTGACAGTAACAACAGTAATAACAGTCGATGTATCAATGAAAGATATAATGCCAACTTCAAAGAACTTGTTTTGCACAGGACTGATAGCAGACTGACAAATGCTAATCAACATAATCCATATCTAAACATGTTGCAGCTCATTTCTGGTGATTCACTGGAAACTTAGGAAACTAAACGCACTCACCTGGGACACACAAACAACTACGCCCGAGAAGACGAGTCCCTCCAGGGCAAATACCTCTTTTCTGGGAGCAGTTAGGGAAGAAGAATCATATCAGTGCTTAAAAGGGAATACAATGTTCTCTAACTTGCACTTTCTGTCACTTGCCTCCATTTTTTGACATTAAAGGGGAGGTAATATCAACACAGATCAAGACCTCCTGATTATCTCCCTTCAACAAGTCTTGAGCAAAAGTAATCTGAGCTTGCAAAAGTTTACCAAACACAAACATAACATCTGAGATACACTTTATAACAAAACGTTCTTCTCAGTGCATCTTTGGTTATACAAATACATTCTCCTCTCAGAAATGTTTTTAATAAATTTTGGGGTGGATTTTGTCCTGCATTCTTACTGAAGGGAAGGCAGAGATGCCAACCCTAATTTAGCCCAGTTAGTATTTTGGCCAAAAACTGATACAAAAATCAGTATTAACCTGTCCAAAGAATTTTCATATTTAATACAGAATATATAGATATTCTAAGAACTTGTTATTAACATTGTACTCACCTAAATCAGTAGTAAGTATCCACGTATAGCTTGATACTGAATAAAATGTGCTTGCAATTTATTGTGTATGGTACATATGCTATTGATAATTTAATTTAATCTGTTTTTAAAACATTGTATATTTTTACTGTTATCGTAGTGGCGTATTTTGTGTTGTTCTTTCATAATGAATACGATAAAATCGTATGAGTTGGCATCTCTGGGAAGGATACAGTAACTGTTTCTTGCATTTGACAGAGAGTCCAACCCAGGCACTCTGAAACGAAATGATTTACCAATGTAAGAAACAGGCATGGGTCAGGTTAACTTTACATTGGTATGTTTCAGACATATTGTGACAGGGGAAAGGTTTTAATAAGAAACAATATACAGACTGCATAAAAACATGTCATCTGAGGAATGAACAATAAGTTGATTATCACAGATTATATGTGAAACTAGTTTGACAACATATGAAAGAAAATATAACATTCAACAACATAAAATATGAATGGATTATAGACAGTGTTTGAATCCATTCAGAGTTGAAACTGAAGTGTATATATTCACCCCGTCAAAACAGATTCAGGGGTCAAATACGATACACAAGGACTCGCAAATCAAACTCTAATTTCTAACTTTATGATTCACTGTAAGAAATCGAACTGCATGTATCTTATCATGTCTGTGAAGACCTTAGTGTACAGAGATTATAATCCACTACACTGAGTTTAGTTGAAAGCCACTTTTGACAGAATTTCATATTTTCAGTGATATGTCAGGTTAAGGTGGAAGGAAAGCCCAAGTGACGGACTCCACCAAGCATTCTGATTTTCTGTTGCTTATTATAATTAAGTTCCCAATAGTGAAACAGACAGTGTACAAGTTATCCACCCTCTATACTTCAGTGAATCCCACAGGTACTGACAACAGATGAACATAATTGAACTAACATCCAAGGGACACAACTCTGCACAGTAAGTTGTCACAACTGCTCTGTTCAGATACCTTGACCTGAGACAATTTGCTGTGAAATCATCACGTAATGTGTATGAACAAATGTATTTGATCGTTCCACGAAGGCAATAAACAGTAATGTGAACTTTTCTACTGTCTGTTATCACCTGGAGTCAATAAAACATCAAATATTGGGGATGAGAATCATATGGAATCAAGTGGGGAAATTCTAACGAATTAGCATCATAGCACTATGCCACACATGGTTAAATAGAAAACATCTATTTCTGCAGTCCTATGTGACAATAAGACAAGATATAAAAATATTGTTAGGAGTTACTGAAATCTCTGTTTTTGATAAATACTCACAGATACAATGGGGAGATCAAACAGGTCTTTTGCTTCAGCGCATTCGTCAGCTTCAATGTCATCAGCGATGACATGGCTGACCATCTCACTGAGGTAGCTGTCCAGTTTAGCACCTCCATCATCCAGTTGTTTCACCACCTGCATAGTATGAAAAATGCAATCCCAACATCCTTTTCATTAACCAGTGGTTAGCATGGTTACAATGCGTGACAAAATCAACCACAGCAAATTTGATTTGAAATACTTTACAACTGTCCAATACTATTCAGAGTTCATACTGCAGGTTGTTATTATGATAGACATAATAACAATGATAGACATAATACCAATTTACTAGTTTGAATATTGAGATGATAAAATGTTAAATCCACAACTTTGGGAATACAGCCTAACAGAACAAGCAATATGACATACATTGGAATGTGATGTTGGCCCCATTAATTTATTATCCGACATATTAAGGCCAACCATCTAATAACAAAATAGGTAGGTGAACAAATTGCGAATGAAACCATATGCCCAGCTGATACACGATTCGGTACTCAAGTTACTGACGTTAGGCCACCATTTCCGAATTCAGTTGCCCATCACCGGGATAGATGGTTTCGTTTGACCAAACTCGGCTGCACATGAGGGATTATTGCATTCATTATAATGTGTGTAAACGCGAAATGCACTGTTTTCATTCGACCACTTAATGACATATTTAATGCAAAAACAAAATGTTTGTTGTGCTGTAAATATTGACACTTGTTCAGTCTTTGTTGGGAAATGTGAACTAGTCGTGAGCATTTCTTACGTTCTCATTTATGTCTCCAACAAGGTAGTATGTGACATTTTTAAAAACATCTTCTTGGCTGACTTCCTGTGCAGATTTTTCCTCCGTGTCACTCATTGTGCATTAGGTAAATACAAACAACTAGGGCATCAGAATACTTTGTTTTCCCGCTGAAATCGACATCATCTCGCGCGATGCTAAATATTTGAATTACGGTTGTCGTAAATAATTTATTCATGGATTTCTTTAAAATTCTAAATTGTAGCTTTATTTTATATGGTGTATTATTTATCCACAATAAGTGAATGTCAACTATATAGGACAATCCTTGCATTTGAAATGCCGTTGTCGTAGCTATACCGAAAACTGGTTCGATTATGCGTTCGCCATATTGTTTTTGTTAGATGCGGGAAATTTGTTGACAGTGTCTTGGTAAATAATGCATTACTCGTTGTATCATCACTGTTGTATGCAAACTTGACCACACACTCATCGTCCATTCTATGTTACTAGTATTGCTGTATGTATTTTTACAACAGAGGCCCGATTTGGGGAATAATTGACCAAAATATATTTGTAAACAAACGAGTTGATGATATTAAGCAAGAACAAGCACCTGCAGAGCATGTTTCTTGTCATCACGACAAAATAACACACAATTCGCAGACATCACTTTCTACATGTTGGAGCTATTGTAACGCATCAGCTGCATGCACACATTGTTAATTTGCTTGCGATTTTTGTAATGATTTTAACAGATATTGAGACTGCTGTGCATGCTCACTCCAAACCATATCAGTAGTTAGTGCTTTGAAAAATATCTCTTATCGGTTGTATTTTGTATAACTAGTTCTTTGAACCATCTGTTGGTGTGGACATTGCTGATAAAATGTAGCTCAGATTTGACATTTGTCCTGTCAGTAAATGTGACTGTGAATCTCATTCACTAAGGTTCTTTCTAAACCTTTGACCGCAATTTCTAGTCTAAATCTAGACTTTGTTATACAATGCTTTATGTGAAGCAGTCATTGTTTCCATGTGAGGTAGGGGAATTTTAGCTGTATCATAAACATGATAATATTTTTAAGTGGCTGAAGGCAAGTCAGTGTTGGACTGACTTGTTTCATGTCAAGCCAAATATTCATTTGAATCTCCACATAGGTAAAAGCAACAAAAACAACCCCACATTGTTTCAAATGGCTGAAATGTATTTTTCAAATTTGCTGACTGTGCTTATATTATGTACTTACCAAAAGATGTTAAAGAAGGTAAACTGTTTTGAGTAGTCAATATAAGGGTAAGAGTTCCTCCCGTTCCCCCATCCCAAATAATATTTATAAACATACTAAAATTATTAACAAAACTTAACACAACAATTACTAGAGAACTCACAAAATGACTAAAAGTCCAAAATTTAAGTTAGGGTTAGGTTTAGGGTTGGGGGAACGGAAGGAACTCTTTCCAATATAAGAATGTCAAGCATGTCAGAAGTGGATTATGTTGTGTAATCTTGAAAATGTCCTAATACAGTTATCTCTTGCTAAATCCGTCTTAGCCCAATCCGGGTGGTTGGGTAGCCTAGTGGTTAAAGCGTTGGATTGTCACGCCGAAGACCCGGGTTCGAATCCCCACATGGGTACAATGTGTGAAGCCCATTTCTGGTGTCCTCCGCCGTGATGTTGCTGGAATATTGCTAAAAGCGGAGTAAAACCAAACTCAGTCAGTCAGTCTTAGCCCTATCCACCTACTGATACAAAGATTAACATCATACATTTTGTCATTTCTAAATGCATCTTGCTTGTTCTCTTCCTTTCAGGGTTGGGTATAAAGTAGAAAATGAATAAGCTGGTGAGCATTCCGTCAGCACCAGGGGCACCCAAACGGAAGGAGATCTACAAGTATGAGGCACCATGGACAGTCTACAGTATGAACTGGAGTATTCGTCCAGACAAGAGATTCAGACTTGCCCTGGGCAGTTTTGTTGAAGAATACAACAATAAGGTATGTGTCTGTCGTGTGAAGAGAGAACCTGCCTTTGTAGAGTAGTACATACAGTGGAAGCTGTCTAAACCGGCACACGTTGGGACTGAATAAATAATCTGGTTTTGACAGCGTGCCGGAATGTAGAGCTGACATGGTTACCTACAACTAGAACTAAACCAGTTTTATCACTCTCATATACATTGTTGTATAAGGTGGTTCTCTCAACTCACTAATTACATGTACAAGTACACCCATACTGAACTAAGATTAAATTATCTTTGTCGGCAACCATGTAGTTTCAACACAGGGTTACTGACTCCTTGCCATGCACCGGATTAGACAGCACTGATTACTGTATAAACACATATTCGGGCGGCTCATTTCATGTCGAGATCTGGAATTGACAGCTGCCGGATTGCAGAGCTTTTAAATGATGATAAATGTACTAGCCATGGACGGGACTGAGATTTTACGCCGATGTTGACAACTTGCCGGATTGGACAGCTGCCGGTTTTGACAGCTTCCACTGTATAGGTTGCACAAGTAGAATTTGCCTTTTTGATCTTAGAAGGCTGATATTTCACATCAAATTCAACTCAAAAGTTAGTATATGAACTCCGATTTAAAATTACCGATTTTAGTCATATCAATTCAGGTTGTCAGGCCAAATAAAAAAAATGTGGTTCCGATTACAGCTCTTTAAAACTTAAGGTAGGTAGGTCAGAATTTATTTATAATTTTTTTCAATTTTTTTCTTAGAAGTAAAGTACAAACTAATAACACATTTATCAATGTGTAATTATTTATTTAATCAAGCCTGCGGCCATCATGTTGACTTTCTCTATCAGAATGACCGATGTCCGTCGGTGCCGGGAAAAAACAATGGTATCTGAACACATATTTTATTCATACCACTTAAATAAATAGGGTCAGCCCCAGAATTCAAGGGTTGGTCGGGTAATCGGAACAACATTTTTTTAGGCCTCATAGTTTTGAAAATCATGGTAATGTTTTAGCTTACGAATATATGTGGTCAAGGTAACCTTTTCTAAGTTAACGCAGGACAGTGGGGTAGCCTAGTAGTAAAAGCAGTTGGTCTTCACGTGGAAGGCCCAGGTTCTATTCTTCACATGGGTACAATATGTGAAGACCATTTCCACTGTTATAATGCTTATATAACTGCTTCTAATGAAGAGAAAAAGACTTTTGTGCTCAGATTTACGTTACAAATATTGTCATAGCATTAAGTGCAATGTTAAACTACATCCATATTCATAAAATTGGTTGTTAGATGAAGTTATTGAAGAAGTAATACATTTCTTTCAGGTCCAGATCGTATCTCTTGATGAAGAAACATCTGACTTCTCATCCAAGAGCACATTTGACCACCCATATCCTACCACCAAACTGATGTGGATTCCCGACACAGTGAGTTGTACTCCCAGTTGAAGGAAACAGCTCATGTGGATAAAAATTGTTTAAGAAATAAATCATTAAATGGTTTGTCGTTTCAGTTTTATCAGTGTTATTGAATATTTGATGCCTCGTCATTTCATTTAGCACCAATAGCTGGAGATCCGAAATGTTGGAATAGTCTTTTGTGTCACATGATTTATTGTTGTAGATTGCGTGGTGTCCATGGTAACTGATATTTATTTAATTTATAGAAGGGGGTTTTCCCGGATTTGCTGGCAACAAGTGGCGACTATTTGCGAGTGTGGAGAGTTGGTGAAACTGAGACACGGCTGGAGTGTCTGCTCAATAATGTGAGTTGTTATTTACAGTAGAGCTGTGGTTACTCTCTCTGGTATCCACTGGATGCTGACCTGTAAAACAGAGTTGGAAATGAATGTTTCTTTAATGATATGCCACTAAACACCATCTAAAGGGCTTTTGGTTCCTGTTCCATGTGCATTCTGTCATAGCCATAAGTTTGTATTAACAGTGGATGTATTATGAAGGTGAATAACATGCAGTGATAATTCCCTTTTGGAAACAGTCACCATTGAGTTGGTGTAAATCTGGAACTGACTAAGTTTAGAAATGTGTGGTGTTTATTTGTGTTTCTGTTCGCAAAGTCCGTCAGATATGAGACACACCATAAACACATCATTCATCATTCTAGATATTTTTGAAGATAATACCGGTTCATTCATTGTGATCATTGTTGAGTAGCTATGTTCAGTTTTTCATGATTGTCAGTCTTCTTTTCAGAATAAGAATTCTGATTTTTGTGCTCCCTTGACTTCCTTGACTGGAATGAAGTTGACCCCAATCTTCTGGGGACGTCAAGTATCGACACAACCTGCACCATCTGGGGGCTCGAGGTGACATATTGTTCTATATTTTTACTGCTCTATTCATCTCTATGAAGCATTAGCAATGTCAGTATGGCATGATGCAGGGATAATTACAATTACTGTTACACTAACTTACTAAATAAGTTACTAAATAAGTAAATCATCTTGTACAAAGCAATCTTAGCGCTAAGATGATCGTGACTTGTATACTTTAACGTAGTCTTGTGACTGTCACAGCTCTTGTACTAGTTAGAACTGTGGTACTGGGATACACAGCCATGATGTGCAGACATCTGTAATGTCACATGGGAACAAGAGTAGTCAAGTGTGCAGAGTTATGGCCCTTTGTAGCAGAATCTACTGAACATGGGTTCAAATCCCAGATGTTTGTGTGAATGAAACTCATGGGTTTCACTTATGTTAAATGTCTACTGCTTTATCCACTGTTGGCATTTTTATCATGTATAGAACCATCTCATGGTAGGACTGTCACTTGTGTCAGCCATTCACACTCAGATGATCAACCGTTGTTATTAGGATTTGTTGTGTAATCTTATAGACTGAGATGGGTTTCTACTGGATTTTGTTCAGATAATATTCGAGTGTTTAATTATAAGGATAATCATGTCAATACTTATTATGTTTATTATTGTCATAGAATTATTGGAATATTCATGTGATGTATATGTTTATTACTGAGATTAATGTATGTCTGCACATGTTGATATTGTTTCATTAACAGACTGGCCAGGTGCTTGGCAGGGTCAACATGGTCTCTGGGCATGTGAAGACACAGCTGATAGCCCATGACAAGGAAGTGTACGACATCGCCTTTAGTCGGGCTGGAGGAGGCAGGGACATGTTTGCCAGTGTTGGTGAGTAGGTCAGGGTAGGGTGGGGACATGTTTGCCAGTATTGGTGAGAAGGCAGTGTGGGGTGGGGATATGTTTGCCACGTTGATGAGTAGGGCAGGGTGGGATTGGGACATGTTTGCCTCGTTGGTGAGTAGGGCAGTGTGGGGTGGGGACATGTTTGCCATTGTTGGTGAGTAGGGTCGGGTGGGGTGGGGATATGTTTGCTAGTGTTGGTGAGTAGGGCAGGGTGGGATGGGGACATGTTTGCCAGTATTGGTGAGAAGGCAGTGTGGGTGGGGATATGTTTGCAGCGTTGATGATGAGTAGGGCAGTGTGGGGTGGGGATATGTTTGCTAGTGTTGGTGAGTAGGGCAGTGTGGGGTGGGGACATGTTTGCCAGGGTTGGTGAGTAGGGCCGGGTGGGATGGGGACATGTTTGCTAGTGTTGGTGAGTAGGGCAGGGGTGGGGACATGTTTGCCATTGTTGGTGAGCAGGGCAGGGTGGGGTGGGGACATGTTTGCCAGGGTTGGTGAGTAGGGCAGGGTGGGGTGGGGATATGTTTGCTAGTGTTGGTGAGTTGGGCAGGGTGGGATGGGGACATTTTGCCAGTATTGGTGAGTAGGGCAGTGTGGGGTGGGGACATGTTTGCCAGGGTTGGTGAGTAGGGCCGGGTGGGGTGGGGATATGTTTGCTAGTGTTGGTGAGTAGGGCAGGGTGGGATGGGGACATGTTTGCCAGTATTGGTGAGTAGGGCAGGGTGGGGTGGGGACATGTTTGCCATTGTTGATGAGTAGGGCAGGGTGGGATGGGGATATGTTTGCCAGCATTGGTGAGTAGGGCAGTGTGGGGTGGGGGCATGTTTGCCATTGTTGGTGAGTAGGGCAGGGTGGGATGGGGACATGTTTGCCAGTATAAGTGAGTAGGGCAGTGTGGGGTGGGGACATGTTTGCCAGTATTGGTGAGCAGCAGTGTGGGGTGGGGACATGTTTGCCAGTATTGGTGAGTAGGGCAGTGTGGGGTGGGGACATGTTTGCCAGTATTGGTGAGTAGGGCAGTGTAGGGACATGTTTGCCATTGTTGGTGAGTGGGGGCATGGGGACATGTTTGCCATTGTTGGTGAGTAGGGCAGGGTGGGATGGGGACATGTTTGCCATTGTTGGTGAGTAGGGACATGTTTGCCAGTGTTGATGAGAATGCCGTGTGGGGTGGGAATATGTTTGCCAGTGTTGATGAGAACGTCCAGGTGGGGTGGGGATATGTTTGCCAGTGTTGATGAGAATGGCCGGGTGGGGTGGGGATATGTTTGCCAGTGTTGGTGAGAATGCCGTGTGGGGTGGGAACATGTTTGCCAGTGTTGATGAGAACGTCCGGGGGGTGGGGATATGTTTGCCAGTGTTGATGAGAATGGCCGGGTGGGGTGGGGATATGTTTGCCAGTGTTGGTGAGAATGCCGTGCGGGGTGGGAATATGTTTGCCAGTGTTGATGAGAACGTCCGGGTGGGGTGGGAATATGTTTGCCAGTGTTGATGAGAACGTCCGGGTGGGGTGGGGATATGTTTGCCTCATTTGTGAGTAGGGCAGGTGGGGTGAGGACATGTTTGCCATGTTGGTGAGTAGGCCAGGTGGGGTGGGGACATGTTTGCCACGTTGGTGAGTAGGCTGGATGTCAAAGACATTATGGCAAGAGGTAATGAAGTGGTCCTTTACCTGAAATGTTGATGCGTTTACCTGCCACTCATATTAGAAGGACCATTTGTGTAGGTGCTGATGGGTCAGTTCGAATGTTTGACCTCCGCCACCTCGAACACTCCACCATCATCTACGAGGACCCGCAACATGTGCCCCTGTTGCGCCTCGCCTGGAACAAGCAGGACCCCAACTATCTCGCCACCATGGCCATGGATGCTTTCGAGGTAAATACACGTCAACAGTAACTTATCAACGGTGTCCATGTTTACTATACGCATGTGTACTTGTTTTGTGTGTTTTTTATATGCTCAGTATGTGCATGTTCAAGTTTTGTCTTTACCGTATGTGTGTGTACTATTGGCAGTGTATGAAATAAGCCAAAAACCCAACCAGACATCAGGGCTTGTAACTTCAAAATGTTACCAGCCCGAAATGGATTTAACCAGACCAGACACCAAGATATTGTGAATTTACTCAGATGTAGGGAACATCTAAATTGTATTACCAGACCATCAGGCTGGCTTGCTGTAAATTTAGACCTTCCGTTGGAAATCCAGCCCTTCTTGGGCGGTCGGACGGGCCTTATTTCATGCACTGCTATTGGCGTGTTAACCGTCTGTTTACCTTGTGTGGGGGGGTTGGGGTTTGCTGTGTGGGGGGTGTATGTTTACTGTGTGTTTACTGTTTGTTAAACTTTTGTGTGTGTGTTCTGTTTGTGTGGTTACTGTATGTAGTGTATGTGTCTACTGTTTGTTTACTATATGTCTATTTGCTGTATGTGGTGAGGTGAAATTGGGTTTAACGTCGTGCTTGAGAATATTTTGCTCATATGACGACGTGCATGCGTGTGTATGTGTATGTGCGGCTGCTTGTACTAGCCCAGACTTATGCTGGTTTTATAGTGCTAGCCCACTGAGATACCATGCCGCAGTGAAGCATGAATACCCCACTCAGACGCATTATACTGACTCCGAGCCGACCAGTCCTTGTTGTACCGATTAATGCCGAGAGCCAGGAAGGGCCCAACAAGTACCATATTTGAACGTCTTTTGGTATGACGCGGCCAGGGATCGAACCCGCGACCTTCCGCTCTCCGGGCGGACGCTCTAACCACTACACCAAGGAGGCGGTCCTATTTGCTGTATGTGTGTACTGTTGATGTGTTTACTATATAGGTATGTACTGTTTGTATACATACTCCTTCTGTTTGTGTGTTTACTTTGTGAGTGTTTACTGTTTGAGTGTTTACTGTTTGTGCGTGTACTGTGTTTGTTTACAGCATGATGGTGTTTGCTGTTTGTTCTCTGTTTAGCACTCGTGTATTTTAAACATAATATTTTGAGTTTGACTTTATGCACAGTATTTCAGGTTAAAAATAATTCAGCTTGCAAAAGTTCTTTTTATCAAGTATATCAAATAAGGTATATAGAGAATCTCACCCAAGTGTCTACTGATATGAATTATATCGATATCTCCTGTGGAACACAGTTTTGGATGATGAATCAAAATACCAACAAGACTATATATGTTGTGGGATCAGTTATTTTGTGAATGTCACAACCGGACATGTGGCGTCCCAATTCCACATTATTGAGATGCTCCCCTGACAGTCGAGGTGATGGTTACGTGTCATGTCTTATCTTCGGTCACGTGATTGATGATGTTAACGTGTTACAGGTGATCATCTTGGATGTGCGTGTCCCCTGCACACCAGTCGCCCGACTCAACAACCACCGTGCATGTGTGAACGGTATTGCCTGGGGCGCCACATTCCTCCTGCCACATCTGTACTGCTGGTAGGACACATTTCTAGTCACTTGGGGTGCTAATTGTTTCATTGTTTCACTGTTTGGGCTGTAAGTCTACTGGTAAAATCATTTGCTCCTCTCTTAGAAATACCAGGATCAATGTCTGACACGTTTTCAATGTGTAAATCTAGAATACTGTTAAAATGTATTTTAACAAAATACTCACATTGTCAATCATGTTTCGAAGAAAATATGTAGCTGTAATTTTTACAATAGGTGAGTGAGTTAAAATTTACGTCACATCAGCAATATTTCAGCCATATCGTGACGATAGGTACTGCTATATATTTGGAATACATGTACATAAATGTGAACAAAGAATATTTTATTGTCAACATTTCTACATTTGAAACTTTTGTTTCAGCTGATGATCACCAAGCCCTAATATGGGATATCCAGCAGATGCCACGTGCTATTGAAGACCCAATCCTAGCGTACACATCATCAGGGGAGATAAACCAGATTCAGTGGTCTTCAACCCAGCCTGACTGGATCGCTATTTGTTACAATAACTGTTTGGAGATCCTCCGCGTTTGATAATTAACAGGGCACTTTGAAGAGACTCAAAATCATTGTAAGGCCAGTCAATACCTAAATAGTCAAACCAAACCATTCAAAGACATACCAACCATTTCTATCATCAGCCTGTTCAGATTCAATTAAAGGTTCATGCAAGTGAACAAAGACTGAAAGCTATTTAAACAGATTCCAGTACTGTTAGAGGTACTCTACCAAGTGTTGCTTGGAAACCTTTACGGGTTGTGAATGAAATTTGTGAAACTTTGAAAAAAAACATTTCTAGGTGATTTCTAGTTTTAGTAACATTATGAAAGGAGGAATGTCTGAGAAAACAGAAGAAGCTTGCCACCACAGAAGTTATTTGAGAATCATTTGCCGTAGTTGACACATTTAGCGCTCTGCTCCTATAAGCTCGGTGTGAACTGTCATGCATCAAGACAAGCATGTTTCTACAGACCCATCACTTCATGCACAGGGCGCTAATTAGGTTGAATACAGTTCTGATTTGATGCATCATCAATACCTCACGGGTTGTGTTTACTACATTCGTCCATCCCCTGTGGAGACATACAGAGTAATCTCCATGTTAACCAATGGAGCATTTTGTTTGAAGCCATGACAGGTGGAATCTGATTGGTCAGTACGAGGGACATCGATATGACATGACTTGTGATACTCACTTCCATATCATCGAGCCATGAAATTACAGGTCAGTTAGGCTGGTAAACTAGACTTTATTAGTCGGTCAACACCCTTACACTATGATGATAATGAGGTGGAAGAAATTACTGCTTGGACCAATGGCTCTCCTATCACACCAACAGCCATATTTCTCACTTGTCAGTGTGGTTGCCTGCTCCAAAATTTCAAGCAATGGTAGAGTGTGTTCCAAGAAGGTTCATGGATAGAAAGGGTTTATTTGACTTCCATGTGTAAATGTCTGCATTGCCTATGTATTCACAGGTGTTGAAGGAAGGTAGTGTACACAAATCCGTGAACAACTGATGATAGATTTGATATGAAAAGGCACCTGCTTTACCTTGAGCCTGGCTGGAAACTGATTCCTTGGCTGGACCACCAACTGTAGCAGTTGTTGCCTCTTCCCTGCTGTTGTCCATAGTCCCATCTGGTTATGTTCAATCATAATTTTCATCTTCATGTATTTAATACATTTATTAGATTTCATGTCCTCACTTTGCCTTTAAATTCTCATTTGATTAGAAGTACTATTTAATCTTTAGTGACGGTGTATTAGATTCCACATCAGACAAATTCCTTCCTAATTACTTAGTGACTGGCCTTAAGTTTATAATGCTTCATTCAGACATCTATCTTTTGAAAGTGCCTGTTATCCATCAAGCTTATTATGTGTGTTAAAGTCATACTGACCTTAGAACTCAATGGGCAACATGTCACTGTCAACTTGGCATCAGAGGTCACATGAGACTATATGACCTTGACAAAGCATTCTGAAGTTGACCTTGTTAGCATGATTATCTGCTTTGAATGTCGTGTCAGGAAACAAGTTCAGCATGTCATTCCGGACCAGACTGAAATGGAGGAATCCATTGAAATTATTTATTGCACGTCCAAACCATCATCCATCCAGAAGTATCTTATCACTTCAAAGCCCCAATGGAGGACATTCTAGAAGAAACGATCTTGACGTTGAAACATACAGTTGTGGAGATTTTACGCTGCATTTACCATTGCGCTTCGGGTTAAAATCAAGCTCACGCTTTTGTATTTGTAACCTGTTAGTCTTCAAATCAGACATTACATTGTTAATGTGAACAATTTTGAAAACTGAAGATACCATCAATTTGCCTGTTTGTTGAAATAATTTTGTTATGTTGTTTAGAAACAAATAACATCTGATATATAATTTTTAACAGGGCTATAAATATATTTCAAATGCTTTATACCTTTATAAACATATTGTTTAACTGTTCATTTCCGGAATTAATCTTATTAATTGGGAAGATTAAGTGTATGTGGTGTTAGATTTTTACCTATCACATGATTGTGGATGGTATTCATATACAAGTCTGACTTGAAGTCCAGCTCTATGTACAGTTATTTTTAATCATGTCACATTTTGTATTTAATTCATCTATGATCTACTATTTTATGTCATCTGACTATTTGTAGAAGAGACTTAATGTTATACGTGTGTACAGTGTTGTCGTATCACCACATTGTAATGCTTCTTGTTGATGCAAGCTGTGGTAATCTACATGTACATGACCGGAGCCTCGTCAGTTTTCTGATGAGACTCGGGACTGGCTCAGGGGCCTGATACACAAAGCATTCATAGCGTTACAACCTGTTGTAACGCTACAGTTTACATACTCTGACGAAAGTCATAGCGCTATGAACACTTCCTGGATCAGAACCCAGCCTAATCATGCATTACTGTTTTTATTACTTGGTAAAGATATCAACTGAAAATCAAACAAAGTTATGTTAAACTTATTAGTCTGAGAAACACTGAAGGGGTTTGTTTCTTGACTTTCTTATAATATTTTTCACATAAAATCAAATTTAATTAACTATAATATCAGCCAATAACCAGGTTAGTATACAGATGATTACTGTAAACTTTCCACTGATGAAATGCAAGATTGCTGTAAAGCTTGGGGTTTTGGAGTGGGGAATTATCATTTCTTTTGTCCATTGAATTCTATTACAGTACGTTAATCAAGATATAAAGAAATCTGTGTGATCCAGTGACAGTAGCTTGCCTTAATATTTTGTGCAAACAACTTTGAAGTTGAACCAATGTATCTTGTGAGTAACAGTTATAACTGATGATTGTATAGTATGTGCATTTTACTGTATATACCTTGGACCCAGTTGCCACCATAACTTTACTTACAGAGTGATATTACCAAGATGAATCTCTTACCACTCAATTAGAACACAAATTCTCTCACTCATGAACTTAAGACCACAGGGAAGTTAGCTAATCTTCTAAATCATTCCCTTGTCCGAGTGATCCCTGGATGTACGTTATTGAATCGGACGACTTATTAATGAAGAGAGTGAATGGGTGAGTTTAGTGTTAAGCCGCACTCAGCAATATTCCAGCTATATGGCAGCGGTCATAATCGGGTCTGGACCAGACAATCCAGTGATCAACAACATGAGCTTCGATCTGTGCAATTGGGAACCAATAAAGAAGAGATGTTTGCAGGGTACTTCAATGATGGTGGGATGTCATTAATGACCGTTCATAATTTATGGGGAGTTTTTTTTACATACGTGGGGGGAGTGCTTTTAAGGGGGTCCTCCATTTATTTTATTTTTGGGGGCAGCAATTTTGTGTACACACGTGGGGGAGGAGCAATTTTGTACATAAAATATGTTTAATATGTGAATGACACATGCAAGGGGGGTGTCACTTATTTTGTACATAAATTGGGGGGTGGGGGGATGTCATTCACATTGTACATGCTTCTCCATAAAAATGATGACCACCACCCCCAGCCATGATTTATGAACGGTCCCTTAGTCTGGAAGATGTTGGTTGTGTTGAGACAGTAAGAGTGATGCTTCAGTCATGAAATCACAGAGTAATTTGATTGTACTTTTAACATTTCATTTGTCACTGAACTCAATATTAACTTAATGTGGCGATTGGGTTTGGGGTAGCTTACAGAGAATGGGGCATTATACACAGAATAACTGAGTATGATCATGAAGCTCATCATTTATGTTTATAGGATTATGTTTAGTATTATTTTTGTCATAGAAACTAATCTTGAGTGTAGAAACTAAAACTATATGATGGTTATAATAGATTTTTAAAACTATCAACTGCATGATTTTAATGGGGATTCTGTAGACTAGCACTGTCAGTATCATGTTGCAATGTGAATCAATGTGAGTCATAAAACTAATTCTTACAAAGACATGTCAGTTGAAGCAGTAGCAGGTGCACTGATATTTTCTTTTTCTCCAAATATATACAGTTTGATCTGATCTGATACCTGTCATGTCCAGCATTAACATATTGTTCTTCACATACGTTCAAGACATGCAAGAGAAAGATGCGTGCATCCATTTAATACTGGGTAAAAGTTCATCCTCTTGTAGTCCTGTTTATAAAAAAGTATCTATAAAATATATTGTCATACAAGAAATTATAAAAGGTTTTCAGTCTGTTAAAATGTCGCTTTGCAGCGTGTGTTGATGTTAGTCACCGCATCTGTATATTCCATATCACCGGCAGGGCTCGATGTAAGTATTTAGAACTTGCACCGGTGCAACTGAAACTGCAAAATGCAACCTCCATGCCAGTTTGCACCCAAAGCATGTTAATATTTTGATGTTCAAAGAACACAGACTTCAGCTAGAAAGGGGGCTGTTGGGTAGCCTAATGGTTAATGCGTCTGCTTGTCATACTGAAGACCCGTGTTCAATTCCCCACATGGGTACAATGTGAAGCCCATTTCTGGTGTCCCCTGCCGTGATGTTGCTGGAATATTGCTAAAAGTGGTGTAAAACCATATTCACTCACTCAGCAATGTCGCAGCAGGGACACCAGAAATTGGCCTCGCACATTGTATCTATGTGGGAAGTTTTATGAAGACAGATAGTATGACTCAGAATAATTTTGTTATCATGATGTCTCAAATCATCAGTTAGCCTTAAGTCGAGCCCTGCACCAAGCACCTCTCATTTCAGTAAACTGTGGACCTTCCGTCTCCCGTAGTTGGTATTACGGTCGGAGATTTTCACTCTATGTTCAGTGTATGTGAGAATGATGTCTGCATGAGTTTTGCAAGAGTGTGTGCGTGAACATGTGCATGTTACATAAGAAATGAACAGACATTTGTATACAGTTATGTTTTCTAAATTCATGATTTGTGAGTGTACAGCAAGGTGGGTGTCAAGTCTGCTTTAAGACTTTTAGGGTGTATTTTTATTATATCTTTGGTCACCTTGATTAGCTTTATTGTTTTACAGATTTCTTATATCTGCTTACTCAAACTTAGCATTTACAGCCTTATGACCTAGTGTAACTTTATATTTTGTGATAGGTTGACAAGTGTTGTAGAACTATAAATGCTTTGTTGTTCTGGAACCAGGAGTAGAATAGTGAGTGAGTATCGCTATGGCGATAAAAGTTGTGTTATGTCTACCAAGATCTCATTTTAAAGAGATTGACAGTAGTTACAACATTAACAGAAACTAAATGCAGCTATCAAAACAGATTTTATATTATCTGTCTTTAAAAGTGACTAAATAAACTGAATGCGGTTTGAATGGTATGTTGTGAGGGAGTGTGTGAAGTGTGTTTTGAGACTAGATCTGCAGTTTTCCCATGTGCTATGTTTGTCCTGTGTTGGTATATGTTGAAGTGTCTATCTTGTTGTTCGTTCTGCCAGGGCGTAGGGATCACAGTCTGATATCTGTAAACACAGTGTGACTCCGCTACATATCTGCATAGTCATAAAAGTTGAAAAATTCCAGTTGGTGTTTTCAGATTATGATATTGGAGTCCCTTACCTGCTTGTCTCTTTCAACTGTCTCGTACACCTTGACAACATTTATTACCATGGCAACGTATTAATTTTGAGAAGATTTGCAATTGAATTACCATGTGATCTCACATTTTATCGGTTGAAGTATCTAGAGGGACCAGTCATGGATCATAGAGGGCAGAAATTTCAGTAGCAGAAGTGGGTTTTGGGAGTCGAAGTTAGGGCTGAAATCAGGATTGTGTGGGGATGATATGTGGAAATCGGGGCAGTTTCTCAGCCATTGTCATAGCAAAAATCAAGAAAGTAATGTCACCGTCTGGGGTACAATAGAATGGACATACATTCGAGCAGTCGTGTACACTTACACATGACATATCAAGGCAGTTCACATCATCATCCATCCATTTCTTCGAAAAATTACATTAGCAAACAAATCATTTGCCACTGATATACCAGATCCTAAAGGTTACATTACCCAGTGTCCACCAGAGTTACACTTAAAGATTTTAAAGCTCGATAATGACACCTCCAGTTGAGCATCCTGCATGGTGACAAGATGTACGATTCAGTTGCACATTTTCGTTGTCATACCGACCATCAGTAACAAAATGTGTTTGTTTTGCCAAAATAAATGTATACAAAAACACTGAATTCTCGTTTTATTTGTAATGAGTGATGTATTGCTGGAATACAGATGATACAAGCATGATACACCTAAGGCCATGTCTCCTCACTGGAAACCCGTGAAGATCCGGCTTAGAATTGATCTTCAATTACCCATGCTTTCCGTAAGACTAACAGGATCAGGTGGTCTGGCTCGCTGACTTGGTTGTGTAGATCGATGCTCATGCTGTTGATCACTGGATTGTCTGGTCCAGACCGCCGCCACATAGCTGGAATATTGCCGAGTGTGGCGTAAAACCCAACTCTCACGCTTCTCACTGGAAACGAGCATGGTGCATTTAGGTCTGTTTCTATCTTGGACTGTGACAAGGCCATGTCTCCTCACTGGAAACGAGCATGGTGCATTTAAGGTCTGTTTCTATCCAGGACTGTCACAAGGACACAAGCATGATATACAGTACAACCAGAAATTATTGAGAATTTAAAGACTGTAATTTTTAAAAAAAAATTCACTCATAACTCGCGTATTAAATGTGAATATTAGCAGAACATTACTCCAGATTCAAAGACAGGTGAACAGTATTTTGTCAAGTCACCATGGGCAGCAATGCAGGCTTCAATGCGGCGGGGCATACTACTGATCAAAGAAGTTAGAAAGTCGTGGTCCATGCTGTCCCAATATCGGACCACCTCTTCTTTCATTTCAGCAATATTTGTCAGATTTTTTTTATTGACACTTTCCTTCATAAGCCCCCAAAACATTTTCTATAGGATTTAGGTCAGGGCTATAGCTTGGCCAATCTAATAATGTCATATTTTGGGTCCGAAACCAGGCCTGTGAATGTTGTGAACGATGGTTTGGGTCGTTGTCCTGCTGGAAAATCCAAAATTTTCCATAGAACATGTGAGCAGATGGAAGTAAATGTCCCTCGAGAATATCTGTGTACCGCTCACTGTTCATATTCCCTTCAAATACACAGAGGGGCGTTGCCCCTAACACAGATATGCCACCCCACGCGTTAAATTTCGGACTGTACTTTGGGCGCTGATACAAAGGTTTTTCAGTTTGTTTGGTCCCGAATTTCAGTGTATTAGGAAACAGCCACACAGAGCTTTCATCTGAGGAAATCACATTGTCCCAGTTAAAATTTCTATGCTGTAAGCACCAGTTCAACCTTCGCTCCTTTTGTTCAGGTTTCATGATCGGTGATGGAATTCCTCGACTCTTCTGCCAACCCATTGCATACAGCTCAGTTCTAATTGTCTCCTTACAGACAGCCACAATTTTTCAAAACACTATAAACAGTGGACAAAGGGATGCCTGTTCTACTTGAAATCACTTTAGCTGATCTGATGTCCTTGTTATAATACTCTAAAATCAACTTCCTCTTCTCTAAATCATCAATACTGAGGATCACTGAAAATGTCGTCTGCTAGCAAGTAAACAAAGGGGGATAACTCTTCACAAACTAATGAAAAAGAATTAACGGAGTTGTCTATCTTAAATGTAACCAAGCACTTGATAGCTGGTCAAGGTTGTTTATACTAGAAATCCAATTAAACATATTCTTAAAATTCTCAATAATTTCTGGTCATACTATACCTAAGGCCATGTCTCCTCACTGGAAACGAGCATGGTGCATTTGAGTCTGTTTCTGCCCAGGATATGGCTTTACCTCAATTATTTCAATAAATTCTGCATATTCGAAATCTCCCAAATGTTTACGGAATACAAATAACAAAAGGACACAGAATTTTATAAGGATGATGTATATAGTGATAATGAGAGATGATCCTTCATCAGCTGCTAGGCTGTTTGAGACAACGCCGAGCCATCTCCAGGACGCCATCGTATGTCTTGTTGCCGCCAATGAAGCCACCAGCGTGGACAAAGATACAGCCAGGAATTCCTGACTTCTTCGTCAATTCCTCATCCCTCACTCCCCTCCATTCCTCCAAGATGGACAGTCTGCAATGACCAGAAGATAAAAGGTTTATCAGTTCGAATAAGATAAACATGTTTCCCCTATAAACATTCAGAAAGTATTTTATTGTTGACATCTGGCATGGTGCTTAGATAAAGTGTCAGCATACTATATTCAGAATAATGTTTCTGGCTCCACTAACAGAAACTACTCTGCACAGTGAATTGTGGCATCTTCAGCATGAAGATGGTTGCAAGTACGAAGTCATGCCTTAAGCCAAGAGGATAGCCAAATAGCCTGTGACATGTAACAGTTGTAAGTCTTTAGGCAATCATTTCCTGTATTTCAATTTGAGTATGTTACTTTTTAAACAATAACCATGGTATTTCAAAACATTAATAATGCATTCATGATATTGACTACACCTTCTGTTACTTTCATCTGGCTCTCTGCATAATATGATACTGACTCCATCATTGAGAGCCTTTGGAGACATACTGAGCAAGTATTGGTGGTCTCAAGAACCTTTATCAGAATGGGATCAATGTCTGTCTATTAAAGATACATGAAAAGATCAGATATAGGACACTACAGAAAGGGTGGTGTTCAACTTTTCTAAGACAAACCTGTTCTCAAAGGATCCAACTCTGACCGGTACACACTGAATCCTCCATGCACCGTTCTGGTCTGTGTACAGGATGTATTTGATTGGTGGGCTCACGCCAAGCTCCGCCTCGAGTGAAAACAGATGATCTTTCCATGGGGCACCGCCCTCCTTCATGCAGATTATTTCCCCTGATTCATCAACCTACACAATACAATACAGTGTCAAAGTTACTGCTTCCAAAGAAAGGTTACACAGTTTCAAGAGTGAGTGAGTGAGTTTAATTTTACGCCGCACTCAGCAATATTCCAGCTGTATGGCGGCGGTCTGTAAATAATGGAGTCTGGACCAGACAATCCAGTGATCAACAGCATCAGCATAGATCTGCGCAACTGGGAACCGATGACATGTGACAACCAAGTCAGCGAGCCTGATCACCCGATTCCGTTAGTCGCCTCTTACGACAAGCATAGTCACCTCTTGTGGCAAGCATGGGTTGCTGAAGACCTATTTCTCCCCGGATCTTCATGGGTCCATAGTTTGAAGAACCCCAATTGTAATGATATTGAATGGGTTCAGGTACTGACCATAATCCACAGGATAACTTTTGGTCAGGTGATGAGCAGATAAGGCTCAAACAACTACCTTTGGTCACAGTGAATTATTACACTAGGAAATAATCGACCAGACTTAAAACATAAGGGACCAAAGGTACTATATAAATTGTATGCTTCTCTCGAGGGTAATATTTATCTTACCGCAATGTTAAATGTACAAAATATCATTTTATTTTATTTTGGAGATAGCTACTGACTGTATGACATGTATGTAATTTTTCAAGTAAAATTGATCGTTTTATACTTAGATCCTGACTCATGATCTTTTGCTTATCTCCCTTTCCTTTTCAAATGGTAGTGGAACACTTGAATCCCTTGAAGTTCCCGAGGCGGACGTATAAATACACTCACCCACGAGTTACCTCCCTTTTGCCCTTTTCCCGCGCAAAGAGTCATGTGACCAGCCTTACTTGTCACTCTCTCCTGATGTTCTGCCCATGCACTTGGATCTGCTGTGAAATCCAAAGTGACTTCAGCAGGGAGGTTGGGAGGGACCTGTCACGAGTCAGGATAAGTATATCAATTTTACTTGAAAAATTACATATTTTTTCTTATCCTGACTCATGATCTTTTGCTTATAGAATCCGACAGATTGGTGGTGGGTCAATCCACTTTGTGGATTCATCAGCTGTCCATAGATACGTCCTGTATCCCCCCCCATGGGAACTGCGAAACGGCATTTCCATGATCCTATTCTTCCAACTTCCGTTATAACTCGGGGGGACCACTTTCTTGTCTTACTTCAGTCTCAGACAAGTTGAATCATGTTGATTCATGTGGCTACAGATAAACTTGTATCTTCTTATTACTAGATATCTTATAACAACCCATAGATTATGATAAGATCTTTATCATAAATGATTTGCAACCCCTTCACGTACAGGTAAGATCTTTACCCGTACAGGATCTTTAATCACTCATGCTAACCTGTCCTAGACTGTGCGCATGGACTTTCAAACTAATACTTTTTCCTTAGTAAAAGTTATCAACAAGTCAACGTGATAAAGGGTGAGATTTTCAAACTCAGCGCGCCTTTGAGGAACCGTTAGTTGCTGTGCTACAACGAGAGGCCCAAATTGGTGAATGCCTGAGACGTCTTCAGTGGCTATGTCTCGGAGATAGTGGTTGGCAAACACTGTGTCCGACTTCCAAAAGCAGCTCTCCATAATTGCTGGTATAGAGCAATTTCCGTGCAGAGCCAGTGTTGACGCCAGTGCTCTGACTTCATGTAGGTTGGAAGCTCTTGGGAGGTTCTAATCCTGCTGCTTTATAGGCACTCAATATGACGGCTCTCATCCAGAACGATATCGTCGTTCTTCAGACTTCTGCTGAAGTCTCTGTTGATAATGGGATGAACAGGCGCTTGAATTTTCTCTCCTTGTCTCAGTCTTTTGAAGATATATCTTCAGGGCTCTGACCGGACACAAGGATAAGTCTTCTATATCCTCTGGGCCGAGGATTGTAGATAGCGCTGGTATGTGGAACTGTCTATCTGGCTGACCAGGTAGTTGGTTCTTGGCAATGAAGTCCCATCTAAGTCCTAGATGAACTGCAGCATGTTGCCCCTTGTCGAATCTGGTTCGACCATAGTCCAGCGCATGTATCTCTGATATTCGAGCTGCCGTGGCTAGCGCAAGCAGGAACAGAGTCTTCTGTGTCAGCAGCTCGAAGGTAGTCTGGTCTAGAGGTTCGTAGGCATCACTGGTATGGCTCGACCAATGTCAGTTGTAGCGCCTGTGACTGTTTGATCTTGAACAGTACTTCCGGTAATAATATCGGGTGTGGAAACGTGTAAGCGTTTAGTCCTTCCCAAGATATGCTCAGTGCATCTGTTGCCAAGGCTTGAGGATCTGGAACCGGTGAGACAAACGTCTGTAGTTGTTTGTTGAACCTCGTGGCAAACAGGTCTATGCAAGAGGATCCTATTTCCCTTATGATGAGCCGGAACGCTTCTGGATGGAGCATCCATTCCATAGGTGATTGGTGTAGTGGTCGGGATAGAGCGTCTTCAGGTACGTTCTTGGCTCCGGGTATGTGACACGCCTTTATCCAGATGTTTGCTTCCTCCGTGATGCGGAACAACTGGAATGTGAGCTGTAGCAGGCTTGGACACCTTGTGGATCCTTGCTGATTTATGGAGAATGCCACTGTAGAGTTGTCCGTGTGGACCATCAGTATTTTGTTGTTCAGTGAGCTCGACCATAGTTGTAAGGCGTTGATCACGACTTTCATCTCCAGCAGATTGATGTGAAGATGCTGCTCTATTTTGGACCACCTTCCTGATGCAACTTGATTGTTGAGATGCGCACCCCAGCCTTGTATCGAAGCGTCTACATAAAGCTGTGAGTTGAAGGCCGGCTCTTGTAAATAGGTCCCTCCGCAAACGTTCGACCAGTGCGTCCAACATAGTAGATACCTCTTGAGGTTGTCTGGCAGCAAGATAGGGTCGACGCTGTCTAGATGTTTTGTCAGGAACCGTTGCAGCGGTCTTAGTTGTAACCTTCCTGTCCAAGTCAAGTCCTGCACCGAGGTTAGTAGACCGAGTAGAACTTGCCATGATCGTAGTGTTAACGGAGAGATGACTGCTGGTGGAATCATGGCTTGTATCTTGACCCAACAATCTGCTGGGACGACAATACGATTCTGTGTTGTGATAAACCTTATCCCCAGAAATTGCAGATCTTGTTTTGGTTCCAACTCTGACTTCATAAGGTTCACCAGCCATCCTAGTTGAGTGAGCAACTTGATCGTGAAGTTCAGCTGTAGTCTGAGTTGACTGGCATCTTGGTGAACCTGAATTCCGTCGTCCAAGTAGAAGGCATTGCGTAGACCTCGATGATGTAGATATGCGACTATAGGCTTGGTTATTCGTGTGAATAGCCATGGAGCAGAAGATATTCCAAACGGTAGGACATTCCATTGGAAGTGCTGCCCTCTGAATAGGAATCGTAGATACTTTCTTGATTCTGGATGTATGGGGATGTGTAGATATGCATCCTGTAGGTCTATGCTGGCCATGTAATCTGCTGGACGGATGAGTAGTCTGAGTTGAGGTAGGTGGATCATTCTGAACCTCTCTGGTTTCAGTAGATAGTCTTTGTTGAATTTGCGCATGTTGTAAATCAGTCTGAACTTCTCCTTGGAGTTCTTCTTGGGTACTAGAAAAATTGGGGAGTAGAAGCCTGGAGTGAGATGATGCTGATCTATTATCTCTACCGCCTCCTTCATAAGTAGTGAGTTGATGGCTTCTTGTAGTTTGTCTGCCTGTTCCTCTGCATAGTCGAAGACCATTGGGCTGAAGGTTAGCGGAGGCATGGCCTTGAGTTGTACTCTGTATCCTTCTCTTAGTACTTGGGAGACGTAGTCGTCCTCTAGTATTCCCCAACTTTTCCAGTACCTTTGTAGACGTCCACCCACTGTCGACGGTTTTACAGGAACGGCTGGGGATGGAAGACTCCAGTCGTTCCGAACCTTGATATCAACGTCTAGTTCCTCTGGATCCTCTGGAAGTGCGGCTTCTCCCTGAGATTCCTCTGTAATTTCCGCTTGGGGGAAAAGGGAGAGAGTGACAAGTAAGGCTGGACACATGACTGTTTGTGCGGGAAAAGGGCAAAAGGGAGGTAACTCGTGGGTGAGTGTATTTTTACGTCCGTTCGGGAACTTCAAGGGATTCAAGTGTTCCACTACCATTAGAAAAGGAAAGGGAGATAAGCAAAAGATCATGAGTCAGGATAAGAAAAAATTAAAAAGATGGCGTCTGCCTCTCAACTGGATTTTTATAACCAGTAAAACATATTCTGACAAGCTTAAACCTGCTATGTTTAATTTGAGTGTCAAAACGATTCAAAGTATAAAATAGTTTAAACAAGTGTTTGCCACTGATATGGCAATGTCCCCTGCCGCTAAAGAATGGAATATTTATAACATATTTACTACTTTTTATTTTTTGGACACATACAAGATGACTGAAATGACTGGTGTCTGCAAAATCACCCAATGTATTCTGTCGACATAATTGAAGACATTGGGTGCAATGTTTTATGAGATATCATGTTTAAATAAGTTTGAAAAGTGGTCAAAGTGTCGTGGTGACCTTGAAGATAAGGCCAAGGTCACCAAAATCAACTGGTGTCTGCATAATATCCCAATGTAGGCTATGACCATATTTGAAGACATTGGGTACAACAGTCCATAAGATTTTGCATTAACAAGAGTTTGAATCTTGGTCAAATTGTCAAGGTGACCTTGAAGATAAGGTCAAGGTCACCCAAATCAACTGGTGTCTGTGTAATCCCCCAATGTAGGCTGTCACCAAATTTGAAGATACATTGTATTGGATACAACAGTGCATGAGATATCACGTTAACAAGAGTTTGAAAAGTGGTTAAAGTGTTGTGGTGACCTTGAAGATAAACTCAAGGTCACCTAAATAGACTGGTGTCTGGGTAACTTCCCCAATGTAGGCTGTCAGCAAATTTGAAGACATTGGGCACAACAGTTCACGAGATACCGCATTAACAAGAGTTTGATAAGTGGTCAAAGTGTCGTGGTGACCTTGAAGATAAGGTCAAGGTCACCCAAATTGACTGGTGTCTGGGTAATCCCTAGGCTGTCAGCAAATTTGAAGACATTAAGTGCAACAGTTCATGAGATATTTCGTTAACAAGAATACATATGTACGGACGCCGCTGAATACATAGTCCTGCGTTTTGCGTGCGGTGGGGTACAATAAAGCAGTGATAGTCGGTAAAATATATGTGTACATAGTGAACTCTAAACCAGCTAATTGAACGTTTTTCGAACTCCGGACACTGCATGTGTCATATTATGACGTCATACGATTGTTAGCATTACAGCTTCTCTGGCGGAGAGTGTGGCGGTTACCGTGGCAGCGGGTAATATTTTTTCCAGTTGTCACCCTCCTGGGAGTGGTCACACGGAAACTTGTTAAAGGGTCATTGAACAATGAAATTAAAGTATTTTACATGAAGGTAAGATAAAGAGAGTGTTTCGGGGGTATATTTTGTTGACAAGTCACAAATCTTGTCATCGACAAACTGAAGTAGTGAATATACTTGAATTGCAGAGACTTCACTTCATACTTTTCAATCCTTCTAAATGGTATAAATTTGACAGCATCAAGTTATGGGGTGTATGGGCTACTGTGGCTGTTCTGGTGCACATACTTCCTTCCTCTGTTTGATGGCGGTCTGTACCAGATCTCTCGCTGGCAGCCATGCCTGTTTGAAATACATCACACGGTCCATGAACTCTGCACCAACCATCTCCATGGCCTTGCGGAACTGGGCCTGGAAGAATCATACACAGTGCATCAGGAGTGAGTGAGTGAGTAAGGTGAATTTTAATACCCATCTTTATTTAAAATATGTCAGCTCAATGTGGGAGAAAAAGAACAGGGACGCAGGTAAAGCACTCGAGTACAGCTGTAATGATCTTAAGGTTCGAAACTGCAATCAGCAGATCCTTGCATGTCTAAGGGACATAACCCTGCTCAGGAACAAACAGCTCTAATGGACAAAACATCCATTGCTTTTGTACCTGCATATCAACAAGTTTCAGAGGCATCTTGGACATCAGCAGAGACATTTGCAAGAGATGGATGTTTTGCGTATAAGTATTCACATACAGTTCCTAGGACAATCTTACATCAATGTCCACATCTGTTTGGTTCCAGTGAGGATTGAGATTCCCAACTCTGCTGCTTAGAGTTGTTGTGATTCGGTATCTGAAAACCAACATGCACAGGATAACATACACTTGTCACAATTTTTCTTATTTGAGGGCACTTACAATGATTTCTTACAAACTGGTCTAAAATCTAGTCAGGTCACATTAATTGTAGTGAAACACTTAATACAGTGAATATGGTAATTACTCTTAATCATTCACGCCTGTTCTACATGCTCAATAGTGATGGGATTGGTTGAGGTTTCACAAATGATTATGAGAAGCAAGTGGTTGTAATCTGACCAAAGACAACAGCCCATAAGCAAACTCATCCGCTTCACTTGTTTTAATTCAACTTTGACAATCTCAGCTGCTTTGGTTATTTGAACAAGTCCATGAATATATCAGGCATACCTTCTCTCAAAATTAGGTTCATTAACTGTTAATTTAATTGATCCATTATCTTACCAATTGACGACTAAGGTCCAGTGTTTGGTCAGTCTGCACTCTGCACTATGATGCAAGTCCATTTAATGAACATATTATCAAACAAACGGTGCAGTTATACTGATGCATGACCATAACCATTATGGTAGGCGGGCAAACACTGCTTAAAACTTTTGTTCAGAATTGATTATTACGTGACTTATATCATACTTTTGGACACCATCAGTCTGGTCAATGCCATTGTCGATAGCATCGATCTCCTCCACAAAGTTCTCATACACTTTGTCGTAGATGATGTTGGTGACGGGGTCATCGCGAGGCAGCTCTAGGATCTGTGTGAGCAGCTCGCCGCCAAAGTGTAAATACACAAGGCCAGCGCTGCTCAGTTTAGTCTCTCTTGTCTTGTCAGGGCAGAGAGACTTCATGTTCTCGGTGAAGGTCCTGTAACCATGGTGATATGTAGAGAATACAAACAGTACTACCACAAACATGAACACATTTATTGGAGCTTCCGTTTCAATTCTGGGAAAAGAAAGACTAAGAACAGTGTGTGAATGAATATTGTTTTATGTCAACAAAATCAGAAAGGTGTTCGTTCATCAGAATATAGGAGGCAGAAAAGTCTGACATAATGCAGGTTTTGCATGTAAACCACTTTGGTGAAAAACATGTTTGTTGCCAGCAAACTGAATAAAGGCTAGCTGACAACTGAATCCATAATCACATGTATCTGCTTTCCAAAATGACACCCTAGGCAAGTCACCCGCCCAAGCCCCTGTTTAGTGAATGTTATCTGAAACTGTCCAGTAGGTATACAACACCAAAGTGATGCTGGCTGAAGACATGTACCACCTTTGTGAAGCCCATGAACAGGGGTTGGGTGCAGACAAACCTTAAAACAAGATGGAGCGAACCAGAATTCGAACCACACTCCTGGTATTTCGAAGAGATGATCGGTATGAAGCTGATATGTATGTCTGCATGTTGGCCTGTCTGTATGTTAATTTAGTATTTTGCAGGTGTATGGCTGAAACAAAACCTGTTTATGTAAATATGGTCTAAACCAAGATGTTTTTCACTAATATATCAGGTCTAAACCAAGATGTTTTTCACTAATATATCACAACTATTGTTACCTCTGGTGGTGGTCAAATCTGTTTTTGGCTGGGTCAAACACTCCCCCGACATCAACCACAATATCACATGTGTCGAGTACAGCAGCATCACGTGTCCTGGGGAAATAGAGTGAGTGAGTGAGTGAGTGAATGTTCAGTCACCTACATCAATAAGTCAGCGTCAAACAAGGATTAGTGTCGTGAACTGGAGAGAGTGAGTGAGTTTAGTTTTACGCCACACTCAGCAATATTCCCGCTATATGGCAGCGTCTGTAAATAATCAAGTCTGGACCAGACATTCCAGTGATCAACAGCATGAGCATTGATCTATGCAATCAGGATACGATAACATGTGTCAACCAAGTCAGCGAGCCTGACCACCCGATCCCGTTAGTCGCCTCTTAAGACAAGCATGGGTTGGTGAAGATCCATTCTAGCCCTGATCTTCACTCCTGACCCTTGTCATTGAGGGGTATGTGATGATGGGTAGAAGCCAAAAGAGAGTGAGTGAGTTTAGTTTTACACCGCACTCAGCAATATTCCCGCTATATGGCGGCGGTCTGTAAATAATCGAGTCTGGACCAGACAATCCAGTGATTGACAGCATGAGCATCAATCTACGGAATTAGGATACGATGACATGTGTCAACCAAGTCAGAGAGCCTGACCACCCAATCCCGTTAGTCGCCTCCTACGACAAGCATGGGTTGCTGAATACCAATTGTATCACTGAGGGTCCTCTGGACACCAAGTTAAATCCCTGATGTATCACAAGGACAATATTCTCACCTGACAATTTCAGCGTCTTTATACTGGGGTAGCTGCTTCAGCATGAAGCATGCCAACACTTCATCGCAGTGGAATGTGCCATTATGAGTCCCTATCTTCATCATGCAGGGCCGCTTGCAAGCAGGTTCCTCGCTCATATGTCGGATTGCTGGGACTTGGCAAAATGTCAGAGACTGTCTACAAAACAGGGTAAATTGAGTCAGTCTCATCAGAGACCATATATTTGATTATATGGTCTCTGGTCTCATCCATATCAAATCTCATTTTTGGTATCTCTGTACAAACATTGATAATAGGAAGCATCTGATTTGAATGAGACAGAAAATGATGAAAATGTACACACTGTGTACTTATACAAGAAACATTGTTGCCAACATGCTGCCTATAAGTTTAAATATGTTTTGATACACCTTTCTCATAAATCATTTCCTTAAGAATGACATTTCAACCTGGAGGTGTCACCATTAGTCTAGTAATACAGGGTTTTACCATTCTCTCGTGACATCAATATGTACCAATCGATCAATACCAGTATCCACACAACTGATATTCACTGACGTGACACGAACATGCATCTATCTTATCCTTTTGGTGTAATGTCACAGCTATCGCCGGATTCGTTACAATATTATATGCTTCAACACTGTCAAAATATCATCCATTGATGTTTGTCTAATATGTATTAATGGGACATTGGGTATTCTCCACAAAAGACTGGTTATTCTAACCTCTTAGGTCCAAAAATCGCTCTCGTAAATCCACGTGCAAATTCAAACACTTGCAACTTCCGAAACATTGATGGAGTTAGAGTTATCTGCCCTTGACTGTCGTCGCGTTTTGCTATTACCGTACAACACCTAAAAGTGATAGTCACCCGTTGTTATGTCAAGTGCAAACAAATCCTAAATCACATGTTTCGACAGTTATTTGACCGAATCGACATACTACTAACTTTATCGATTCCTCTTTGCAAGGTATATGTTCTTGTATATCTCGCTTGATTGGCCATTTTGTACACAATGAATACGAATACCGTATCGCTTCTTCGCGTGGTGATTTCAGCCCTGCTGTACACAACGTTCAGCTACAATATGTTTAAATATGACGGTCATTGTTTAGCAGACTTTATTCTCACCTTAGGTGGGGCGAAATGGGGTTTAAGATTAAAATAACAGTGCTTCATATAAAGTTCTGAGATTAAATAATGCTCCTTTTAATACAACTTCAAAAAGACATGTCCTGGACTAAGAGTCGTAATTCACATTTTGCTCGTGATTGTGCATGTTCGGCTTGCTGAAATTCAACATCTACACTCATTGGGTGTGCTGCAAACGGGAATGCAATGGCAGAGACAGTTTAATATTCTTCGAAAATATTATATCTTTCATAGGCGGATCCAGAGAGGGTGCGCAAACGTGCTAGCAAATGCTTGTGTTACTCAGCGTCGTCAGTTGCGGGATTGAAGTGTAATATGGTGTCGGGTAGTGTCACAACTCAGGGGAGAACACAACTCATCATTGTTAATGACTAACTGAATGGTGGACACTACCGTGACGGGTACTGTCCGCGAAAACCTTCCACTTGCTTTTTGAAACAACAATTTCTTTATTTCTCCTTCAACCACCCAGCGGTGGTACAAGCGTACAAAAGCATCGGATTACTTAAAAAATGACAAGATGGGGCACAGTTAGCATTAAAGTGTGATAGTATATTATTAATAAACATCGATAGCTTTTTCAGTTCTTCTGTTTTCTTTGTACACATTAATTGCTTGAATGTAACCAGATTTTTCCATTAAGGTATTGCGAAGGAATATACTTTAAATAGTTAATATCATTAAAGTCACTACTTCTCAGTAAATAATGAAGTTCATCAGCTATTGCGGGGAGTCGCATAACTTACATGTTCTATTTTATCTGGTTATTCCCTCCCAGCGGCCGGTCTCAATGGGTAGAAGGTGGTTAGTTGTTCTCAATTTCAGGACTGGGATATAAACATTGGTTGGAAGAAAAAAGTAACGTTCAAATGTTGAAGAGTTACAACATTAAACTGCCGTGCAGAAATGTCAGTCGTTTCTCCAAATCTCTCCCCAACACGTCTGCGTAGGTGGAATGACGCCTACGACAGGATAAAAAACAGTTGTTGACATTTGGAAAAACGTCACACGGATGGTTTTCAATCACTAGACGCCTTCAATACACCACGACTGCCTCGCCTATATCAACAGATGGGGGTCACATCCAGAATTGACACCGTTAATTACACAACACCTCATTTTGAAATGATGGTTTTTATACTGTCACGTGGAAAAACGTAATTGATAATATGTTCTTTGATATTGTCAGAACGGAGCACACAAACATCACAGAAATGCTACTTAAGAGTTTATACCGACAATATTGTAAAGAACATTTTCATTATGATAATGAAGACTTTTAGTGTATATATGACCATTAGAATTATCACGAACGGTCTGTTACGTAACATGGAAACGTGCTGACATCGATCAATTCCTTTTCATAACTTTCACTATGGCTCGGAAATTTTCTGAAGTGATGATTATAATTCTATGGCCACTGATTACTGACGATGCTTGTCCCTGATGTAGGGAGCCACTTTATCGAACTTACCACAACGATGGAACTATAAATGGAAGACTCCAAAGTCCACGTGGTTCTATGTTGTGGTTGACATTGAGGTCAGAATGTTTGAAACGTCGTTGACCTCAACGTCAATGAAAAGTGCGCATTGTTTGCCACCTGTGAGTTTTGAAGCACCGTAAAATATGGAGCGTCATTGACAGGTTTGTGTTTGTTTGTGGATAAATATTCCATATATCTGAGTGAGTGAGTTTAGTTTTACGCCGCCTTTAGCAATATTCCAGCAACATCACGGCGGGGACACCAGAAATGGGTTTCACACATTGTACCATGTGGGGAATCGAACCCGGGTCTTCATGAGCCAATACTTTAACCACCACAGGGGCGTGCCACGCTTAGAAACAGCGTCAGAAAGACATATAGGTATATAGACCCTACCCTAGTACTATATAAAAGGACTCCTTTTACATAGTACTAGGGTAGGGTCTATATACCTATATGCCTTTCTTACGCTGTTTCTAAGCTCCTTTTATATAGTACTAGGGTAGGGTCTATATACCTATATGTCTTTCTGACGCTGTTTCTAAGCTCCTTTTATATAGTACTAGGGTAGGGTCTATATATATATATACCTATATGTCTTTCTGACGCTGTTTCTAAGCGTGACACGCCCCTGTGTTAACCACTAGGCTACCCCATCGTTCCTCCATATATCTGACGGCAGTCTGTAAATAATCGAGCCTGGACCAAACAATCCAGTGACAGCCATTATGAGCATCTATCAATGATGCCATGCATTAACCACGACAGTGAGCCTGTTCCACCTATCCCGCCATCCTCCTCTAACCCGGCCATGTGCTGACATTATGTCCAACGTGACTGGAGGTGTGATGATTCTATGTCAGACCCAGGTGGTTCATATTGCTGACTACGGCGTTTAGCAACAAACAAACAAACACTAGGTTCATGAAATCACCCTTTAATTGAGCTCTTCTGAACCGAAATCCACGTTTGCTACCATCTATCTTTGAGCCATTAGATGATTGAGTGAATTTAGTTTAACGCCGCACAAAGCAATATTCCAGCTATATGGCGGCGGTCTGAAAATAATCGAATCCCCCACAGACAGTCCAGTGAACAACAGCATGAACATGGATCTACGCAGTTGGAATATGATGACATGTGTCAACCAAGTCAGCGAGCCTGACCACCCGATCCCGTTAGTCGCCTCTTACGACAAGCATGGGTTACTGAAGACCAATTCTATCCCGGATCTTCACGGGTCTTCAGATAGTGATTTCATTTGTGACATGCAGCTATATCCGTATGTTACTTAGTGAAGGGCCTTTGCAGAAGTTCTTTAAATGCAACGATTCTATTTCTATTTCGATTTACCCCGTATATTTTGATGTTCAGGGAGTCAATTCTCCCACAGGGAGCACCGGATTCTGGCTTCACACACAGAAAACACAACAGGAGCCCCGAAAATTCCGAGTTGATTTTGCAACTAAATGCACTCGATTGAACATAACCATAGTTACAGAATGTGCCTGTGGTGTCAGTCCAGATATCATGACCTTATAAGGACTTCCATTATAGATTGATCTTTCCTTTTACCGTTATCTTCAGAGATTACAACGTCATTGTGACTTGCACGTGCCCTCCGTGGCTCCGTGCTTACAGAGAAGACCGGAAGTGACCATCCCAGTCAGTAGGTCCTGTGAGAGCAGCAATAGGAGTAATGGAACTATTGTATTAGACTCACGGTCACTATGGGAAACCCTTTAATGCACGGTAAATAGGTTATCTTGCGACTGTGGTTTTGGATGGTAAATAGCCTGTTTTATAAATAAACACCATGTATTTACTTCACCTTGGCGAGGTAGGTACCGTTTACGTCTAGTGACCGTCCCGAAACTCACATGACTACTATTACTGTTGTCATGGAACGTAATACTTGAATCATATCGTCGAAAAAGGTTTGGTCATCTCACGAAACGGAAAACAAACGATTTCATGAAATGAGCGCATTAATATGTTACGTCACTAGGTCAATACTAGGGTTATACAGTTCCAGCTGAATGTGTGTGAAGCTTATTCCTGGTGTCCCTCGCCGTGATATTGCTGGAATATAGCTAAAAGCAGCATAAAACCCAACTCACTCACTCACTCCAATTGATAGTTGTTTCAAGGTATCAACGGTGTCTTAGATTATTATGTTCAATAGGCTATATGGTATGACAGTATGCTTCAGTCAATAGGCTATATGGTATGACAGTATGCTTCAGTCAATAGACTATATAGTATGATCAATAGGGTACATGGTATGACAGTTTGCCTCAGTCAATATGCTATATGGTATGACAGTATGTTTCAGTCAATATGCTATATGGTATGACAGTATGCTTCAGTCAATAGGCTATATGATATGACAGTATGCTTCAGTCAATAGGCTATATAGTATGATCAATAGGGTATATGGTATGACAGTTTGCCTCATTCAATATGCTATATGGTATGACAGTATGTTTCAGTCAATAGGCCATATGGTATGACAGTATGCTTCAGTCAATAGGCTATATAGTATGATCAATAGGCTATATGGTATGACAGTTTGCCTCAATCAATATGCTATATGGCATGACAGTATGCTTCAGTCAATAGGCTATATGGTATGACAGTATGCTTCAGTCAATAGGCTATATAGTATGATCAATAGGGTATATGGTATGACAGTTTGCCTCAGTCAATATGCTATATGGTATGACAGTATGCTTCAGTCAATAGGCTATATGGTATGACAGTATGCTTCAGTCAATAGGCTATATGATATGAAAGTATGCTTCAGTCAATAGGCTATATAGTATGATCAATAGGGTATATGGTATGACAGTTTGCCTCAGTCAATATGCTATATGGTATGACAGTATGTTTCAGTCAATATGCTATATGGTATGACAGTATGTTTCAGTCAATAGGCTGTATGGTATGACAGTATGCTTCAGTCAATATGCTATATGGTATGACAGTATGCTTCAGCCAATAGGCTATATGGTATGACAGTATGCTTCAGTGCACGATCGGCAATTTGGACTCCATGGACAAACAATGTCTGCAAACGGTACTGTACCTACCCAACAGAATTTCATCCGCGTGTTTGTCCATAAATGACCGTTCTATTGTATCTTGTCGAGACCCCTACCCATTCTATAACA